TTATTATTATTATTATTATTATTATTATTACTAAACCTTTTATTTCGAGTAACTTTGACACAACTCAAATTTCGGACAACCGTTTCAATTTCATGTCAATTTGTATGTTGCTGTTGCTTGAAGAAAAATGTATGTGTATTATTGTTTTAGATAATTTAGACATTTCAATTCCATTACACTCGTAGATGAAACGTGGAGTATTTTTAATTTTTTAAGTTTTTCCAATGAGTTCAAAATAAAAGAAGGTTGGATAGAAGCTGCAGGATAATTGAAAGATTGGTTTTCTTATTACTATTTCTTACTTTGTTTAAATTTCCATAGCAAATGCATTTAAAAAATAAATAAAATAAAATCGGCTTTATTTTACATGTGTATGCAAAATAAGTTAGAAACAATTATAGAAAATTACATAAATCCTTCATAAAAAACAACATAATTTAATTTATTAAATTCGTTGATGGTTCGAGTTTACTCTTGACAGTGACAGCTTCACCAACCCGTGGTAACATATAATGGAAAACTGACACTGGCGACGATCGCCATATTTTTTATATTATTCTTATAACACTGACACTGGCCCAAGCCTAGTGACCGCCATTAAGAAAATAATAATAATTTATATTAATATATTAATTTAATAATACACCTGTACCAGTGTAGGTATAGTATGAAAAATTGAATATTTTTTTTAATATTAAAAACAGCCACATGGTTCGTAAATGTCGATTAGGTAGGACCACATCGCTCGTTGAGTAGCGTCAGTTTAAGTTAAATAAGGTTAACAATTGACGGGCCGGTTTCCATCTGCGCCCGCCGGTGCTGCTAGTTCTATTGCTATTTCAATGCTCACGACCCAGCAAATTTGTGCGGGCACGTACCGCCGCGGTTGCGGGCACGAAACCGTTGCGATTGCGGAATGGACCGCGAAGTTAGTGGGAGTTAACAGCAAGTCGCGCGGTTAATAGAGAACTCATCCCGCGTGCCCCTGCACCACAATGCCCCTAAACCGACCGCCAAAGTGCGCGGGCGACGACGGCCGCCAAGCGCGCAGGTGATCGCGTCCTGCGCGGTTCTACGAGTACTAGTACCTCGCCGCGGCAGCCGCGGCAACCGCGAGCAACTCTCACCACTACTAGGCGTAAAACGCGCCGTGAAATGTGCTACTATTTTTACATACTTAACTATTACATTCTACAGATGCCGCGGTAACTCTTACTCAAGTGACTGCAAGTTTAATTTTGTTAAATTTTAAAATTGTGTTACGTCGTTTTCACGTTTTAAGCCCTACCCAATCAAAATCTTTAAGTTATGGTAGTAGATAATAGAGCGTAAAGTTTGAATTGCCCACAAGCTAAAAAGTGGCGACATCGGTACCCGATCTTACATAGCGTCATTACATATCTGCCCTTTTTTCCTATATCTATAGTTTTACCCAATCAAGGATGTCCTGAAAAAAGCCCAGAAAGTTTGTGTATAAAATGTGAACAGAGAATACAAAAGTAATGAACACAGACATATGTCCTCCATAATGAACATCAAGAACACAGTCATTGGCCTACCTTATTGGAGGACAGACATGATAGTATGTATGTTTCTTACCAATAATAGATAAAGTACGTAGTAAGCAGCTACATCTACCACTGTCAAAAATTGTCCTGTTAAGTAGCTATTCTCTTCAAGAGCATTATTTATAGGCTGAAAACACATAATCATCGATAATAATGTGGAATTTTAATCTTACATAGCAGTGTCATGTCTCAGTCAGTGTTGGGCAAAATTTAATTGTTCTGGCAATTAACGATTGATCAATTGTTAGTTGCGAGAACCGCAATTAACAATTAATCAATTGTTAGTTGTGAGAACCGCAACTAACAACCGGGGTCAACAACCGGGGCCCCCAACCGGGGCCCCCAACCGGGGCCCCCAAGCGGGGTTCCCAACCGGGGCCCCCAACCGGCCGGAATTGATTTTAATTGCAAATTTAATTGCAATTAAAATCAATTCAATTGATTTTAATTGAATTGATTTTTTAATCTGATTGAATTATTGATTGAAATTTAATTGATTAACGCCCAACACTGGTCTCAGTACTTGTGTAGTTTTAAGTTAAAACATCTGTACTGTTTTTAAACATCTGTATTGGTTGATGTAGTGTCAGTTGAAGTTGCAATGAACATGTATCATGGGAACATATTATTATTTGTTACTAATAAATATTTTAAGAAAATTTAAATATTCACAATACAAAATGGTGTTTACGCATAATCTATAATAAACTTAATAACTCTCTCATTAAATAATAAATAAAGAAAAGGGCTGAAATATGCCTTTTTGGGCATAATACCAGTAAATAACTTTTTTATTAAAATATATAATGTACACAATGTTTATATAATAGACAATGTTTTCTATAATCTATATTAATTTTATAAAGAGATATCAAATATTTGGAAATTGTGTATTATGTTTAATATTAATTGCAACAGGTCATTTAAATTGTTTTCCATTAATTCATTTCAGCTCTGTATCACCCACAGCTGGGTATAGGCTGTATAAACTTTCCAGTCTTGTGTGTCTCTAGGTCAGATATTGCCGACAACTTTTACTTTGCAGCCCAGAGCACCATTGGATGAACAATTTATATTGTAGTTTAAATTTAAATTGAATTTTTTGACATTGCATGCCTAACTTAGGTAAGAGCTGTGAATGAAATTGCATGTAACACCTTTATTTTACCAGTTCAGCACAATAATGTTTCTGATTTCTGATTTAAAAAACTTGGTGCTTGGTGCAATGGGCTGGTATCCGCAACTCGACGACAAAGCGCCTATTTTGCGTAAAAACTTAAATAACTTAATATTAAACTTATTTAATTATAGCTTTCTGCAGACTTAGGGAATGATGAGTGTGTATTGATGATACTTACTTCTAAGAAACTTCTAGCAAAAACAGTGTTACTTGCGGCCTGGTTAGCGAACATAGCGATGTGTTCCAACCATTGGTAACCAAGAAGTAGCTGCTCTTTACTCAGGTCAGCACCGCTATTTTGCCCCAAACGCAATACAATACTAGCAAAACCTTCTACATTTTTCTTGTCAAAAACCGTTGTTAACACCTGAAAATGTATTTTTATATATTACACATAATAATGTGGTAAACCATAAAATTAACAATAAAAGATTGTAAAATAGCTAAGATATTTTTACCTTGTCGGTATTGTAACAAACAGTTCCCACTGGCGTATTTAAGTACTTGCCGATCAATTTTATTACATCCACACTACATGCACTCATTATTAGAATTAAATTTTCGAAAATTGAAGAAATTCTACAATCTTAGAACTAACCTCAAAAAGCGACGACAAACGTCAAAAACTACGTTCCATTTCATTCATTCATTCATTATATTTTATTCGAATAAGGTAAAAACGGTGTGCTATCTGATAAGAAACTAAAAAGAGATTTTAATTGTTTTCGTCCACGTGCAATGGAACTTTAAATAAATTATATTAATGCATTCATTATGATTACGCAAAGAAACAATACAATATTGAGCCGAAAATCCCGACCCAGGACCTCCTGGGCTAGAGCCACAAACTACTAAGAGATACTACGTATATTACAGCACCAAATCTTAAATCTGGCCCTGCCTATGACAGGGGAATTATAGGCATTAGGTATAGGAGTGTGAATGTTACAGAGAAAGAGGGAGGAAATTAATGGAACAGCATAATCCAGTCCTTGCTACCTTTGATGTAACACACAGGGTCAAGAGCACGTCAAGCTTAAAACTTAAGATTTAATTAAGTTATAATTGCCCGTTACGATAAACACGGTCCAAACAAAATTTCAAGCTTGATGTGCTCTTAACTGTATATTATGTTAATAAATCTGAGCTTTTGTGTGTAACTTTCGATGTAGGACATTATTAATAAATGTTACTTTGAAATATTACGTATACTTAATTTAACAAGTCCAATACTTTATAACACGATTGTCCTCGCCGGTGGAGAATATGTATGTGAGATCCAGTAAAATGACGTTGTATAAATTATTTTCAACGGTTTAATGAATATATATCGTCGTTGTTTCGTAAGAAAAGGCGAAAGTGCATTTTCAGAAAATTTTTCAGCGGAGCATGTTTTAGTTTTTCACGACTGTATTAAAATATTGACTTCCTGTTTTAAATTCAATTTTAATACTTAAACCTAAGTAAAATCAAAATTGAAGTTTATAAGCATGGATTATAAGCATACCTTTCAATATTATTTTCCCTCGTGCTTTTCTTTTTTGCCCAACTCACATTTTAGCGTCCTCATGAGTTCCGTAGGGATAATCATACTTGCCAATACAGGCAATAAAAAACACTACCTAAAAGAGATAAAATACCCATTTATATAGTTAGACTCATTAGCAATTTTTCTTTCATACTATCGCGGATTCAGCTATTCTGGGCATTTTAAAATAGGTACCTTACAACCTTTTGACCGTATTCAAGCTAAATCGTAGAAGGTAAAAGTAAAGACACAAATAGATAGTAATATAAAATCTATTTTCACAATTTTCAACGCAAATAACCCTTACATAATACTGTGTTTATTTTATTCATTTTAGATATAATAATTAAAAAGATAAGACTGAATAAGATGATGAAATTATATTATTATAGTACATAGTATAATTACACATGCATAAATTATTCTCAATTCCAAAGCAAGTGTTGTGTGTTTGGAAAAAAATACAGATAAATTTACAACTTTTTGAACATCATTATTCGTTTTCTAAAACTTTTCAAAATTAGCAAACTACTTGTCATCTGAATCCCGCCCCGTCATAATAGCTATAATTGCGAAATTTGGGCTGTGCCATTATGACTAAATTTTTACAATAAAACACGTGTTACATTACAATTGTCAGATCATTCAAAAAATAAATTTTATATCCAACCATTTCCACTGTTTGGTGAAATAAAATGCACTTGCCTGCTTTCAATGATTTAAAAAAAATAATTTGAAGTATATTTATCTCCTTAACGTCGTACGGATTTACTTACGATTACATAGTTCTTGAAGAAGAGGAGATTCGACCTAATAGCAATAGTACCTAACGTGTCACGGCATCATTTGCCGTCACATGAGTTGGCGTTACTATAATAATTCTAATTTTGAAAACCTCGATTAATAAGATCATTGGTTATTGTTATTTGGTTATGAACGAAGGCAGCCCATTTAAACCAAATTTTAATTATAATAATTTCGAAATTGATTTAGTATTTTGGGTAGAACCCACGAGGCGTGTTACATTTTACCACATACATACACATAGTATCAGGAATTCATATTCCCTGGGTGTTCTAGGTAATAACTCTAAGTTATCGTTTCTCTGGTCAGTACAGAGAATCCCCTATTGCAACGATTTTGAATTACCATTACGGCACGCGTCATCAATTGTATTATTGTTTTAATATTTTTTTTAATAATTTATTAGTCAGGGCACAAAATAGACGATAATTTAGTTATTGTACAAATAAGAGTTCTTCTAGCAGACCTCCGTCAACTAGTGACAATTCGTATGTACAAATAATATTGTTTGACTAAGTTTGACCGAGATGATTTAAGATGGAAAGGCACAGCTAAGTGTAACGAAGTTACAAACATACACTATATTGTCTTTTGGAAACGCTGTATATATTACAACCAAGGAAATTAGTTGGTGACTGTTTTGTTATCAATTATTTAAAAAAAAGTTTTGAGTCAACATGGCAGAATACGGTACAAATAGTCTTAATAAGACGCCAACAACTAAAAGTTCTGTCTCAGATAAAAAAGGGAACTGTAATTTTTTTCTCCAATAATGCCTATGGCAAGAATCCCCTGCTTTTGCTATTTATTAATCCACGCGCTTTCTCATATTTGGACGCATAAATCTTTCCCAAAAACATTAATGAGATATATCGCAAAATAATCACAAAAAAACAACTACTAAATACGTTAACAATTATTTTCCACGCTTACAATTACTATACATATGTATAACCACAGTAAATATAAGATAAATATCTAGTGACGTGTATGTGCATTAATAATTACTATATACAAAGTACAATTAGATAAATAAAAAAATCCAGTATTTTTATATAAAGTAGCAGCTAAATTATTGTGTATTTTAATGTACGTACAGGATAAAGGCTACCATAACGTAAAAAGCTTTGATAAATTGTATCTATGAAAAAATACCTCTATAACAGCCCTTAATTCTATAAGCGTCAAAAGTTCAATTATAATTGTAGGCAAGTTATTACATACCTTAAAAGGATGGCGCTTTTTGTGTAATTGGAAAAAAGCAGATCGTTTAAATTCCACATGATAAGGATCTACTTTAAAATTGGCCATTTCTTTTTTAGGTTTGAATGCTGCAGAGCGCCATATAAAACATACAATGACATGGAATAGTAACCTAATTAATACCTCACAATATTGTGAATATACATAAGGTTGGGTTTTGAAACATAAAACATTTTCAGTACGAATCTTTGAAAATCGTGAAACTAAACTTGTATGATTTAATAGAAAGCCGCGATAAGAGCTTCAGAATTAATTAAAATTAAAGTTGTACACGTTACAACTTCATTTTTGAGATCTCTTCAGACGACGAAATTTACACACTACCAATATATCTTACGATGGAAAGGTTTTTTATACTTGCATCAGGCGGCAATTATACAGAGCGTTCCACGGCTAGGGGACACGGAGGGAACTTTTTCATTTTAGAGAGAAATTATATTATTTATAAAAGTAATAGTAAATACAAAGACTTTTCAAAAATTGCTTGCCTCATCTGGGAATCGAACTGACCAAAAAATCCTCTATTTTTATGATACCGATTGAAAGGTTAAATATAGGGAATAATTCCTTTTAAGTAACATAGTATCTTAAAGGAACAGCATGAACAAATTTTATATTTCATGGTGCAAATTTTAGTTCAACAATATATTATACTATATAAATATTGACTTACTGTCAACAGTAAATCAATATTTGTACTTCAAGATGAGGTTTCGGCTAATAACAATAGGAAAAATTTTTCATTAAAAGAGTTGACTAACTCTTTTAATGAAAAAGTTGCTTAACTTATTCAAAATTTTAATGCAATATTACTTACTTTTAGAAATAAATGTCTCCATGAAGCAAATAATCCTATTACAATGTATAAAGTACTTTCCCCAGTGCCCCATACTTGTGGGACATCTGTATATAATGCAGTATACGGGTGATATATTTCATGGTACGTGGTATTAAAATTTGACTAAGCGCTGCATCCATCGCGCGACAGGTACCTGACAGGCAGTAACGCAGCGCGGCAGATGCCATACGTCTAGGTTAAAAAACAAAACATATTCGGTCTTTTTGAAGACGGAGTAAAATGACATTTGCAGGGTTGCGGGTTTTCCTTATTATTTTTTTCATCCTCTAAGGGGTTTTCTCAAAATTTTAAATAGTAATGTAAATGTTATCGATAATTTTATCGATAGAATTGTGAGAGAAGGTAAAGTTTCGCAAAACATGTCTGAATTGTGAGTGTTGCGACGTACTAATGATTACTAATTGCGTTATTACAATCTTTATTCTTGTTTTCACACTTAAAAATTTAATGCGGTACTAGTAGTACCGCAATAAATTTTATTCATATAGGTTAAATTTTAATAAGAACTAAGTGGAGTTGATTAGCTATATTGAACTAGAATGAAAAAAATTGAAATATGTTTCCTCTTTGTATTTTCAACAAACATAGTTCTAAATGCAGTGTATCTATGTGTGAACTTACAAAAACTTTACAATGCAAATGAACCTGTGACCAGCAGTTGGATGAATAATGGACCGATGATGATTCTAATAAGTTGGACTATTTATTGCATAAACGTGACCAACATTTAGTCGACTGTCGATAGATGCCCTAAGGTTAGGTAGCGAGGGTCACTATAATGAAAACTAACGTAGAAAGATATGGGAGCTTATAGATAGAATATTTATCGACTGCAATCACTAACTGCTTGCAAGCGGGCAAGACTTTTGCATAATGAACAGTCATTTTACTCCATCTTCAAAAAGACAGGCTATAGAGAAACAAGTTTTTTTCCTTTTCCTACATTGCACACAAAAGAAACAAAATAATTCATGTTAATGGAATGATCATTACTTATGGTTAACACGTTTACTTAATTATTACAATAAATGCTACTATGGATGGAGTGAAATGTCGCCGTTTCTTATTTTTTATTTGACAGTTTGCACTGTGGGCACTAGATGAAGAAGTCCCAGATTCATTTCCGGTTGGATCAATTTGGGGAAACCCCGGAATGAATTCCGTTGCTCCGGTACTTATAGTACAGGGTATTCCCTAGTTTGAGACCAAGTTATTGGTGTGGTTGTGGAGTACATCATTATTATTATTATTATTATTTGCCTTCAATATGTCACATACCTGTTATGGAGTAATTTATCTTTCTTGAAGGTAAATACAATATTATTGTTGGAGTTCATTTTTCATTTTATAGCCATTTCATTTCACGTATTATATTCATAATGAATGATAAACAGAAACTTTACTCCCAGTCCAAACTCCCAAAATATTTGGTATCTTAAACAACCTAGGTTTATCAAAATGACGACTTGCTCCACATTAGACTAGTAATTTCAAAAATAAATACTAACAGTCGTGCTTAAAGTTCAAAAATAAACTATTTTTCAATGAATTGTTCACTTCTAGAATAAATTTGATATATTATTATGTGATAAATAATGGTACAATACACACGCTGCTTAATATGAACCCAAAAATGTGGCGTTAGCATTTAAAGCACTACTCAATGTTTGTTGTCAAAAAAAATTAGGAATTTACATTTCCACAACACGGCGAGGGTCACATTTTACTTGTTAATTTTTATGATAAAATTTTATTAAACAAGTGTATAATGTTTAATAACTTCAGTGTTATTGCTCGATCCCATTGCGAGCAGTTCCTTGTAATGAGCATTCGTTTACAAATATTCATGCGGTACACATCCAATGTTAAACATCGTAAACGACGTAACAAACTGCAAGCTATCATCTCGTATAATATGGTGTTTGAACATTAAAAGCTTCGTCAACATGATAATAATTATAAATAAGTGTGAAAAGAAAACTAAAATTCGTTAAATTAAGAAGTAGGCATTCCGTAATCAGGAGTTCTAAAGAAATAGCATTAGCGGTTTATGACGTCACACATTAACAGTGCACACACGCTTTGTACACACTAATGATGTTGCAACATCGACTTTTACCATATCGAAAAATGTGAGTTTATTGAAGCCCTAAGGAAATTTAATAAAATACCCTATTATTCATTCTTATGCTCACGCAAAGCAAAATATCAAAAGGTCAGCTGAGTGAAGTTATCGCATTTAAATGTCGAATGCCCAGATGAGTGAAGTGATTATTGCATATAAATATCGAATGCTCACGAAAAGGCGAATGCTCTAGATGGGTACGCGCCTGTAGGAGCGGCATAACGCAGTACAATCCTATCAGCAAAGGAGCTTTCGATAAAGAATCCTTGTCAATATAGAATTCTGTATCTCTAATAATGACCTCGTAAAGAAAAATGCACAACTATGCGTACTTTATACAGCAGTTGTGCCTTTTTTCGTTCTGAGGGCAGAATAAGCACCTAATAATATAATATACAACTTACGCTTATTTTATTTTCTCTCGAGAAAGTATCACTCTAAAGTGCTTTGACAAAAATAATACACTACATTTAGTCGTGCATTTCTAGACGTACTTTTAGTCGCCTTTTATGACGGCCATATTGAATACATACACGATAATCAGTATATACTTTTTATATCGTAATTCAAATTCGCCCACAGTATAATTATAACTTCAGTGAAGAAATTTATTACTTTTAAGTCGGATACATATCGAACGACTAACAAATGGTGACATAATTACCGTTATACTTCAATTATTATTATTATTACTTTCGTAAGTCGGCCAATAAGTTAGCTAGTGAACTAAGAATAGTGTCCGACATTTGGTCTCCGAGAGGTACATCTTATAAACAATTTAAAGCCGGATTACAACTCCTTGTGTGGGACAATGAAGTCTGTTTTAGAGATCATTACATTAGTGTATTGCTTGCAATATCATTGAATAACAGTGTAAAGGGAAGCGCGTTGGGGTGACAATCTACTGTACTCATAATTCTACTGCGATCGAGTATTTTTCTTCATTTTGGACTCATTTTTACTTGTTTTTTTTTTTGTGTCTGTCTGTTGTATTATGTACAAGCATTATGTTTTCTGAAATATTTCATTTTACTAAGTTATTTTAACAATTTATGTAATACATGTACATAATACTGAACATGAAACCAAATACTGTTGTAACTCTAAAATGGTGATATTGAGAAGACACAATTTGCAAATTAAAAAGTAAATACTGAATGAATCTTATTTCGTTGTTTTTATTTATACATAATATTAAGTCATCCACTTATAAACAAGAATATGAATTTATTGGTTCCATTCAGTAATTTTTGATCTTTCAAATCGAGTTTTGTCAATTACATATATATATTTTATTTGCTAATTGTGTCTTCTCAATATCACCATTTTCGAGTTACGACAGTATTTGGTATATATTACTTATTGTAATATAGTAACAACCTCACCTGACTAAATTACAAACATCATAACAACTTTAGTTCCACGACTTTTTACAATACATAACAAATTTACCAAAAATAAACATTAAAGTTTTTGTAGTCCTATCTGAGACTTATTGAATCGGTATTTGGTTGTAAAATAGTAAGTTCACAAGTGCAAGGGTCCTCCCCGACGATGCCCAGTCTCGCTCCTGCAATTTGTATCGGGCTGGTATTTACGCTAGCGCATTCTTTTGTTACCTCAAAGAGATAAAACCGTTATGAGCGATCTTAATAGTTTTATAAGAAATTAATAAAATTCATAGAACAAAAGTTGTTGTTTATAAAATTAGTAGTATAGTCCTGCAAGGTTGTTAGTATTTTACAAATAACCCAGTATATATGTAATAATGTAGCCAATGAACAACAAAAGTAGGTATTGTTAATTTTAAGGGCTTTTTTTTATCAAACTCTATGTACGGTAATTTATACGGCTCATAGACATGGTAAATACTCTTAACAGGATCTTAAAATATTAAAACAACGGTTACAAATCACTTCACCCTTGTTTCAAAACATCATAAGACTTTTAAAATGTCTTAAATCAATTCTTATTTAAATATTTTTGTGTGATTCATGTTTGAAGATACGTCAATCGTGTAGTCTCATAAGCTGTTCAGCCTTACAAAGTGTTACCAGTGACGCGTCTGTGGGATCGCTACGTCGGCTCGTCTGATGACATCAGAGCTTCGGACTGCTCATCTAATTCGGGAAGATTTCTTATTGCTCTGAAACACAAGTATTTTATAGGTGTAAAGTATGTTTTTACATTTACACGATATGTTTGCAAGCTGTAAAAGCCTAGTTCGTACATTAATAATGATAGAAACTCGGGGTCTGTACGCACAATGTCTACCTACAAGCAATTTCTTTAAATGAATGAAATATTCTTTATTGCACATAAAAAATTATAATGACAACATAGAACAGTAATCTAAGTATCAAAGAATAAGCTAATGTGCAACAGGCGATCGTATTACTAGGCAACAATTTCTTTCAGACAACCTTAGGATCGAAATAGAGTTGAAAAGGGGGTGCAACCAAGGAATATCTACTACGCGAAATGTCCTTTTCGGAAAATGTGCCTTTCTCAAAATTAATATTTAGAAAAATAGTCACATCGCGAAATTGTCTCGAAAGCACTGAAGGTTAGAGATGTAAAGGCGGGTACTAATTAGCGAACTGTAACGCGATAGATACAAACAGTCTTCACTCTCTAGAATAAGTTACCTGGTTATTGTCCGTTCACTGCGAATCGAACGCGTTCTGCTCGCGAACCATGTAACGGAACGCAGTGACGTACGTACGTACAGTACTTGACCGTACGTACAATAATTTTTGGAAACATAACTTGCAACGGTTACGGTTACAGCTCGCTAGTGAGTACCCGGCTTTAGATGTCTTCGTAGTAAACTTTCACGATTAAATAGATACGTCAGTTTAATTTAAAAAAAAAACTCACGAAAATCCCTCGGCAGCTCGTAACCTAGTAGTTAACCAGTTGGCAGGCGTACGTGGCAGATCCATAAGAGCAATCACCCATCCGGCGGCGGCCAACGCCGCGGCCGCGCCGCGCCACCAGCCGCCGCTGCGGCACATGTCGACTGCTGACGCGAGTGGAATGCACAGCCCGATCACTGTACTCGCTGTTTGAGGCGATGTTAGAGACCGACCCCTGTTCGCAACACGTATTTCAAGGCAAGGTGTTTGAATCTACTTACGACACAATTCTTGTTTTAAGTATATCGTGGGTAATCGTTGTAATTTGGTATGCTTTAGGACATATCTGACCAGGTACAGAGAGTCAATACTATATTATAATTAAATCTTATTATAAGTACAAATATAATGTCCAACAAACTTTACACCAAGTCTTTATGATAAGGGCAAGTTTAAATGTAGCAACTTTTACAAAGGGGATTCTTAAAACACGAATGCAATTAGCTTTTCCATAAATTGATAATGGTCGTTTGAAAGTTTTTTTTTATATTTATTAATACAAAGATCGAACACTCAGAAAAAATTCCTTCGATCCGGCTACATTTTTTAAAATTACATTTGACCAACTTTTGCTGTGTAGATGTTTTCTTTGATTATAATGAAATTTTGATCATCATTTTGATTAAATTAATTTATTTGTATTTTTTTTATTTCATTAATTTCTATGGAAAACTCGCAATTGACCTAAAAACTATACTAAAATTATTTCCATAAAAAAGATCTAATGGTATCCAAGACCTTTACCTGCTCCAAAATCGTTTTTGGATTTCCTCATATTAGCCATTATTTGATTTTTTTTTAATTGGGTAATTTAATATAATAAATAAAATTTAATATATTTTATTTACCTCGACTTGTCGTCGGTTCGATATTTGGACGTGTTGCAACGTCTATGGTCTCGAAGGAACTCATTGCAACGACTAAGGTCTCGAAGGGACTCACTTCGAGACCAAAGTCGAGGTAAGTAAAATATATTCACACGCGATTAAGTCCCGATTTTTAACCGACTTAAAAAAGGAGGAGGTTCTAAATACGACTGTATTTTTTTTAGTATGTTACGTGATAATTGTGAACCGATTTTGACGATTCCTTTTTGTTGGAAAGAGAGTACCTCGTTAGTGGTGCCATTTAAATTTGAAGAAAATATACCCCCTCGAAGGATGGCAAACTAGGGGATGAATCCGGTTTCGCGCACTTTCCACTAACTTTTGAACTTCGCTTTTTTAGTACTCTGTACTAATATTATTTCAAATTTAAATAATGTGTGAAAATCGTAACAATTTAAACCAATGTATAGTGAAGTCAGATTCGAATTAAGACGCGTCCAATAGCAACTTACCAAAGCCATAGTGACTCGAGCAATAGTGGCCCCAGTGCTCCATCCAGTAATAGCCAGCTGAAGTGGCGCGGAGGGGGTAAAGAAGCCGGCTCGGCCCCTCCTGCCGCTAATAAACCGCCTAGTGCCCAGCCCAGGCAACCGCATGCGCTGCCGCATACACCTTTAAGCGAATTGAGGATAAACGCTCACTATACAAAAAGAACGTTATGAAAAAGCCATAGACGATAATAATATGATAATTGTTTTTTGTGGCCTGCTCGTGCGCAGCATTGCCCTCCTTGTCATAACTAAGGCATTTAAACTTTGGTAACTTTCGACAAATTGGCACCATATTTTTTTTATTTTAGAAAAATGACATGCTGATTTTGTTTTAACAATAAAACTGAAACCTAAAAACCGCTTATAGGCCACGCCAGTGACGAGGCGTTCATATAACTCGATTCCCACCGGCTTACCTAAAATTTTCCACGTATTATAAATATTTAAAAGTAATAGAATAATTAACCAGTGAAATAACGTATACTAGTATTTTGTGTGCTAATAAGTGTTATGTTTAATTGTCGCCAAGGCGCCACTTGTTAAGGCAAGTATTTTTTGTTTTGCACCGACTTTACTACAGACAATTTTCACGCCTCGCCACTGGCCCACGCAGAGGTCCCGTGTTCGATTTCCGGGCCGGGCGGGTTACATTTATTTCTTTCGTGAGTTTGGATGTAATTTGTGGTTGTGTACGTGTGTGTACATGGCACCCGCGACACAGGGTTTCCCTAGTGCGGGGCTATGGGTTCACAGTATAATTTTAATATTTTATAGTGATAAATAAAGATGATACTTAAGAGAGCTGCATCTCTTTCTGGCATAAGACAAATAACAATAAAACAGAAAGAGACAAAACTCCCTTAACTGCAATCTGTTTAGTCGGATTCATTTTATGCTTTCCCTTGACCATTCGTTGTTCATTTATTGCTCGTCATTCACTCACTTAGTTAGGCATGACAAGTTTAGTTGGCACCTATGACAAACTGTCTTGGTGCAAATCGTATTTGTAATTATGCGTTACTTAACCTTAGGTGTCGCCTTGCAAAGACTGTCTTATGTTGGTTTTAGTGCAAACGGGCATTAGAGTTGTACGTCTTATACGGCGAGACTATCTCCTGACACTCCATACACAGTTTTTGTGTAAAGCCTTTGATCTGTTTACCATGTCTATTACCAAACAACTTCAAACTGTTGCGGTCAACTACCTACGACTCTACATACGTTCACAGCCAGACAACTCAATACAATAAAATTTAAATACTCCCTCACCAACAAGAAGAGGAGCATTTATGCCGTCTCCTTTCCTGAGCTCGCGTCTGAACAGCAACAAATGCACTGCGTAGAACACAGCAGATCCCAATGCCGCGAGCAATGCTTTCCAGTTGCCTTGATCGCTTTCTGCTACGCCTAACACCACCTACAAACATATGATCATTAAATATCGAACACTTAAAAAAAATTCCGTCGATCCGGCCAAAGTGTTTGATGTTTGTAGATAGATAAAAAATTCTTTATTGTAAGCACCACATACACAGAGAGATTACAGGACAAAAATTAAACACATTAGCAGGGTAACAATTGGCGGTCTTATCGCTTACAGCGATTTCTTCCTGACAACCTTAGAATGGAGAGAGACTAAACATTAATAAAAGCGGGGCTGCTAGATAAAACTGTATTAATAATTATAATAAAGTAATTGAGTAATTTCACAAAAAAAATATTGAATATCAATTCAATAACAAAATTATACAAAATCAAATGACAAGTCGTGACTGGTAGTAATCAACACGCCTATCCATGACACTTACAATGCCATTCACAGCTTTAAATCGCAAAATTCTGAGGAACACTGCCACTATGCCCGTCACTCTGAGACACGAGTTGACAAGTCTCATATGCCTGTAATTTCACCAGCAAGCTTAGCGCTCTTACCCTTCAAAACCGAAACGCAGTAACATGAGCATTACTGTTTGGCGGCAGAAATAGGCAAGGTGCCAGACTTCCCTGGACGAACTCTTTTACAGCTCTACTGCTACTAAACTTAACATACAAAATTCGGTGACCGCTAAAGGCGCTGTAAATATGCTTGCGCAGCCGGTTGACGTACACAATTTATAATGTATTGTATAAGGAATAGTACGGCGTAACGGACTCGTGTTCGCAATCGACGATGTCGGGGCGCCTGTTTGGTGTGTGTTTAAATAGGAATATTTTTTAATAAGGAAGTTTGTCCAACAAAGTTTTGTATTAATTAACATATTAACACTATTGTGATAATCAATGGTTGGAAAAAAAAAAAAAAAAAGGTGTTCCACATATATATTTGTATAGATACAGGTAGAGATATAATTACAAGGGCGGAGAGTGGCCATTCTCGTTACTTTTTTATTATCTGCCTTGTTAAAAGGTCAGTTATCTACTGCATTTTTAACATGGCACCATTAGAATTACTTTAAAATCCAACTTCGACTTCCTAGGTCAGTAGTTTTGTCCTACGATGCAGTAATACCATTTCCGGAAATCCGGAATTGGGAACAGTACGTAATATTTGGTGGTTTTAACAACTCTATGTCGCTCCTTGTGAATATGTTTTTCCGACGATTGGTGATAATTTATATGTCCATGAGATCTGACGATTTTAGTTATGTTAGCTGGTATAGTAGCATATCAATAACACAAACACAAAAGTATAATTTAAGTATATACAGGGTGTAACAGCAAGGTGTAGTCATATTTGAAGGTCGGATTCAGTTAATGGTATGAAACTATTTAGCAAAGTTGTTTTAGTACAAACTACGTTATTTATGGAAATTTCGCCATGAACAGTTTCGATCAGCTGATGTCATTTAACGAAAATAAATAGTCACATCACATCTCTATTGAGTATCATAATACAACCAAATTACGTAACTTGAAAAAATTGTGAAATTCAGGCATGTTGTTGTAAATGATAAAGTACTTAATGCCATATTCTTATTACTATGTTATAATTTACTAAATTTATTATTATTTTATTCATGTAATATGCGTGTGAACATTTAATGAAAAATAAATATTATCGATTACTTTGCCAAAATACACTAGTTCACAATAAAACTATTATTTAAAACTTAGTACATAATAACGTAATATGGTTTCGTTAACTTCATATCTTCAAACATACAAAATACACAAATTTCCATTTAATATCCATTAATAAAACTAATGTCCTCTAAAAAACACATATTTAAAGTTATCTCGGTTTCTTTTTACCATACGCATTCATCTATTGTATTTTAATGAATGAAATTTGTCTCTTTCTATCCGTCGGTACTGTTCTAACGCATGGCGGCGTCGGTATGTTTCTTCTAACGCATGACGCAATATGACGCAATTATCCGACTAATACTTCGCACCCTTACAATGAAAGCGACCCAAATCAAAAAATTAAAAAATGAGTTTATACCGTAAAACCATCTTAAAAAAATATTTTGTTACATTAGTCACACTGTGGTGAAGATGAAATTGTGCAATTAAAGCTCGAATAGCACTGATTCATAAAGGTCCCTTTCATTTTGTTCTTTCAGTTTAAAAATTCTACTCCCGCGTCGAAATATTAACGCCGCATTTATTGTTGAATCTGCATTTGCAAAGACAACACGCTGCCACTGACGGATTAGCATTTGAGCCATTTTCGTTCCGAAAATCATATTCAAAAATCACTAGTAGCAGTAGAGCTCCTTGTGAGTTCGTCCAGGGTAGTACTGCCACATTACCGTGTTACAGTTTTGAAGGGTAAGGGTGCTGGTGAAATTACAGGCACATGGGACTTGTCAACTATGTCTCAGAGAGATGGACGCCGTAGCAGTAGCCTTCGAGCGGCAGTGCTATGTTATGGACAGGCGTGACGCTTTCCACCGGGTACACGACTTGTTCGACCCGTCGCTTAATATTTAAAAAAAAAAAATTTTTTAGTAACTTACTTTTTAAAGGGACTTACTTTTTTGTTTCGTGGACTTTCTTCTTTTTTAATTGTGAAACAGGGACCACAAAACAATATCAAGGGTTATGACATCTTGCTTAGCTGATGAACATTAAAAAGACTTAATTCTTAATACGTTAAATGATAACAAAAAATCGTTAAAAAAAGACCTATTGGCGACTAGTTTTTGTAAATTATGTTTTTAAATTGTTGAACATTAAAATGATCAGAAACAATTTTCAGTTGTAAAGTTCCATTTTTCCTCATTATTTTCAAAGACTAATAAGGCCATCACCTTTAGTACTTCAAGAGTAGGTAATAAATAAAATAATATGAAAATATGAAAAAACTTGAAATCTTATTTTCTTTTGAATTCCCAAAAAGTTGAAATTTTGTATTGGGACACTTTCATCGTAAAGGTGCAACCTGAAGGTCGGTAAACGTCAAGAAATTAGTTTTGATCGTTGACCACGAATTAAGTATTGTAATTTTAATTTAATTTAATTTTTTTTTTATGATTGATTTAGTGTCTGTTTAAGTATATCTAAATGTTTTAAAATGAATGTTGAGCACAGTAATAATTGGGCACAGATATGCCTGTTGTATTAATTTTTAAGTGTTTTTATTTTCCTCACTTTCTGTATCTGATGTCTGTACATTGTGCCATAAATAAAAAATAAAAAATAAAAATAAAATAAATTTTCATCACTTGCTTGGAAATGAAAATATCGTGAGAAAACTTGGATTTCGGAGATAATTGCCGAAATCTTCAAAGATGCGAGAATGTCAAGTTTCCAACCAGTACTTACTATGCAAGTGCAGTGGACTAAACCTTGTGCAAAAAATAGTACTTTACTAACTTACATACGTCTATTGCTGAGCGCACGTTTCTAACAACAGGCTTACGCTTAATTTGACTTATCTACACACGACAACTTTCTGGGTATGGGTTTATTACATGGTGAAATTGAAATAATTAATATCCGTTGAACCTATTAAGGTTCTTACTTCCTAATAATATCTACTCATCTAAAGAAATATTTTAGAATAGTTTAAATTAGCAATAGTGTAAAACCATAAAAAATCTTACCTAAATAAACAAAGTATCAAGATTAGTCGCCTTGCGTACGCGATACGTAATCGTAGCGAAGTCGCAAGCCTTTGGCGGCAACTTTGGCGGCAAAAATATCACCTTTGATTTTCGCCGCCAGCATTTGATTTTATACATGGTGATGTGGATTAGTGGTTAATGTTAGACTCGTTTCGGAGGTCGTGGATTCGATTCTCATAGTTGACTGGCTCTATGGGGTAGTTGTTAGAGTGTTAGGTTTTCTTTGCGGATGTCGTAGATTTGATTCCCATAGTCGACTGCCTCCATAGTCTAGTGGTTAGAGCGTTAGGCTTTCTTTTCGGAAGTCGTGAATTTGATTCCCATAGTCGACTGCCTCTATGGTGTAGTGGTTAGAGTGTTAGGCTTTCGTTTCGGCGGTTGTGGATTTGATTCCCATAGTCGACTGCCTCCATGGTGTAGTGGTTAGTGTTAGGCTTTGTTTTCGGAGGTCGTGGATTTGATTCCTATAGTCGACTGCCTCCATGGTGTAGTGGTTAGAGTGTTAGGCTTTCGTTTCGGAGGTCGTGGATTTGATTCCTATAGTCGACTGCCTCCATGGTGTAGTGGTTAGTGTGTTAGGCTTTCGTTTCGGACGTCGTGAGTTTCCGATGGGTGACTGCCTCCTTAGTGCAGTATATCCGTAATCACTCAGTCAGTTCTTGCATTATGTGGAAGTGGTACGGGTGATGGTCAGAGCTTGTTTACAAACAAAGGCGTATGCAGTGCAACGTTGAAGGTCGTAGACGTAGGATATAGGTATTCGTTTAATGTGTATGTAATGATGTAATTTGTATCAGGAGAAGGGTCTTATTTCAAAAGGATGGTAATAATTTTAATTTCACCCTGTAGGTACATTATGAAAACGTTACCCTATATTCCAAAATTTGCGTTTCAGTCGGCGTCCTTTGATGTGCCGCCGCTGAGGCAGAGGTGCTATTTTTTAATTTTTTGTAACAGTCTGTAATTGCCGTTTGCGTTGTGAGGACTAAATAGGTGTCATCGTTTTGTTTGTGTCTTGTTTTTGTGTTTATTTAAACTATGTCACGCTTAAGCAATAGTGATTACTAAGAGATGATGTTGTGCGTAGGCGCAGCCGATGGGAGCTTGCGCCAGCCTCGCCAAATTTATTGGGCAAAGTTTATTGATGGCGTCCCAGAAAATCGACGTCGACCATTTCCTGCTGTGGAATGCTTCAGGAAGATGGTTATGAGACTTCATAATAGTGGATCGTTCCGTGGTTCCAGTTCTGAAGGCCGGCCGAGTTCACGAGACCCAGAATTCGAGGCAGATGTTTTGGAACATTTTCTCGGCAATCCAAAGACAAGTACTCGTCGTGCTGCGGCAGCCTTTGGTGGTGTGAACCATATGAGTGTGTGGCGTGTGCTACGGGATGATGGCCAGCACCCATACCATTTTCAAAGAACGCAGGAGCTGTTACAAGCGGACTATGATCCACGTTCCGTTACGTTTACGACCGCGACCAGATTGGGAGGTCTCCCGACTTCGCTTCGTCGGTACTGTGGACAGACGAGGCGTCATTTACGCGTGCGGGCATTATCAATATGCATAATGAACATTTTTGGACTCATTTGAATCCCCGCGTATCAAGGGAATCAAATTTTCAACACCAGTGGCGGATTAACGTGTGGGCTGGTATAATAGGTTGTGCCGTCATCGGTCCAGTGTTTTTGCCGGCAAGTCTGAATGGGGCCAATTATTTAAGATTCCTAACAGAAGACTTGGGTGACGTTCTGATGGCCCTGCCAGTGACACAATACGTGAGACTCGTGATGGAACATGGGATGACTTTCTAGCACGATGGAGCACCCGCACATTTTGCTCGAAATGTACGTTCCCATCTGAACGACCGTCTCCCGCAGTGGATTGGGCGGGGAGGTCCTGTACCCTGGCCAGCGTGGTCCCCAGACTTGACACCGCTCGATTTTTTTTGTGGGGTCATATAAAAATATTGTTTATGCGGAGTCCTGTGAAAGCGCAGAAGAAATGAGGCAGCGGATCGAAATGGCGTTTAGTCAAATCACTCGGCAGATGCTTCAAAGAGTAGAGCAGTCTCTGTACCGACGCACGGAAATATGCATATTGTATGGAGGTCGGCATTTTGAACCTTACCTGTAAATGTGTGAAATGTGCCAGCAGTGCGTGTAGTGATTGTACTTATTATTCAAAATTATCGTAAACAAGTCAATATTTCGTACATTGTACAACAGTGAATTACAATTCGTAGGAAATTCATTAAAACGTGTATGAATTGCACAGTAGGTAAGTACCAATTAAAAAAGTATCCACTATTGTAAAATTGTCGTAAATAAATGTATTAATACAAAATTATGTAGAATGTGTATACGATGAAGGCGTGCGTAACTACGGGCTTAATAAGTAAATAAATATCCTTTAAATTGTATGTAAATAAGTACGTACCTAGGTATGGTATAAAATAATATTGTTAGAAATAATTCGATTTTTCTAGGTATTTAAAGATTTTGTTACTTAATATTAACGTGTTATCAACATATTCAAATCATGTTTTTACAGTGGCATTTCAATTGTAGTCAGCTGTTCTTTCGCCGCTCCGCCCAGGTTTCATTAATGAATTTGTGAAGTCGTAGTAACGTAACTAGCAATAGAGTTGTGACGCAGTGGTTGTTTCGGACAATCACTATTTATACAAACATAATTAAAGTTATATCAACATTAAAAGTCACTTATTTTTATTTGATATTTTGCACAGAGGGTCTAGATCAAGTATAGGTTTGGCTCCTTTAATATGACTACACCTTGCGGTTACACCCTGTATATAGTAGTAAAACATTGTGATATTTCAATAAACTTTATATAGCAGACCAATGTTTTAATAAAAAAATATAATAGGAAAGACAATATCGACTGTGAACTGGCAATCAGTACTATCTTAATTTTCTAAAGATTTCACTTTTTAATACCATTTTATACCATTTCATACTCCGCAGCGTTGCAAGAAATTCCATCTCAAATACAATTTAATTTTGGCGCCAGAATCGACTTCATTCAACTTGTACTAACTTCTAACCAGATGCTACATAAATGATGCAAACAATTATTTCCTTCATCCTGTAAAATTGCCAAAATTGAGATAGTACCGGTTGCCAATTCACAGTCGATATGCGGAATTTTACAGCTTACTAAAATTTCTAAAAATAGATACCATTTTTTAAAGCTAACAATAAATTTTAGCATCGTATGCATTATCAGCAGAGATCGGAATGCGCACCTATTTACAATAATTTACCTAAACTTACATTATTCCCCATGAAATGGTCTGATTAAAATTAAAAAACCAAAAAACAAAATGGTGAGATTTTTACTTACATTGTACAAAACTATTCTTCCAAAATTGAGAATTTAGAATTTTTAAATGGGAGAGGCTTCCCTGGTAATGGCAAAGTCGGCCAGGGTCAGGGACTCAGGTTCAAAACCCGTCGAACAATATGTACCTATTTCTGCAGCCAAACAGTAATGTCAGCATTACTGTAGTGGCAGTGCCCCTCAGACCTTTGTGATTCAAAGCGTACTTCGATGACAAAAATCCATGGTAATGACCCGTTTAGCTGTTGCAAGTAGTCTCGATTTAAGATGTTTAAATTAAATATTGTAATGATAAATGTATATTTACAAAGAGCAACCCCTACAGTTTCTTGCTCATTCTTCTCAGGGGAATCTGCCTTACGAATGAGCAGTAGAGTTTAATTAGTATAACGATTTCAAGTGTAATTTGCTTACCCATGAAATAATGGTTATTTGACCTTGACTTTGAAAAGCCCTGAGTGGCACTGCACGACTTTTTCATCTTAACACTAGGTATCATAAAAAAAATTACGTAGTATGATCGCTAGCTACTTATTTGTTGGATGTTTTGGTCTATCATACTAACCAGTCCAGCAGCGGTGAGCAAAACTGCGATGCATTTGGAAAGATTGAATCGGTCTGCAGGCACTTGTGCGAAGAGCGCACCCAGCGAGAGCGCGAGTGCGCCTGTCGTGGACACATACAGCGTTGCTGAACCCGTGGTCGTGTACAGGAGACTCAGCCGGTAAAGGTAGTTCGATATGAACCACTGGAATGACAACAATTTTTTGGGATCACGTCTTCTCACCCCACTTGGAAATCAACATATGGGTAATTATCAAGTTAGTTTTCAATACCTAATTTCGGTGGCAATTTTTATTATTTAAGTATTGAAATATACCATCGTGAATTATTAAATAATATTTCAGGTTAGTACACTATTACACTCGACTATTAAGTACTTCATGTATAATATTCAATAATATTCTAGAATATTTAAATAATAAACATTGCCATCCAAATTAGTCAAAAAAATTAACTGAATATTACCCCTATACAGCCTGTTGAGTATAAATTGAAGTACGAACCCAAAAGAATTGTTGGTACTTTTGCACAATACGCATAACTGTAGTGACTTAATGCGTTTGCTTAGCATCAGAATAATGTACAAAACAGAGTGAGATAAATTAAGATAAAGCGACAAATATACATGGCATCTTGACTTTTTTCTTTCATTTTTATCTATTTAAATTGCATTGATTGTAGCAGCTATAACCACCTTGAACAAATCCACTCATGTGGACAATTCTTTTTCTTTTTAACGCACTCACTCTTACCCCGTACTAGGGAAACCCTGTATCGCGGGTTCCACGGCACATAGAAAACTACAAATTACACCCAAACTCACGAGAGATATAAATATAGGCTATAACAAATATTTCTTCCGGCCCGGGAATCGAACTCGGGGCCTCTGCGTGGCAGTCAAGCATGGTAACCATTCGACTACGGAGACAGGAAGGCAATCAGCACTGTCTTACAAATTAATTACGAATGCTTCGTACTTTTGACTATAACGTACCTACTATATTTAGCGTGCTCGGATTGTGGTACATACAACAGCCCTTAATGCAATAACCACATAAGCATAATTCACACTGCTATTACAGTAGTGATGTAACTCAAAATATAAATTAAATTCAAGATTATACTACTACTGAACGTAAAATTTGAATCTCTACAGGTCAATAAAACCGTCGTTAAAATATGGTAAAAAAAAAATTAAAGATATTTACTTAACTCAAAATGATACAAACATTTTGTGAGCTAGTTCGAAACAAAACAATCATTACGCAAAAATATGAAATTGTTTTTTTCCTTTTATTTTTAAATATTTTGCCAAACAGGAAATTGTTTAGATGTCTGTTATAAATTTAGCCTATTTTTTTTACTTATACATATAAGTTTTAATTATCACGGGAAGTAATTTTGTTTTTAATCGATTCTGAAGAAAAATACACTAACAGTGCAATATTATAGTTGAAAAGAAGTATGGTAAAAGTGTACCGGTATGCAGAATACGAGGGCGAGGCGTAGATGCCTCCTAGTGGCGGCAGCGGCGGCGCGGCGCTGCGCATGTTCGGAAGCTCGCACTGACGCCGCCCACGACAACCGCGCCAGTAAAGCCTCGCCTGCCTGCGCCGCTGACATCACGCGCACCTGCCACATAGTCCATCAACAAATTCACGCAATAACTAAAGAAATTTAGGCGTGTTCATTAGTCGATTCCGAGAAACAAAATGTCAAAAAAATAGAAGGATCAAGTTTATTGCAACCACAACAATTATATAATTAATTCTAATAATATAATCTCAGTACAGAGCACTAAAAAACCGACTTCAAAAGTCATTCATCCCCTAGTTTGCCACCCTTAGAGGTAGAATATTTTCTTTAAATTTAAATGGGAACACTACTGAGGACCACTACTCTTTCGAACAAAAAAGAATCATCAGAATCGATTCACAAATGCCAAAAGTTATCGCGAAACATACGTAAAAAAAATATCCAGTAGAATTGAGAACCTCCTCCTTTTTGAAGTCGATTAAAAACAAAGTATAAATTACGGCCTTTATTGTAACCAGAAATCTATCAACCTTTCAAACCACCTTGACCTCAACCTTCTATTATTTTTATACTTTACCGTGAAAATAAATACTACGAGATAATTTCTATTTCGGCATGGCCAGTTTGTTTCATCACAATTTCCTATTTTTGTATTGGATACGATGTTTTAAAAGTAGATATCAACATAAAGAAATATGTGGAAAATATGTAATATAAAAAAATCTAACAACATTAAACGTAACCTCGATGTGTCTCTAGTATTCAACTGATAATCAATACACTAGCTTATGTAAATATTATATTACCTTTGTATGAACAGTTAGCGCCAAGTTACACAAGAAAGCTTTCGCGCGGCGACCGCCCACTTACCACGCCTTCATGTACATTAATGGCGAATCTGAATTCTATTTATTGTGCAACAACATTCAAATTCCTCTCAATAAAATTACCAGCCGCCGCGTAGACCAAATTCAAGCCAGGGTAGCCCGCGTGCCCAGAACGCTCATTCAAATTAAAACGTAAAAGCTAAACAAATCCAAAGCCTTAGGGCGCATTTATTCGACACGAATTTCATCGCGCTCACCCCGCGCGGCCCGCCGCGCGGTCGAAGGGCGGAGTCCGCGTTGCCGCCGCACAGCGACCGCGTGTGTCTAACTGTCATGGCAAAATACGCTCTATTTGTTTAGCTTTTATGTTTTAATTTAAATGAGCATTCCGGGCACGCGGGCTAGCCTGGGTTGAATTTGGTCTACGCGGCGGCCTGCGCGACGACCGTAATTTTACTAAGAGACGGTAATTTTATTGAGAGGAATTTAAATGTAGTTGCATAATGAATAGAATTCAGATTCATTAATGTACATGTAGGCGTGGTAACTGGGCGGTCGCCGGCCGCGCGGCGAAACTTTTCTTCTCGTGTAATTGGGCGCTTATTGTTTTATGTTAAATAATATACTTATGATAAAAATTATTACCTCAGCAACTTTGTTGAAGCGTACCGCTCTGGGGGCTGCATCGTCGCTATCTGTTGTTTCCCCAGTGCGGACTGGGACAAAGGTTGAGTCACTCTGTATAATTAAATTTTTTTATCAATAACACTTCAAAAGCCATTTTTATCAATAAGAAAAACAAATACCAACTTACCTACATTTCGTACTTAATTCACATTACAACTTATCGTACTTAATTCACATTGGCGCGGCGTGATGCCGTAAGTACGTTTTCTTAGTAGATAAAGTTACGTGCTTTTTTGATAAAATTGCATATATTTTTTTGTCATCGCATTTAGATTCATGCTGAGTGCGGTACTTATGAAATCGATTAAAGGAAAGAAAAAATGCAAAAATTAATGGAATATAACATCAAGCCTATTTCTCTGGTGAAAGACAAAAATGGACTGAATGGAGAATGCCTAGGCCAAATTAAGTGAAAAGTTAAAGCAGATGCATATTATACGAAATTTATTAAGGGTAGAGGAATTAATTTAAAAGAAGAAATTTAAATGTAATAATATTATTAAGGACAATTATTGAATGTTAAGAACTCTTTTATGTATGAAGGACCAAAGTATATATTTCTGTTACTTTTATTAGTTTTATCCTGAGATTATGAGCTAATAGTTTGTACTCTCTCATAATAATAGTTTCCCTAAGAAATACCACTATGTGTTTTATACTGTTTTTGCTCTATGTAAATATGCCAAAATATTAAAACAAACTAAAAAAGTATTTTCTTGAAAAAATGAACTAACTTGGACTTTCGTGTGTTTACTGTTAGTTACAAATTTCGCTATATGCATAATATATATTAACGTACATAACTATACATGTAGACAAGTACAAAGTGATTTTACTTACCAAACTATTACCAGACTCAGTGAAATAATTTTCATCATCTGTTTCAGCTGTTGGTTCCAATAATTGCTGGAAAAGACATCATTATCATCGGCTTCACTTCTGGCCATCGTGAAAAAGTACACATAAAACTTTCCATTTGCATAACCTTTTTTTAAACGCAATTAATGACATTACAATGTTAAAAAAAAAACAGTGGTGTTTGCATGTATATACACAGCCAAAAATAGTTAAAAAACTTAATTTCAAAGGCAAAAATTTTTCTATACAATTTCATACAGCTAAAAAAATTTTCAATTAAAACTTACAGTGTAATCAGCAGGTCTGCAAGGATCCCTCGTAGGTGGCGAGAAGCATAGAACTAACAAGTATACAAACAGCAGGGAACTGCGCACATAGGTCACCAGGAACGGCCGGTCCAGCTTTTCTTTATATATGTACTGCAAATAAGTTCAAATATTATATAACTTCATATGTAATAAACAGTCAAATTAAAAATAGCCTAATCAAAACAGTAATGTAACTATTTTTTCAGATCTAAATCGAGGTTCAGGTCTATGATCACAGCTGACTGCGTTGACAGTCAGTCAGCAGTGACCATGGAACCTGCAAAGGGCTCAAAATGTTGGTTTGTTTGAAAAAACAAATATACGCAATTTAAATTGAATTAATCTCAGTTCAGAGTACTAAAACAACCCATCTCAAAAGTCATTCATCTGGTGGTTTGCCACCCTTCGAGGTGGAATAATTCCTTCAAATTTAAATGGGACCACTACTGAGGTATCCTCTTTCCAACAAAAAGAATCATTAAAATCGATTCAAAAATAACACACAAAATAAACATACAGTGAAATTGAGAACCTCCTCCTCTTTTTTGAAGTTGGTTAAGAATAGTTTCATTTCCTATGTGTAACAATCGCAAAAACCTAAGAACTCGATATCCTAGTCAAAATTACATTATTTGATACAGAATCCATTAAACCAAAGAACATTTAACCTTATGGGTAGATTACATTCATCAATAAATGTTTTTGTTATACAGATTTTGAAAATCCATGCACAAAGGCAACTAAAGTGGTATAGCAAAATAATAAGCACCAATTAAATCTAAGTTCTAAGTTAAACTTTGATATGAAATCAAAGTCCAAAAATGTAAACAATGCCATTACAAAATATATTCCACGAATAGTGGAACAGTGAAAAGAGCTAAAAATCAATACTAGATGTTTTATATTGTTTTCAAATTGTGTGCATGTACAAACAAAATATTGTCAAATCATATTTTTTATTTGAAACACCATATTTAATAAGATATTTAAAAAAAACTATTTCTTGTGGAAAGATTTTAGTTTTTAATTTTATTTAATATTCAATATGGATGGACAGTAACGAGTAAGCCTGTTCGGTTGCAGCTCCACCATTGCATCGTGACGTTCTTCATTCGGTTTCTGGCAGCTGTCATTATCGAATGTGTTCCTCGCTGCGTATGTGTTGTGTTGTTAAGTATTGTGGTTGCTTGCTTTCATGTGAACATAACCACAATGGAGGCAAAAAAAGATCACATTATGCAATGCCTGTAACTGAGATGGTTATGATAATAAATGCCTACTAGCATACATTACAGGCCACTAAATTAATATTGGTCTTTGTACGAGTGTGCCAACAAAACTGATGAGATTCTGGGAATATCTGAAAGAACCGTTTGAAGAATAGTTTGCCTGAGTAAAAACAAAAGTCAATATTTGACATGTTAGCCACTAATATCGAACACAAAACATAGTTTATGTTCTCAATATAAAGAATATTCTAAGATGTTTATTTTGTGTAATTTTCTATAGGCCGTGATCTTTCTCTTTGCCTCATAATTTTTTAATTGAAAATATTAAATATATTGAATAATTGAAATTAATTGAATATATTAAATACACTTCCGGACACTTGAATCGAGCCACATTACATTCCCGGGCCTAAAAACCCATTACACAAAATATATGCAATATAACAAAAAAGTTTTTATGCATTTTTAATGCTGGCATATTTCATCGTCTTTCCCGTATGTATTCTTCCAAATTTGAATTTAAGATTTTAAAATAAAGAACAAAAGCCGAGCTTGGTCACTGATTTGAAAAAAATAATGGCTGTAGAAAGTTACTTTTGAAGCGATTTAATTTCGATTTTGTTTGAATTTTCGCTATTTTTGTTAACCAAAGTTTAGTTTAGTTTTTTTTTTCTTTAATTTGAATCGCTTTTGGCTATAAAATTATGGATACTTCACCTGAAGTAGCCGCGCAAGCTGTAGCACTTCTTCAATCTGGGCTAAGTCAGCGAGATGTGAGTTCACAACTTCTCATAAGTCGTTCCGCTGTCCAAAGAGTGTACCATCGATACCTGGAGACTGGCGGCTTCGTTCGGCGAACAGGAGGACCTCGTTACCGGGTGACAACGGCGAGACAAGATCAATACATTGTCACTACCAGCTTACGCAATCGACGCCTTACCTCTGTTCAAATACAAGAACAGCTCAGGGACTTTCACGGAGTGGCTGTAAGTGCTCGGACCGTTAGAAGGCGACTCAATGAACGTGGTTTAAAGCCCCATAAGCCAGCCAATGGACCCAAATTGACACGAGCACACCGAATAGCCCGTTTAGAGTTTGCGCGCGAACATCTAAATTGGACTCGACATCAATGGAGCCAGGTTCTCTTCACAGATGAGTCCAAGATAATGCTATACGGTAATGACGGAAGGAGTAAGGTGTACCGAAGAGAGAACGAGCGTTTCGCGCAATGTTGTATTGACGAAAGAGTGAGTTATGGTGGAGGATCATGGACTGTCTGGGGAGGAATCTCTATGGAAGGCAAAACTGAGCTAGAGGTAGTAACGGGACCACGACTGCCGCCCCTAGATGGCAATAGATACATTCGCCAATGTTTAGAGAACCACGTGATGCCATATGCTGGATTTATTGGCCAAGATTTCGTTTTAATGCATGATAATGCAAGGGCCCATACTGCGGGAATCGTCAGGCAGTACTTAAATGACATTGGTATCACTGTTATGAGATGGCCAGCGCGAAGTCCTGATATGAATCCTATAGAGCATCTATGGGATGAGCTGAAGAGGCGTGTTCGAGCTCATCATCCTGCCCCGCAAACCACGGAGGAGCTCAAAAATGTAATTTTGGAAGAATGGGAGGATATTCCTCAACATGTCATAACGACATTGATTAATTCTATGCCAAACCGTATGAGAGCTGTCATTAATGCACGGGGAGGCAATACAAGTTACTAAATAAACATTTCTTTTCATTTAAAACATTTTTTTATTTAAAAATCGATTAGATTTTTTTCTTTGAAAAAAGCAAATATGGACTTGTTTCAACGTAACTCGACTTTTTTAATAAACTGTAGTTCAAATTTAGAACAGTGGCACTCTAAATGAATGTTGATTAAACCAGCTCCAAAACTGCATCAAAACATTTTCCTTCTACATAGATTTTTTACAAGTTACAGTACTCCAAACCAAAAAAATCAAGGTGGCTCGATTCAAGTGTCCGGAAGTGTAGTAAATTGTTCAACCCAAAAGAGTATTTTTCTGTTATAATTATTAGTCAGAATAAGATAGAATCTGTTAATAAATGAATGTGGAAAAAATGGTTTATAATCTATAACAGTGACAGTTGTTTGTTTACATTTTAGGACTTTGACTCTATCTCAAGAGTTTAAATCTAAAGCCAATTTCCTAGAGTAGCCTAAATGAAGAGTGTGTTAGTATTTGTACTACATTTGGGCTACTCTCTATTTTTTATCTTGTTGCTATTTTTTTTCATATTCAGATTGGATATCAGCTACTTGTTGGCCTCTTTAAATATTTATCTCTTTCAACCTATCATGCTGTATATTTTTGTTTAAATATTTTACATGTTTGACAGAAATGTGGGCTCAAATAATTAATAGGTACATACGCCAACACATCAAGCTACACATTGACATATCTAGTTCCGTTGCACTGGAGGCAATTTTCGAACAAAAATGTGTAGTCTGATGTGCCGTTGTCCATACATAATTGTATGGATGAAAAAAACTATTTAATAGTGTAGCCAATTGGGAAAGATAAAAAGATGTTTAAGCAAATAAAGATCTTTTATACGAATTTGTACCTAAAATTGCAGTCATGACTTTTATGGGTTTTAAATTAGAATTAAATAAGAGGAAAATAATGGAAAGCTTAACTAGCTAATAGAATACGAAGAGTTAAGAACCGATTAGGATGTAAGATTTACTGCTTACTTTCGTCAATTCTGATGATAATACCCACAGGACAACCACCAGTAGTAATAGAAATACGCCGAAAGCGAATTTCCTCCGACTGAAGTGCTGCACGCCATCCTTGCTACTCTTATTGTTGGGACTCACTCGGAAGTAGTTGTGGCACAACGTCAACATGAAGACAGTTATAACTACTCCAAACAAAGTAAATAAATACGAAAATTTTGCAGTATTTCGCGTCAGTCCATGATTTTAACCGCTTCTTTTTTAGGCCTCGTTTGGCATTGTCGTTTATATACGATCTTCATCAATACGTGAGCGATGTTAGTTCACAGTTTGTATGCAAATAAACAACAATATTGCAGTTTATCAACTTCTAAATAGAAGTAAAACGGAATTACACGGCCCTCGAACAATGGCCTCATGACATTGTGTTGCGTTAACTGTCAATCGACTTTGGCATCTAATAATGTTTTTTACAAAAATGCCCATTTGTCACATCTTCTTCCCAGATAATGAAAGAAAATTCCGAAAAATTTCAAATGGTGGATTTTTTCCTGGAAAAAATTGAAAATTGGAGAAAAAGTGGCTTTTAGCTATACAAGTTTATTTTACAATTCACGCTAAATAAAAATCTTCAAAAGATATTTCTAAACGTAGAATATTTCACTTTGAAATTAATAAAAAAACAATATTTGAAATTTTCCGGAAAATTACCCAACAGTAGCTAAAAACCACATCTATAAAAAAAAAGATATTTATATGTTTTCACAACAGCGAAAAAATCTCCAACAACCACATTACCGTCACCATCACCTTTTGTTGGCTCCATCGTTTTCGTTCAGTAACTTCAACTTTTGACAGGTGTCAACGTCTAATGTGGAAACATAATTAAGTTTCTGAAAAATATGATTGTTTCAAAATGGAAATCCATGACCCAACACTAATGTGCAACACTAATGTGTAAAAAAAAAGTACAAAGAAACCATTGACTTACAATTATATGGACGTCGGGTCCGCGCTAAAAAGTGTCCGCACTTGTAAGGCGCTAAAATCGTATACAGAGCGCCAAACTCCGCTTTAGTCTTCATTTGTTCGACTGACAGCGCGATACTGCGATGACATTACAATTTAAATTTCGAATAGGTTGACTTGGGATTTTTCGTGGTTTTTGTATTAGACCCGTATTCCATTTATTTGTAAGTCAATGAAAGAAACGAACTATTCTGACGATTCGCTCTGGGCCTTTCGGAGGGAAAATTGTCGTTTTTATTTTGACTTTCAATTATTTTGTGAAATCTAGTTCAAAGTGGAATAGGATAGTGCTATTGTGCCTTAATCGAAGATTAAAACGCGAAATTGTACGAATCTCGAAAAAATCTAAAATACCCGTATCGGCCCGTTCTAAGGAATTCCGAGTCAATCCCACCACGCGCGCCGCCTCATATTCCCTATTCTCTTTGTGGCGGCCATATTTACAGAAACATAATTAAACGAAGACATGGGTCAAATGACTTGTATCCAAGCCAAAATTATTAATAAAAACAAAAAAAACGAGCTTTTCTTTCATTGAAGTTTTTGTAAAGGAAAATTTCTCGAAAAAAAAAATCCAAAAAAATTTCCACCATACGATAACCGTCAATCGTCTTATAACGAGCCGATACGGGTATTTTAGTTCGAGATTCGTATAATTTTCGCGTTTTAATCTTCGATTAAGGCACAATAGCACTATCCTATTCCACTTTAAACTAGATTTGACAAAATAATTGAAAGTCAAAATAAAAACGACACTTTTCCCTCCAAAAGGCCCAGAGCGAATCTAATAGTTTGTGATTAGTCAGTGTGGCCAACGTAGGCGATTTATCGCCATTTAGGCTACTCAGGAGGAAAAGTCTGAAAGGCGACTGGTAACATATTAGGCTACTTTCGGTTTACAATCTTAAGAATAAAAAATGAGCGTACATTAATATAAAAAAATAAATAAAAAAAAATTGTTTATGGTTAGTCAGTCATTTCGGCGAAAATTTCCCGTTAAATCTAATTGATTAAGTTTTATAATATATTTCAAAACAAAGTTTCTAGCAACAACTCTTTAGCAATTTATCTGAACATGGCTAATTGGGCTAATAAGTTGACTGGTTTGACGTTAGTAAAAGGAAATATAGAGCGCACAGCAGTTTTCTTCTTTGTATAGGTTCATCACCTAAAACAGATAAAAATAAATTGATAAATGATAGCATATACTCGTATTGCCCTAAGTATTAATGATAGCAGTGTCAGAAATGAAAAGGAATACATGATATTTGTTTTGCAAAATTTCAGCCTAACGTATCTTCAGGTTTAAATTGAGACGCACATAACCTCAACAAATTAGTAGCCTTAAAATTTTTCCTTCGAAGATCTTTTTCCCACACTTTTCTTCTTTTGGGTTCTTTCGGGAATAAATGTATTCCCGTATTTTTTAAATCAACTGCTGTATAAACATAATAGAGAATTATTTCTTAAAGACTTTGTTCGTTCACAAAATCACAAAAAAATTATAGCTATAGCTGTCAAAACGTCATTATGTCAACTTATTTACTTTTATTTGATTCTACTTAGGTTTCAGTTTTCATGTGAAAAATTATTGATTTAAACTACAATTTTATTTTATTTATTGCTGTTGTTCATTTGGTGTTAGGCTACTTTAGGCTTCCACAGCTAAAATTCAGCTACATTAGGCTACTAAGGTTGTGAAAAATGGCGACTTTGAACCCAGCGTTGTTGGCGACACTGATTAACAGGGTTGCCAATTTGTGGGAAATTCCCCAAATTGCGGGAAATTTCAACTCGATTGGTGATTTTGTGGGGATTGACGCTATATGGGGAACATGTGGGGAATCTCTCATCTCATAATCTCATGATTACTTGCATCTATTGATGCATCGCTAGTTTGATCATTATGTTAAAAACACTGTGTTGAAAGACACGTCGATATTGTTTTTCAACATCGCACATCCCTCGCATTATTAATAAGCAACTTAAATAGAATGATCGTCTTGGTTCTGAATTGTAAAATGGGAAATATTTAAGTGCATATCAGAAAATTTTCATTAAAAAGTTGTTGTTCTAACAACTGTCTTTGTTAGACACTAATATCAAAAATAATTTAAAAACATGTATAAAAATATTGATTGCACATCAAATTAAATTAACTCTAAACGAAATAACAATTCTTTTACAAAATTACCGTAATTTTTCTCAAAAGTTCAATACTTACAACAAATATTATATTTAGAGCTGATTTTGATTTACGGCTTCCGTGGTCGAGTGACTTGCACACCGGTTTTCATGGTGTCGCCATCTCTGAGGTCCCGGGCTCGATCCCCGGCCGAGTCAGTGTAGAAACTAACTTTTCTATATTGTCTCGGGTCTGGGTGTTTGTGGTACCGTCGCTGTTTCCGATTTCCATAACACAAGTGCTTTAGTTACTTACTTTGGGATCAGAGCGACGTATGTGATGTTGTCTAATATGTATTAAAAAAAATGTATGTATGTATTTTTTTGTAACCAATTCATAATATTGGAACTAAATTGAACCCTTACTTGCAAATAGAAAAAATACTACGATTTTCAAACATTAGACTTTGTTGCAATCATGTTGCAATGTTTGTGTGCAATTTTAATTTTTTTCGCTGATCTTATTGTTTTGGGCTAATTGTACAATTAGACCATTAGAAAATGGTGTTTTATTCCGATAGACTGATTTACCTTTCAGTGAAATAGGTATGTTTTTTCTCATAAATTTGTGGTCATACATTTGTCGCATGCAGAAATATTACATACATATGTATTTAGATATTAGATATGCATTGCGAAAAATTTTATGCTTTAATTTTAGTACGTAATGAATAATGATAAAGTAATTTTCTTTTGATGTGCAATCGGTACTTTTGTTTGTTGGGGAAGTGGCATATTTGGTTGTGAAAAAACTTGCTTTTTTGGTAAGCGGTTAAATACTACCCATGTAAAATTACCAGTCATGCGTGTTGAGTTCGCGATCCTTTCTCCCACTTAGGCCCGTCCCCGGTATGAAGAAAAACGAAATCAGCTATTGATAAACAAAACCGAGCGGTTGGTACTTCCATACCACAACTTACCATTCGGCACTTGTCAACTTTAAATATTAAATATAGGTCGAAACTTAATTTACCCATTGATTTTTTCTAACATTAACCATAGTGTCACCAAATGCGCAAAAAAATAATTAAGTTACTTAATTTTGTAAGGCAAAGAAATATGATTATTTTTTGTTTCAAAGTTTCATTTATGTTGAATCTCAATAAAATAAATAAACGATTTAAGGTTAGCTAATTTTTTAATTTGCTTTACATTTTACATTCTGTTTACATTCACAGCAAACGTAATAGATGGTTACATATTGAGTTCCTTACTTCTTTATTACAATTATTTTTAAGCGATGTTTTTGTAGCGAAGCTTTGTCCTCCCCAAATTTGGGGATTTTAACCGTGATTTTTGGGGATTTTGAACAATTGGCATTGGCAACGCTGCTGATTAGCATTTAACAAACGGCTGAAGGTCTTTGTTTCCATGGCCAGCAATAAATTAAAAAAAAAGCATTTAACAAACCCTCCTTGTGCCCTTGTTCTGGAAAAACAACCTCAAAATTAAATTAGTTATGAAATAGCAGCAGAATTAAAATGAATGCTTCTGAAATTCGTTTATTCGTCGGTAACATTCCTGAGATTGCAAATGAGCAAGAAGTGTTCGCTGCATTTTCGACGTTTGGAGAAATTATTAAGTTTGATTTAAAGAGCAGAAACGAAGGCGAAAACAAAAAGTCTTTTGCATTCATCACTTTATCTGCCTCTAACAAGGAAGTGGAATCATGTAAGTATAGTTAACATCGCAGAAAATTGTCTGTAATAATATTATCATATATGGCCAGAGTTCAACAATTTTTCAAGTGTTCAATTATTTTGTGTTTTGACAGGCATCAAACACTTTTCAAGCCAAAGTTTTAAAGGCACCAAGTTATATGTGACGCGGGCGCGAGAAAGTTTCTTAGAGAGATTGGAAAGGGAGAAACAATTGCAGAAAGTGGAAAAAGAACAGGTATTGTTGAAAATTATAACTATAGAATAATGAAGAATAAGTACATATTCTTTAATTTCTCTTCTATACTTGTAATAAGAAAAAATATCCATATGGCTAACAATTTACATATTTGTTACTGTGTGCCTATATTATGTTGTGTATTAGGGTAGATCCTTTGCCTATCCAAATAAATGGGTGACAAATTATATCAAAAATACATCGCATTTATAAGGTTCACATTTATAACTATGTGAGGGTTAATTTCCTTTTCTTTCTTTTTATAACTTAATTGATTATCATCAATTCATTATAAGCCACACTACTGGGTACTGGTGTGCTCTAAGAGACGGTGTAGATCATAACCTGATCTAGTGCAGGTTGCGAACTTCACACACTATTCGGCAGTACCGTATTTAATATGCTGGTTTCATCCCAGTGTGCTTCCTTACAAAATTGAATACATTTATTGCACAGCTATAGATAATTATGGTCTTAATATATTACATTGGTTTGAACTTTGTAGTCTGTACTTTGTTTCAATCCATTTTCAACAAAAACTAAACAAACAAGTCACTGACCCGACCATTCAACATTTAGTCATAGCCAATTGGAATGTCAACTAAAAATCAATTAATTAATTTAATGAATCAATTTGTTTTATTGAGTCATACTAACAGTTTTCCTTACATAACTTATAAAAGCATATTCAATATTTTCAAAATCTTAATTTTAAATTCTCCTTCAAATCCAGATTGGACAAAAAATGGGTTGGAACAGACTATACCTGTTAATGTGTACAGCATAATCAAGCAATACACTTTTGTTCGAATATTGCCTCCTGTGCAACGGAGCAAGAGCATCAATGTGTAGCTTAATGTGCCGTTGTCTGTATATTGATATTATTTACAGTTTAAAATTAAATTACACTTATTACAATATCGAAAAGAAAAAAAAAACGTGTCACGTTGCTAGTCACCAAATTAGTTGTTATTGTTAAGAAATTCTTGTCTATAGCAAAGTTTGGTACTCAACCATTTACTTTGGAGCATTTTTTAATTTTGTATACTCGAATTTTAAAAATTTATGAAATTCTACATAAATTCAAAAAAGTTTTGTGATTAAATGAAGAGGTATGATGATTGCCCAAATGAACAGTTCTATGCCTATGTCTTAAATTTCTGTGGTTCCTTTTTTTACAATTGCAAATTATGATTGATGTTTCAGAGCAAATAAATAAATTAAATTAATCCTGCCTTAATAAATTTATCCTGCCTGCAGGATAAAGGATTTTTCAGTTGTCTAAAAACACAAATCAGTTTCAGACCCACAACAAATAATATTTACACCTTAAACACACAGGGTCGTATTCCAGAACTGTACTCAATACTCAAGTCAGGATTTGAGCAGACTTGAGTATGATTTCAAGCACTGGAAATACGACCCTAATGGCAAGGACTTGAGTATGATTTTCAATGCTCACTGCAGTACTCAAGTCCTGACTTGAGTATTGAGTAGAGTTTTGGAATATGACCCACAGCATTTTTACACCATAAACTTATAGTCTAACATACAGGCCTCTGTAGGGGTTTAATAATATTAATAATAAACTTTTTATTTGTACCAACATGGATCACTGGTGTTAGTTTAACTACTTATACTGTTGTTAGTTACATACAAATTAGAAAAATATCATTTTAATAATTTTATAACATCTAAGCTCAACACAAGAAAAAAATATTTGAATTGTCAATGAGCTACCAATCTTTAAATCATAATAAGTGTTTGAAATTGTTAATACATAACTTTTGAAATTTTATAACTTTACTAATAATAATAGTAAAGGGCGGAACCTGCACCAGTTGCCAACATTTCAACTTATAATTAGGTATTATTTGTATTAAAAAAGGTGTGACTGGAAACTTCAAGACTTAGTAAATGCGCAAAATTTTTTCAGAAACAAATTGAGGAACACCATTCGAAAAAACATGGTACTTTAAAACTGGGTGAAAAACTAAATCCACGTAAAAGGAGAGCAGATACAAAAGCATATGAAGCGTTAGAATACAAAGTTAAAAAAAATAAAAAGCTATTGAGATCATCGCCACCTGACAAGAAACCTGAACTACCTATGCACAGGATTCAAAGAATTGAAGATTCAGACAAAAAACGTTTAGAATCATTGAAGAGGAAAAGGCTAGAGTATATGGAACAACAGTTGATTATTAAGTCAGGATTAGGTGGTATTGTAAGTTTATTATTAACCATTTACTGAGTAAACTAAAGGTCTTAATTTACATACTTCGTTATCACAAGAAAGTTAAAACTAATTTATATTTTGTTAAAATAATTTACCTATTAAGTTATTTTTAAATAGTATAGGCGCAAACATTTTTTTTGTATTTTTACAGGACAAGGTGCATAACAAAAAAATTGTATTTTCTGATAATGAAGCATCTCCAACAAAAAAGAAATTTTTGTTAGATCACAGCGCTCATAAAACTAAAGGAAAAACTCTCTTTGACGACGATGACAGCGGCGACGAATTAAATTTCAACATCAAGAAGCATTATGAGGGCAAAAAGGGACAAAAGGTAAATAGTAAGATACCAATAATACTAGATTCATTTGTACTTAAGGATCATTATTGAATTATGTTTTGTAATGAGCCTTTTTCAGCTACATTATTTAATTTAATTTTTAATGCAAACCACCAAGTAGAAATTTTTTCTCTGGTTCTGTTTTTCTCGAAAAGTACTCTCTGGATATCTTTACGGTTACTGTACCTATAGGCATTTTTTCGCATCGCCTAAGAAATATTGCTCTTTTTAAGGTCAAACAAAACATACTATATTTATACTACTACCACACACTGGACACTCCATACAATGGTCGAAAATTATTTACCTACTACTACTACATACAGCAAGGCGCTATCTGCACATGCGCAAATGTGTGCGTGAAGTAACAGGGTTACCCATCACTTTCTCGCACTATTACGTTACGTGGTCAGACATACAACATAGCGAAAATTCTAACGCGAATCTGTTATCTGATTCCATTAATAGAATCGTAACAATTATACATGTCTATTCGGTATTTATATCGATATATTATTACATTTTTCATTAATTGACTAACTAGACTAATATTGAAGATTTATTCCAAAAATGTATTAAAAGCACTTAAAATGTCATATTTCGGACATGTACTTTTAAGTAAGGTTACCAAGGTATTTGAAATTGCGTGTCCAAGTTTAGTTAATAATTAGATATATTCACTACCTACGTAATATTTATCGGCAATACGAATAGAAAATTCGCGAACCCTTGTCTACTAGCTCACGAAGTTATGGCGTCTCATTATATCAATAATAAATCTGTATTTTTTATACATACATATATTACTCTGCAGTAAATAAATGAAGAAAACAATAACTGATTGAGTCTCAGACATAAGTTTTTTTTACTTACTTCGTTTCATCTTTCGGAAAATGATGATAAACAGCCGTACACAGCACAATTCACGACCATTATAAATAGTAGGTAACGAAAACTGATGTTTTATATAAACCTTCAAGTTTCGTAATGAATAAATGAAAACTATATTCAAATATCGAAGCCGTCTTCACACGAAAACGGCTCGCCGGCGGTCTTGTTGTCGTTCAGCTAATGTGATCTCAGAAATCCTCTTAATTTTTGCTCTACTTTTGATAAAACAATTTTTAAATTATCTGACTTAGTGATGGTACGAATGTTAATGCAAACATTCAATATACTACATAATACCATTGATTGAGTTGCAAAGTATCAACCATTATTACACATTTTAAGATTTTGGCGTTCATTCATTAGTTCATGTACTGTTGAAGGTATTAGATTTGCAGTCAAGATACAAATCTGATAAACGTTTCGTCTTAGATGAAAAATTCATTGAAGATGAAGCCGAGGAAGACTGTGACGGTGTGGAAAACATAGTAGATGAGAAAACAAGACAACTGAACATACTGCAAAATGTGCTTGGTGTTGCAGTCAAAACTAGCACAAATAAGGATGCTGACAATAAAAAGTTAAAGTAAGATGTTTCTTCATATGTGCTGAAAAATAAAATTGTATTTGCTGGAGATGTCTGTACTTGATACTTACATATAAAAATCTGTGTTGCTTTACACCACACAAATTATACAGCAAATTTACATTTTATTTTTATATTTCACCTATTTGAATGCGTTAATTTCCTTTACTGACAGACGTTTGAAGCATAAAATATTCTTAGAATATTGAAAAATGCAATTTCTATTGTACGGTATGTAGTAATACAAAACCAAATTTGTAGTAAATTCACATGTTTTTATGACTAAGAAAGGATATAATGCTATATAAAGCACAATTTCACATTTCAGGACCAAAATAGGAATGCTTCGTTTTGACCCATTGCAACCAGAACACGCTAAGTTTTTGGCGCCAGCCGATGAACTGCAAGAACAGGCAAAAAAGTCAAAAAAGAAAAAATCGAAAGATAAACAACAAGAAGACGAACAGCCAAAAGAAACTAAAACTGAAGGTCCCAAGGTTGAAGTGTCTAAGGAACAGTTTTACAATATTAGTGAAACATTGAAAGAGGCAATAAAAAAACCTGCAAGTTTTAGTTTGAGAAGTTTGTTTAGAAACAATGAAGAAGAAAACAAAGAAGAAGGTTAGTGTGTCTAACCAATACATTTCTTTTTTAAATATTAAGATAACTAATGTGTCAGTACTTATTGAATTTATCTCTTTAGTCTGATATGCCATGGCGCTCTTAATCCTTTTGCTCTCACAGCTTGGAATTGGCTGGCAGAGATCTCTTTTAGAGATAAGTCTACTTTTGCTCACTTTTTATATACCTTTAATTTTGGGTTTTGTTTGGGGCGATAAAGAATAATATATTGTTTGTTTAATAATTCTTGAATCCGAATTTCTGACTTTTTTCAGAAGAAACTACAACAATGGACTATATACCTCTAACAAAGCCAAAGGATGACTATAAGAAATTTAATAACCCCCTGGATCCTGGCCAAAGGAATCCTTTTGTGTATGATTCATCAGATTCCGAGAATGAGGAAAATAATGAAATAAATAAAGATCAACTAGAGCTTACGCCTGTTGCGACCAAGGCAGTTTGGAAAGAGAATTTGTTCTTTTCGAAAACAGATCAGAGACTCGAAGGTAACACACATTTATTGTTCTCATTCACATTGCCTTTAATATTATGTATGTGCTGATCATAGTTTGATTTCTTCATTTTATAGTAGACAGACAACAAATAATATTTATTTTATTTATATATTAGATGATTATGTGGATTGAATTGGTGGATAGAATTAGTCGCTCATTTGTTTACAAGATATTGGATATTCAAATGTTTTCATTGATTGGTACATTTACTTAGAAAAATTGTACATGTAATGAAAAATGTGCATCAAAGGAATGCCACCACTCCAAATGAGTTTTAATGAAGGATTTTTCCTTTTTCAGAAGGCTTGACTTTCTTTAATAAAATCAATGCAAATGAAGTACAAAAAGAAAGGAGAGAACTAAAATCACTCATGAAAAAACGGATCTACAACAAAGAAAGGAAGAACCAGATGTTCCATAAGAAAATTGGGGGTAGAAGAAAGACCATGAAAAAATCCTACAGAAAAAAAAGTTAATTTTTAAATAATCATCAGGAAGTGCAGAATATAAATTATATGCATATGACATTTCAGATTTTTTAATTATCTCTTATCTGGAAATCTGATTTATAGATTTGCAAACTAAAATAGTAAATTCACTTTTAAAGTGTAAAAACAAACTCATGAGTATTGTACACTGACTATTTATTGTTAAACCTGTTACAAAAATTACAAAATTATCTCCTCTTCCAAGTAGGTTTCTTTCTAGCACCAGGTTGCCCTGGCTTCTTACGCTCACGACGACGGTGGTCTCTGGTCAACAATCCAGCCACTTGCATTTTCTGTAACATCTCCTTGTCCACAAAACTTCTCAGGCCCCAGGCTATACCCCACCTAATAGCTCCTGACTGTCCCGATGGCCCACCTCCCTCAATATTGCATATCACATCTACAACATTCTGCATCCCAGTAAATATAAGTGGGAACAACACCTGTTCCCTAGACTGTATATCATCAAAATATGTGATGTCTTGGCCATTTATAATTATCTTACCAGTGCCAGGTGACTTTATTGTCACATCTCCTCTAGCTTTCTTTCTCAAACATTCATATGTCGTGACAAAAGCCCTGCCTTCATCATCATAACTAGGCTTTGGGATTTCCAAAGCAAACCTTTGAGCAGCAAGTGGTTTTCTATACTTCTCAATAAAATCTTTGTGTCTATAGGAATAAGGCAAAGACACAAGTCTTTCCATGACTACTTTGAAATTGTCATATTCTAGATCTGTGATTTTTTCAACCAAGGTTTGTTCAAGTTGTTCTTTAGTCAGCCAGTGGCTATTGCCTAGGTTGACAGATCCATTAGGATCAGGAGTTGCCTTTTTTCTAATCACTTTATCCTCAAAGTTGTATAGTTGTTGTATATTGTCAACAGCATCAAATAACAGTTTAAAGAAGTTTGGTTTTCCAGTGTAAAATAGGAAATGATGTGGACGACCAGCTTCATCAAATTCAGCTGCTTTACGAGCTGGAAACACTTCCTCTGGAGGCTTCATGAGTGGACGGGCAGCAGGGTCGTAGATACCACTAGGAAATAAATACTCAATAGCACGATCTACATCTTTCTGTGTAAACGTTTCAGGGTCTTCTCCCATCATATTTGCAAGATGCCGCATCCCAATATTAAATTCAAGATGTTGCTTCTTCATGAACTCATCGTGCTCTCTAGCTCGTTCTAAGTAAGCTTTCATGGCTTTGCTGATCTTTTTCTTCTTACTCAAGGTCTCCCAGTCGGTTAAATTATTAAGAACATCATCAACTTTAGATTTGCTGGTTACTTTCGAGCTTTGCGAACGGGCATTAAAGGCAAAAGTATTTTTGACACAAATATAAGCCGTTCTTGAAATCGGCAGTAGTCGCCTCAAGCTGAAATTAATAACTTGTGACATTTTAATTACTCTTCATACTTGTACCTAAAATAAAACCCTTTATAACCTCAAAATTTTGATAGTATTTGAGTTGTTTTTTCAATTCTTGAAAAGGCAAAGGTTACACCATACAGCCAAGTAAATTTTTTAAATTAAATTGGTAATTTTTTCTTGATAGCATTTAAGTCTTTTCTACTCTTTGGTTTAAATTTGCGGTCCACGCTATGGAAACAGCAGTGTATTTGAGCCTTTAGAGGATGGAAAAAGATAAAAGATTTGAGCGATCGGGTCGTATTCTAGAACTCTACTCAATGCCTGTTCAAAACTTAAATATCAAACATTGACTTACAATTATATGGACGTCGGGTCCGCGGTAAAAAGTGTCCGCACTTGTAAGGCGCTAAAATCGTATACAGAGCGCCAAACTCCGCTTTTTCTAGTCTTCATTTGTTCTACTGACAGCGCGATACTGCGATGACATTACAATTTAAATTTCGAATAGGTTGACTTGGGACATTTTTTTTCGTGGTTTTTGTATTAGACCCGTCGCCCATTTATTTGTAAGTCAATGATATCAAAGCACGAACGTACGTCTAGGTATAGCTTAAGGATAGAAAAGAAACAGGAGGTATAGAGTAGAGATGGTTAATATAATTTATAGCTCATACTATAACGTTAAAATAAAAAATAATTATAGCAATTATAATTTGAAAGACATAAAGGCGCTAAAATTATAACGAAATTTTTTCACTTTTTTGGATTGGAGTACGTTAAGAAAATTAAACCAAATGTCATCTAGCGACTTAATTTTACAATATTTCAATGCCATACCATCAAACTATCCGTGCTTTACTTACGCAGCTAACAAACAAAATCCTTCTTTGTCCTGAGTTATCTCCGTTAAAATTTAATAGATGGCACTATATTTTATGTGAAAATTGCGGCTCTTGTCATTGGTTACAATTATAACGTGAAATACTTTCACATATTATTTGTAACATTTAACGTTTGGTGCGAAACGCGAAATAGCTGATTGGTTTATTGATGTTAAATTTCACGTTTGAGTACGCTAAGCGCTAATGCCATATTTAGCACTTAGCAAGTATTATAATTGTAGTTATGTTATAAATTATAATTTTAGTTACCTTTTAATACGTTTTTGAGCTAATGGTGGAACGTTAGCAAAATTTCGTCTGGTGAAGCGATTTAAATTAAGATACAAATAAGTACTTGGATTTATTTAGTTAGTTTAGCGTTTGTTTAATTAATAAGTCGTTGTAATATTTGTATATAAAAGTACGAGTGTGTGCGTTATTATTAATTATTATGAGTGTAATTTACTGTAAATAACCAGTGTAAAGTTTTGTGCAAATTGTAAATAGTAAATTCTTAAAGTATGAAGAGAAGCTCATTGATCTATCGTCTATAACCTGTAAAGACCATATTATGTAATAGTTACAAAACAAATGAAGTCGGTCGTAACTAACCATAAAGAACTGTATACTATTCTATAGATAAACCATAGATGCTATACTTAACAAGTACGTCAACTATTTCACGTTTCTTTCCGATCCGATCACACGACCTTGAGCTGCTAAAAATTATAATTGTAGCACTTTAAATAACGCGCTATAAAAATTTAGCATTTAGCGTGCTATGCGAATATAGCAGTTAATCTCATCTCTAGTATAGAGTTCTTAATAGTTGATTCGCTCTGGACCTTTTGGAGGGAAAAGTGTCGTTTTTATTTTGGCTTTCAATTATTTTGTGAAATCTAGTTTAAAGTGGAATAGGATAGTGCTATTGTGCCTTAATCGAAAATTAAAACGCGAAATTATACGAATCTCGAACTAGAATACCCGTATCAGCCCGTTTTATGGAATCCCGAGTCAATCCAAGCACGCCGCCTCAAATTGCCTATCCTCTTTGTGGCGGCCATATTTACAGAAACATAATTTAAACTTCATGTTTAGGCTGATGGCTTTGCCAAAGCTTTAATAAATTTAAAAAAAAAATCTTAATAGTTTGACAAAGAAGTGCTGCCCGTGGAATGAGTTATTTTGACACAAAAAACACAGATATAAAAATGAAATAAGACGATCGATAGTCGATTACGGTTTTGTTTCTTTTTTGGCAATTCCGCCTTGTAAAGTTTAACTCGGAAATGGAAATACAATTTGTACTGTTTTAATAATTATAATTGTAAACTATTAAAAAATACTCTGTGGTGACAAAATTTTGCATCTTTATTTAATTGCAACAATTTAAGGGCCCAATTACTTAATCATATATTTCAAAATACAGGAAGTACTAACTTCCTTTTCGTAAAGACTACGAAATAATATCGACGGCCGGCGAGGTGATTCATAAAGTGAAAGACAGGACAACAAAATGGAGTTCTGGATGTGACGGGAAACAAAACTACCTCTAAGACCGTTCCGATATAGGGCCTGATTCCTATCTATTCCTACTGTATACTACTATTCTTTCTAATTTGTAGGCAAGTCGAGTTATTTAACTCGAATTACACCCACAACGAATCAACTCAAGTTACTTTTTCATGAATTCGAGCTAACCGAGCTGAGCTGAGCTAGGTACCCGACTCTCCGCCAAGCCGACGAATACTTCATTCATATAGCGCATCGGGTACTCGTTCTTACTCGGCAACCTTCGCATCACGCTTGAACAGCGATCGAACGGTTGATCGTGATCGTGCCCAACTCGGTGAATTGTTGAATTCTACTCGCGACGCGCGCGAGATACTTGCGGTTCGCAGAGTTAGCCAAGCGTCTGGCTTTTAACCCAGCGCTTTGGAAACGCTGTCGATGTGTTTAAATCGGGTTAAAATCCTTTAAAAAGGGCCCGAAAACGCGGGCAAAAACTATTTGCAACAAATATTTGTTGTAAAGAGACTTTTGTTCAAATGTAATATTATTACAAAATGTTTCTTGCTTTCATCAGAAATTTATAATAAGTATGGAATTACACCAAATTCCGTATTCGCCGTTTCCGCCCACAATTTTGAGTAGAATGAGTTAAAAACCTTTCACTTTGAGTGAAACCCGAGGGCGGGTTGATTGAGTTTTAACTCACTGCCCATCTCTGGCTGTACGTAGTCGGTAAAATACCGATTAATGTTGGGTCATGAAAAAGTTCCATTTTTTCAAAGGATATTTTTCCAATATTTTCCCTTCATTTTTCCATATTTGACGGTGACACCTGTCTGGTGATGTGGTTGCTGTATTTTATTTATTTTCATCCTAAAGGGTTGTTGCTTAGACTATGAAAACCAAATTTTTTTCCATCCTCTAAGGGTTGTTGGAGGTTTCTTCGCTGTTATGAAATCATTTTAAATTTTGTTTTTCTCTAAGTGGCGTTTAGCTACTGTTTAGTGGCATTAATGAAGTTGAATCCACTCGTACTTTTACATAATGAAAATATATTAAAACTGCTAGGTAATATACGGAAAGCAAACGTATGCACTCTTAAGGTATTCCGATGACAAGTGAAATTGCTGTCATGAGAGGTCCGAGCCGGTTTCACTCCGCACCACACATGTCGTATTTGCTCGGATACTTCAAATAGGCGCGTATACAGCTACACAATTTTTTTTTATAATTCACGCTAAGTTAAATTACAAAGGATAGTTCTAAAAGTAGAACATAATATGAGCCCGCCAAATTATATTTTTCCAATTTTTTAAATTTACCATTTTTTCGGGAATTTATCCGGAAAATTTCCACTATTTGAAATTTTTAGGAAAATTAACCAACTGTTTGTGTCAATCGAATCGTAACGTGTGTGGGAGGTTTCACCATAGACAATCTAGAATTAGTAAACAAATAAATCCGTTATGGCTTCAAGTTCAAATTATCTCAAAATACCGACGCTCACTTGAACTAATGTAAATATAATGAAGTGAAAGCCTTGAAAACTATTTAGAATTTTCTGTAATTGTGATTTGTGTTTATTTGCGGAACACAAATTGTCGAGATAAGTATGTCAGATAGTGATACAGATGTGTTTTCGAACAATGTTTTTACGCACCAAAATCGAAGCACGGTTCGTATTACTTATTTTAATTAAACTTTAAAAAGAGGATTTATTTACCTTGTTCAGTTATAACTCACTCGAGAAAAGAAGAAGGAAAGGAGAGTGTGAAACATATTTATGCATGAAAACAAACAGCTTGGCTTCATTAGAAAAACTATTTTCAGCGAGTTTGTGCCAAAGGCCCAAACGTGAACACTACCAGCTTTAACGTTCAAAATACCAACATGCTGACTGCAAGTATGAATATGCATTGGAATATGGAACGGCCACGGTATGCAGAGTCTGTGTACGATCAAAGAAGCATGTATAGCAGGCGAGAGACGTCCCCTATGTCGTTTCATAGCGCTTCAGGTTTACATTTACGTAATTTACATCATTCGTATTACCCTGGTGGAATGAGCTCACAACGATCGATGTACAATGGAAGGAGTGGTTCACCAATGTCTGTACGAACAGTAGGTATGTTGTTTTTGAATTATAATAATAATCATTTTCCAAGTAACCACACCAGTTACTTGGACTCAAACTAGGAAATTTCCTGCACGGTGAGTGAAATGGCAACAAAATTAACTTTTTTATTTATTTCCCACATTAATCCTACTGATAATCGAATGTATGACCTCGTCTAGAACCCCACAGTGTGAATATTGAGGCCACTTAGGTCGCCAGGCATATTTAAAAACATGACATGATGGTATTTAGAAACATTGTCTGTATGGTAAACCAGATGGACAATATGTTGTTTATCTAAATAATAATTAAGTCTATTATGTGTATTGTTTATAATATTTATGTAATTTTCAGATTCTAACACAAGTGCTACAGATATAGCTTTAGCACTAAAAACCAGAAAGTTTAATAGATTTGACATGCAGATCATAAAGGAAGCTTACAACAAATTTATAAAACGCAGAGTTCGTAAAAGAATTGAAAAGAGGCGTAATTTGCGAACATTTTTGAAAGGATGTCGTCGATTATCTGGTGGAGAGTCCGGGGACCAAGCAAGTGATTCATCCTTAAGCAGTGATGATCATAGATCACTTAGATCATCTAAAACTGCTACTTTTAATCATAGTGCAAATCGTACTTCAAGTAAGATAAACTTGATGAATTTAAAAAAGACCATGAAAGAAAGTGGAATGTACAGAGACTGCACTGAGCATTTGAGACAGAATCGCTTCCTTAATATGATGTCAATCCCTCCAGGGAGTATGCAGGAACATCTGCAATCCAGACTAAATAATACCTCTTACATGGCTAAGCATGGTAGGCATGGGTTTATCTTACCATCGCAAAGATTCAACGCCAACCAATTTGTTGCCCCACCACCCATACCTGAAATGCCACATCTAGGCCCACAAATATTTGACAACCAAATAACAAATGGAACACAAAATGCAAATCTAAATAATTTTAATAAGAACAGAGATCATATAAGAGAACCCAGCCAAGAAGCAATAAGTGAACAGGAAGAAATATTTTCTGAAATAACTATGATGCAAAAAAACAGTGAAACAAAATCACAACGCAAAAGAGTTCTGGAGGAAGAAAATATTACTTTTGGTAGAAAGAAAAACAAGTTATCTACACCTGTTAAAAATGTTGTAAATCATGATACACTAAAACCTAAACAAACTGTTAGTAAATCAAATAATCAAGGCAACAAAAGTGATTTTGTATTTGCTAAACCTCAGCAGCCTGTTAAAAAGCCTGCTAGTATTAAAAACCTGAATGTGAAATCACTACAAGTATCTTGTGGAAAATCTAAATCACTTAAGATGTGTAGCACAATTCCATCTAAAACCCAAACACCACAAATTGTTTTGAATCCACAACAACAGGAAACTTTAATTTCGAAATCTCAGGCACCAGTGAAAGAGATTATACCACAAATCCAAACTCCAAGAGAAACAGTATATCAATCACCAGAAAAAATTATATCAAAATCGTCTCAACCCTTGGATCTAGAACAACAGAGAAATCTAAACCTGCCACAAAATAGTTATGAAAAGGACCAACATGAAATGACACATTCAACCACTGATATATCAATGAGGCCAAGTTTCATCAAAAGGAAGCTATTTACACAAAAAGTAGATGAAACAGAAAATAATGGAAGCTCAGAAAGTTATCAGACACAAAGTCCACAATCAAATATTTACAGCAAAATACATAAGGAGAAAAACAAGGCTAGGAAGTTGGTAACACAGTCATGTTTGAGTAGAGACCTTGGGGATACTAGCAATTTGTTAGATTTGATATATAAGATTGTTCCACCAGATCGAATGAACCTTACAACAGTTACAAACAAGAGTGAGATTCAAATGAACAAGGACAAATCAGCTACTAGTGACAAGTGGGACATCACAGCAATCATAACTACTAATAAAAGTGAAGAATTAAGTGATACATTCACTGATGATGAAATATTCAAATATGATGAAACCAAACAAAATCAAGCAAATAATAAACAAAATTATATAAAGAGTAATGAGAAGGAAAATGTGGTTGCAAAGAATAAGAACAATTCAACTTTGAAAACTGTTCATAAACAATGCAAACCAGTAAATTCAAAAATTGTAATAGACAACAATATAAAGTGTAGTAACAAAGTACTTCTAAAGAATAGTGAAAAAGTTGAGACATATAAGAAAACTGACTCAAACAACCGGACAAAAAATTGCCCGATATTGCCAAAATCCCCGAAAATTATATTACAAAAAATATCACCCCAAATTGCAAGACAAATGGAAAATGTTAAAAATTTACAATCAAATAACGAGCCTTCTACATTCAAGAACACAAATGGTAAGGATACGCTTTCTGTAATGATGTCATTTTGGTTCATTGGTTGTTAAAATTTTTTCTCCTTAAATTTGTCTCTTTCAGATGTTAACAACAAGACAAAGTACTGTGTTAAATTATTTTGGAACGAGACTGATAGTGATTGCGCAGCAACATCTGTGAAAAAGCCTGAACTAAATGGAAAAGGTGATGACAAATAGTAATAGGCTTAAATTTTCTTCAAATTGACTTCTCGGCTCTTGTTAGAAGTCTGTATTAAATTGCTTAATAATATTTTATTGGCAAAATTGAACCCTTTCAACATTTATTTTTAATATTTCAGAATTAACAAAATCGCGTACTGTAAACCACTCCATTTCTAACCAAAGGAATAATACTCAAATTGAGGTACCAATAAGACAAGCTATTACTGCAAAACCTAGTTTAACAACAAACATATCTTTTAATACAGCACACTCGAAAAGCAACAAATTATTAGACGATGCGCCAAATAAGGGTAAAGTAATTCAAAGTAAAGAGAAAACTGATGTAAACAAAATTGTAAAAGTTCAAGTACAACAAAATAAAGAAAGAACCTTTAACAATGGCTTGAAATCTAGGCAGAATAACACAGAAACTAATAAAAAAACCTACATAAAATCAACACCTAGTGCTACCAAAGTAAACACAAGCAGAAAAGAGGACAAAATATTAAAAATTAATAACAACCCAGCCCAGATTACGGCAAAAAAAATATCAAAAATTAATAAAAATTACACTGACTGTATATTGAATGACACTGTGAACACCGCCGATGAGACGAAACTTTGTAGAACACTTAGATCGAGAGTTATTGACCTATCAACTTCAATGGATACAGAAAGTTCACCTTTGAACAAAAAGACCGTTCTGAGGAAGGGCAAACAAACACCCGTAAAGAATAAATATGTTAAAAAACTCAGCAATAAGGAAAATATTTCAAAAACAAGTGATCAATCTTTCACTTTATCATCGGAAACCCCTCTAGCAAGTAAACTTGCTGCCAATAAGAGAGTTAAAAATGTGAATAATGTAAAACCGAATGTAACTAAATCAAGACAGAGTGATGTGTCATTTGCTTTAGGAGAAAAGGTGCTGAATCATACATCTGCAAGTACAAGAAGGCATAAAGAAGTAGAAAAGTTGCAACTTGGTACACCGAAGTTTTTCAACTCGGGCAAAAAATCGCCGTTGAGGAAGAGAGTAGAATCTGCCAGGTTGAATAAATCTAGAAGTTCTGTGAGGTTGAACAGAAGCAAAGTATATTAGTGTTAGAAATGCGATACTTGTTTTCTGATAGAAAAAAATAACATCAGTGAAGTTGTGGCAATGATGTTTCTACATTTTCGTGTTTAAATTATGATAATAACTAATAGATTTTAAGAATGTGTAATATTCATAAATATTTGTTGTTTTATTTTCAAATAAATACTTTATGTGGGTATATAAAACGGAGTAGTACTGCTGGTTTCAGGCAATCATGTGTTACATAAATAGTACTTGTGTCTCTGGAATTGACAATAGATACAATAGAGTTTGTATTTGCATTTATTCTTGGTTGAATGCCTACGAAGTTATTGATGAATATGATTTATTTTGTTAAGGGTTTTATGGACATCTTGTGTAACTATAAAATAAGATAGTTTTATTTAAATTAAATATTACCCTAAAACATAAATCTTAAAAGGAGGTCAAGCTCTGTGCAAAGAGCAGGATTTTTCTTATACTTGACTTGGTGGCCCCATGTTGTTTTTGTTGACCAAAATATTTTTTAATCTTAACGTTATTATCATTTAGAAATCCAAATCATAACCGAGTATTTGTACCCGGATGTGTAAATAAGACTAATAATATTAGATTAATTATATTGTAATTAAAGAGTCCGCCTCTCAGATAGACGGGACTCGCCGTTTTGAAGTGAGTATACATGAATAGATATCTTGTAACGGCCATACTAATTTTATACTAAGCAGTGTGCCAGACAAGTTAAGAACTAAAGAAGGCAAACACCATGACCAACTTTACGACACTGTGTTACGTCAATAATTGTGTAGTTTATTTTTTAATATTAATTCCATTATTATTATAACAATCTTCAATAATTATGGGTTTGCATGTAAAATGATGAACCGTAAATTATTTATCAAATTTATTTAGGTAATCTCTCATAAAGCATTTCTGTAACGGAATAGTTTTGAAATGAGTGTGATATTCTACAATAAATATATGTATTTTAAGTATACGTATTTTATTACTTTACAAACGTGCTTAGCGACAATAAGCCTGCATGTTGCTCTTAAGGTAGGTCGAAGCGGAGCTAGTGACGCTGTCTTCGCAATCATACAAGTCGCAGAACAATAAATACACTATAAGTGCTTAGTTAGCGTCGCATTCGTGCCAATAGAAGGCCTAGTTACGTCTAGTTGAGCTCAGTCCGTAATTTTTTTTAAACGCTTGCATACGATTTTGTTATAGCGTTCCACTGAGAAGTCACATAACACATGTATTAAACCAACACGGTATTCTGAATATGGAATCGAGAAGAATTTTGCATTTTTCTTCATTGATGCACTCTGTTGTCAGATACAAAAGTCCACCTTATCTATATTCAAAATTGAAGTGGTATACTTATTCATATAATTCACGCAGGATAAATAGTTTTTTATTGGTAACACCCTTTCATAAAACAAGAGCCTTTGAGGGTAGTTTCCAGTATCAGGCATCTAAATGCTGGAACAATCTGCCTCTCCACTCAGACAAAGGATCTCTAAATCAACATTTAAAAAACTTTTAAAAAAAGTGTTAATAGAAAACCAGCGTATGCTCTGACGCCGGATGTTCCCAACTTATTAATGATATTTACATATATTTATAGCTTTTATTTAAATGTACGAGTATATGTGTGTCGTAAATGTGTAGTGTGGCTTAAAAGGAAGGATATACATGTACCATTTCCTCGGGACTCAGTCGACGCCGATACAGGAACGACTGAAAATCAGCGTCTGTTTCGACCGAGATAGACAAATTGCTGAGTCGTATCCTTTTCCTCGCTTGAGCCACTACGCACACTTACTAACTTAAATTAATGAGTCACTTCTTGTTTTCTTTTTAGTTGTAATTTTAGATATAAGTGTGTGTAGTGTTTCAAATTCAGTGAATAAAGTTCTTTCTTTCTTCCTAATTTCGCTTAGTACCTATGGTTGTGTCAATTCTTTCGCACAAATTCTATAAATAAAGTAGAAAAATGCCTTATTGTGCAGTCTTGGAGTGCAAAAATGATAGCCGCATCAAAAATATTACCTGTGGTGGTATTTCATATCATCATTAGCGGCATGGATTTTTCCTCAAATTTACCACAATAATTTACGAAGCTAATTCAGTTTTATGATTTTTTATATAATGAGTGATTATGATGAGTGTGTGCATTATTACTATTATTGAAGTCCTTCAGTCGATTAGTGTTATGACTATTCACTATGTTGCTTATAAAAAAAAATGATGTCGCCATAGGGTGAAAAACAGAACATTGAAAAACCAACTATTTCGCTGGGTAATTTTCAACTTAATTTCGGTGGCAATTTTTATGACCAATTTATTATTATCATGAAGTACTCAACATACGCATCTAGATAATATTTCAGGATACTAGTATCCTGAAATATTATTTAATATTTCAGGATACTAGTATCCTGAAATATTATTTAATATTTCACTATAACATACTCGAATACTTAAATAAAAAAATATCACCAAAATTAGTAAACTAACCCGAATATACATTCCGTACGACTCTAGTACGCTTCCTGAAGTCATAAAGAACAACTAACTAAAATCGCTATAAATTCAGAGCTATTAGTTAATTATATACATCACCCAAAACGTTACGTTGATATGAAAAATTTTATTTGTTAGCAGTGGTTTACTATATTTCATAGTAGAGTAAACGCACACTTCGAGCAAATTCTCTAAAAATGGATATTTTGAGTTGTTCCATCAAGCTACTGAAATTCACCATCAAAATTAGACAATAGTAAAAAAGGCAATTTAAGAAAGCTGCGCATCGATAGAGAATGATAGTTAACTTTAGATTTAAATTTCAACTAGTCATGTTGGGAAATGGGTTATCATTTATTATATACACGAAAGTACACTTCATATTGATAACATTAACAAAAAAAAAACAATTCACAAAGAAAAATAAAACTCATCGCCATATTGGAAATATGTATATATTTAAATTCCACAAAATAGCGGAACATACATGGGGTCATTTCGTGTATGTCTAGATTTCTTCCTTTGGACGATACTTCTTGGACCACCTTTTATAATAATATGTATAGGTGCAGCGGTTAATAAAATCCAAACATAATAAACTTATTATTTATTTGATAAGACATTCACAATCTGAAAAACTGAGGCGATTAATATTTGCTGTTAAGGCAATTTATAAATTTAAAGTAAATAAATTAATTATCCATGAATTTGTAACGTAAGCGAAATTAATTCGCCAATAAGTCGTTAGTCCTCCAACGTTCTAGTACAGTCGAATGAAAAATTAAATATAGTTCCAATAATTAGTGCCTACACTTCAGTTAGTGCATAAAATCAAGTTTTGTTCTAATTAACCTAAAATGTCCATGTTAATTATCACTTCCAAATTTACATGTTTTTATGGAACGGGTATGTAATAAAAAAATGATCATATCATCAGAATCACAAAATATAACATTGTATATACAAGAAATACTTTCAGATCTTTAATTTGTGATTACAATGTTACTGTACGCTTGAATGTTAACTTTTTTATAATAACGTCAGTCAATTCCGATGTTATAACAGAATTCAACAAGTAACAGTAAATATCTCCCATAATTTAACAACTTATTAAATGCAAGTTTACAGGCGCAGTGGCCCAAAATGTTGAATATTAGATTAAATATGAAACTCATCTGCACCACATTCCAAGACACATAGCATAACTGGAATCTTCCATACCCATTTATAAAAATAATACATAATAGAAAAGGAAGTCTCGATCGGAAACAGAGCCACAAAGAAATCGTCAAGAAATTATAAGATAGGAATGTACTTAGAATGACACAGCCATGAAGACTCAGAAACCTGAACATGTTAGTCGAAATGTAATTTTTTCTTATCCAAAAGTGTTTTATCGTCATTTCATACAACAAAATATGGCATATAAAAATCATTTCGGGGCCACTGTTTCCACATAATATTCGCATATCTACGCATAACAGTTACGCACGACTCATTGGCTGTGAAACACTAAGCACTGATACTATTTATGATCGTAAGCGATATAATTTCGAGTTTAATATACAAGGAGCTATGATACGCGTACATGATACATGGTGTTCAATATTCGTCGTCCTCTGGTGGGTGTGGATGATCGCCGTCAATTTCTTCAGGTGGCGCAAATCCGTCCTATAAATTAACCAAAAAAACAATTTAATTCTTAATGTCAAGTTTTAAACTTAGGGACAATTCCAACATTTGAAAATATTATAAACATATAAATGTTGAATAGTAAAGGAAACAAATGAGGAAAGCCATAAGTCAATGAGGAAAGCACACAATATGTTTTAAACAAACAGCGCGCCTGGCAATGTATTTTACAATCACAGACATATATCTAGAGACGCCGCCGCCGCCGCAAGTACAGCAATTTGTATGAAAACTAAGCGTGGCACATTTTTTGTACCCTCTATGACGTTACAAGAACTATTTAGTGATGGGAAACCTCCTTCCGCTCTAAATCGATTTGATTGAACGGAATACGCGTAAATACGAGTATTCCATTCTAAATAGAATCATTTTTGTTCAAGTATTTATTGGTTACAAGGAGTCGTAATATTAATATAGTAGAAAAATACTAAAATAACGTAGATAAGTCCTTTATTTTACTTTTTTCAAAAAATGTTGATTACTTAAAAAAATTATGACTTTAATTTTTAATCGACTTCAAATATTTAAATTATTGTCCTTCCAATAAAATGAGCTAATTATATAACATCTTTGTAATAGAAAATCTTATCGATTAATTTAAATAATGAAAACGCACGTCAATATATGAACTTGCGACTGCCTTAATTGATTTTAATAGATGGTTTTCTGTTGGTAATTGATCAAATTGATTAAGTTCTTGCACAAATGAAAACATTACTGCTGACAAAATATGGTAAAATCTTATTGATCAGAAGAGGTTTACTAAATGACGACCTCCTGTGAAATTTTTGTGATTTGTTTATTATTTTTCGGATTTCTAACTCTGCTACTCTGCATATTTGGATAGCATCTTAGGTGGGGTAAAGTAGATCACAACTCATATGTATGACCAACTCCAGATTTTTGTAAAGACAGCGCACTGTTACATTCTTCGCATTTTATATTTTTTTGTGCATATACGGCGATGTATGTAATTATTTGCTCACTATATTCGGACATTCGAGGCAACGTGCTGCACAAAAATTATCGAAATTATAGATACTGCTGATAATAGATACTACAAAACTGAAAAATAAAAGGAAACGTTACTAAACGTTAACAAAAAAGTTATAGAATATTTTTATAATATTGCTAAAGTCATAATAATTTTCGCCCCTTTGTTTTCAAAATCCATCAGAATCGAGAACAGTGTCGCCTAACGTATACCTACATCACTAAAGGTTAAATTTGGCCTAAAAAATGTGCGTACAAGCGGCCGTACCACGAAACTGAATGCATTATACAAAAGTGTGTTCGTTCAATATTCATGGCGTATTAACAAAGGATCACAAATATATCGCACCAGGTAAAAGCCGCAATGTATAATAAATATGAGGCATACACATGGTTGCATATTTGTTTTCTCGAAATTCATACAAAATCACTTGCCTGTGGAAGAAAATGTCCCTGTTTACTGGTCTACCCACAGTTATGGTGCTTTTGCAGTTTATTATGGCACAATTATGCATTTTTCGCGTTTTCGACTGATGTTTATCTACGATAACGGTAGAGCGCGTTCTGAAGTGTAGCAGCGGCAACTAAGTGTATTTCACACTTGCGGCGTCTATCTAGTTATATGTCTGTGTTTACAATGCTGTGAATAATGTCATGTAAAATGAATAAATCGAAATTCAAATTTGCATCTCGACAACTCTGAATACGCGCGAATGCTAGGGTGGTGCCATCGCTTCGGCTCCGATGAATCAATAAAAGCGCAGACTGTCTTTCACGTTGCAGTTTAGTTGGTGGCCATTAGTTGCCAAGTCTCCCCACTTATTGCCCCACTTTACCATTTAATGTTATACGAAAATAAAATGCTAACCTCAGTAGCGTATAAAATGTCCAAAATCTTCTGAACAATAGGGCTGTTCTGCTCCTCCATTTCCTGACAGATCACTTCTATGTCCCTGAGCTTGCCGAAATAGAAATCCCTTTCTTTCTCCAATCCATCCACAGTTGCTTTCAATTCATTTAACTGCAATTATATAAAATCCAAATTTATTGTTACTATCCTCAAACGTGTCATGGAAAAAACTCAGGTGACTTTATCTCAAAACATAAAACATGATAGCTCTTTCAAACTACACTTTTCACACTACAATATCTCAGTTCTCAGTGGCAGTACAAGTTGTCAACAACCACCTGCTAGTTATGCTATGATCAAGAGCATGTCAATGCTCTGAAATATTGAAGAAAAAAATAATGTGTTATTTTATTACACATAATGATCATCGTAATCATAAAATTTGCCACTCACTTGATGATTAAGCTCGTCAAGAAGTTTAGAGTCGCCTTTTGCACTTTGACTTAATCTTTGTAGGTTGACGGGTGGAGTTCTCACTGTGGTATTAGCCTTGCCAACTGCCAAAACAATGTAATTAGTTAACTATTAAGCAATACAACTTCTAAAATGCATATTTGTTAGTGACTTAGTATCAAAATTTTTACAGATAATTTACAATACTTATAATTATATAAGTAGGTATATTGCAACAGAATGCAGGTAACATAATCAGGTTAGTCTTGTTAATGACATTATTTTAGGGAAATTAATGAATACATGTCTGTACATAAATGCAACTAAAAATGATAACAGATAGAATACATGAATGTTATAAAAAGAACTAAAAATTCATTGGTAGCATGAATAAATACCACACACCAGACTCCCATCACTTGTGCAAATGATAAGTGCATAATATGATATTCATACAATATTAATACAATTGGCTTTCAATATTAACACTTGGGATATATTTATATGGGCTAATTATTTTATATCCACTATAATAGTGCAATGGTTCCAAATACTTGTATATTTCACAATGTTACAGGAATTTATCTTAGAGCTGATTTTCATGGGAGTAAAACAATAGAAAATCAAGCAACATGTAACAATGATAACAAAGAAAAGAAATAGTACTGGTTTGGGGTCTGGCCGGTACTTTGGCGACGGGGGCCGCAGGTTTCTTGGTGGCGGCGGCAGCGCGCGGCGCCGCCGCGGCCCCCGTCGAGCTGCCATGCCCCATGGGCAGCCCCTCGCGCGCCGACAGTGCGTCATAATTAGTCGCCGAGTCTCCATAGTTAGCGTCATAAAACTTCTTGAACCATTGCAAAAACTCAAAGTTATCTTGAAAACGACCCTTCACCAGCCTGTCAATGGGTACTATCTACAAAAGAAAAAAGTGGAAGGGTAAAAAACGAAATGATACATCTACAGTGCGGACAAAGGCAACCTAGCCGTTTGCATCACACTTGAGGAGTCATGGTTACGTGTTGGTAGTGTCGAATTAGATGTGTATGAGAATCGAGTGCGGCATGTGAGTGATGTGATGCGTACTGCCGCTAGTGGGGTGATGCGCCACGGGAGCTGGGCGGCGCGGGCGCGCGGCCGGCGGCGGCGGCGGCACAGCGCACAGCGGCACGCCCGGGTCGCATGCTCCTGAACCCAGCGTGATGCCGCCGCGGGCCTCGTACGCGTCATACTCTCGACCGTCATAATTTGCATCAAAAAACTTTTTAAACCACTGTAAAAACTCAAAGTTGTCTTGAAATCTCCCCTTGATCAGCCTGTCCACTGGTATTACCTACAACATGACATTTGTTAGTAATAATTCCAGGAAACATACCAAAATTTTGTGAGGAGCATGTTGCATGGTGAACTCAGAAAACACAAAAGAATTTTTTTAATTGGTCAAATAATTTTTTAAACAAACACATGTTTGTATGTTACAAATGTTATTACAATTTTAGCTCAATATATCCATGAATTATAGTGAAGTAGAAAAGTGTTAAACAACAAAATTTGTATAATTAGTACAGGGTACTAAAAAAATCTACCTCAAAAATTCATGGAATTCATCTATTTGCCAAGATTTGTTGAAATTGGTTACAGGAAAGTGTGCAAAATTGGAAGCATTCCCTAGTTTGCCACTCTTAGTGGTGGAATATTTTCTTCAAATTTAAATGGGACCATTACTGAGGACCACTACTCTTTCGAACAAAAAAGAATCATCAAAACCCTCTTTCTGGTAAAAAAAGGTCAGATCACAAATACAGATTTATAGCGTAATATACATAAAAAAAACATAGTTGAATGACATAATGACGATGACCTAGTAAGTAATCAGTCAGTTTGTGTGATAAATTCTAAGGATGATGACAAAAGTTGATGACTATTTCATTATTCTAAAATAATGTATTGTTCTTTTCAAACATTTGCTGTATGATAAACATCTAATGTCATATGTCAATAACATAGGCAGTACATATAAATAATGAATCAATTGATAGGCACTTGGCCTTGTCACACAATGAGAGCAAATCCTTCAAGAGTGTGAAGGAAGTCCAGTGGGCCATGAAGTAATAAACATGTCATTTGAATTGTTTGCTATGAACCCACCCACTCCAAATAGAGCTGTGTATTTCATTGCTACTAGCAATGGCCCTATTAAATTACTAAGAGCTCAAATAAATGGAAAATTCACCTTATCAACACTCATTTTTTTGAAGGCAGCCTGTAGTATTTTGAAGTTCTGTATGTACTCATGCTCTAAATTTGTTTTGAATTTGATGCGTTTCATAGGTACACTGCCAGGAAATAACATATCCATGAACTGGCAGTACGCGGCGCCGGTACACAACTCTTCGATTTTACTAAAGTTGGACTGCAAGCAGTCATTCACCCACGCCAGCATATCGTGGCGCGACAGGTTGTCCGTCGTAACATTGGTAGAATACACGTTCACTGCCATCTCCGATTATAGGTTACTCCCCCTAAAAATTAACACACCATCACTGTATAGTGCACGAAAATGCAAAGGAATGTTAAGATACCGGTTAACAACCGACCACTGCGCGGCACGTAAAAAAGAAAGCCGTTCTAAAAATAGGTCGTGGCATTAACCACAACGATTTACTTCTGCGACAATTATCATGAAATACTATGAAATTGGAATGAAACAAACACATGGTAGCGAACTCTAACACAGAGGTAAGTTATAAAAAATAACAGTAAACGTTCACACAGCGGATGTGGTTATGATACGATTGACAGGACGACTCATCCGAAGCTTTCGAAAAGTACGTATGCACTTCTGATAACTTTTAAAACAATAAAATTCTTTGTTCTCTACCTTTAGATATCAACGTTCTGAGCCACGATTTCGGGAATTTTGCACGAGTAAATGTTGGAACAGGAGTGAAAAACGTTGAATTTTTCAAAACGCTCACGTCTCACCTACAACCTCTTTTCTTGTGTAAATTAAATTCATAGACAAGCCAAACATTTTTTTGACATTTTTTGTGACGTTTTTAGTGCCGTCCTAATCGTCTTTCAAAAACCGGTTTTATACGTACAGAGGAGTTGCTCTTTTTCTCAAACAGATTTTTACATTGAAATTTCTAATATGTATGGAATTATACAATAATTCCGTATTATTTTGATCGTATGATGTTCCCACACACGATTTTGTGCAGAAATAGTTTAAAACCCGTGTAAAATCCGGTCTGGTTGATTGGGTTTTAACCCACTGCCATCTCTGGCTCATAGATTATTACTGAGATTCGCTCTGGGCCTTTTGGAGGGAAAAGTGTCGTTTTTATTTTGACTTTCAATTATTTTGTGAAATCTAGTTTAAAGTGGAATAGGATAGTGCTATTGTGCCTTAATCGAAGATTAAAACGTGAAATTATACGCATCTCGAACTAAATTTAGCCGTATCAGCCCGTAAGGAATCCCGAGTCAATCCAAGCACGCCGCCTCAAATTGCCTATCCTCTTTGTGGCGGCCATATTTACAGAAACATAATTAAACGAAGACATGGCTCAAAAGACTTGTATTCAAGCCAAAATTATTAATTAATTAATTAGATTTATTAGTACTGGCTGTAGCCCATCTTGATTATTAGTTTGTGCTGTAGCCCATTAAAACTATTAAAAGGCTGTAGTCGATTTGATTGTCAATGCCATTCCCAGCCAGTAGTGTTGCCAGGTCTATTGATTTTCCGGTAGAGTTGTTTTTTAGGAATTTTCAGATTTTTCAGTTTTCACAACTATTGACAGCTTTTTAGATTTTGTGACTCTCTGAACATATTGAACATTTGTCGGAGTTTTCGCAAAACTTTACAATGTGGTCAAATCGTAGAAAATCGTTCTTTAATTTTTTTTTTTGGTATATCGGCCGTATATTTGTCAGTAACAGGTCTAGAAAATGCGAGGAAGTAACATCTATGGTATTAAAGGGAAGGGCTGCTGGTAGATGGATGCAACGAGCTCAGGACCGGGCGAAATGGCGCGCATTGAAAGAGACCTATATTCAGCAGTGGACTACGATAGGCTGTTGACGACTACTGAGGTACCCTCTTTCCAGCAAAAAAGAATCATCCAAATCGGTTCACAAATGCCATACAGCCAAATAAAAAAAAAAAGAGTTATCGCGTAAAATACATACAAACCTTTTTTGAAATCGGTTAAAATACAATTTTCGTTGTCAGATACCAACATCGTAAGAAGACAATGTTTGAAGAAAATCGATTAAAAGTGTTTCAAACTACGTAAGTTCAGTATCTACTGTTTATTTTCCTCAATCTACTGTTTTATCAGTGCAATATCTTCCGTTTTTTTTAGATTTAACCTGGCAACACTGACGTTTGACGGCTGTCGGCTGACGTTTGACGTATCTCATAGTTTGTGGTCTGAAGTAAAGACTTCAATCTTATCAAATCTTGTTTACCCTAGTAATCTGTGGTTTACCCCATTTATTACACCTTAGTATCTAATTTGCGGCTTTAGTCTTATTATGAAGTTTGTTTTAAGCAGTTTGATTGCAGTGTGTTTTTTATCACGAAGTGTTACAATCTGCGCATTTGTGTGCCAATTGATGTTGAATTTGCATAATTGCAACCTGCACGAATTCCAGTTGTATTTATTAACCTGAAGGCAGAATCAACGTCGATTTGATGGGACCAACCTTCAGATATTGAAGAGAACATTTTTATTCTTAATTATTGTAGAGTAGGTATTAAGATAAAATGGCTGTAAACAATGAAGAGGGCGAAGAAAGGCTCGTAGGAAGTAACTCTTCTGTAATTAGAACAACTACTATAAGCGAATTACCAGGAAAATCTTTCGGGATCACTGTGGAGATCCCAATATTTTTAACTATGATGGGATTGGCTTTTATAGGTTAGTAGTTTAAAGAGTATTTCGTATTTGTTATGTCATCTACTATTAATATGTGTTGTCTTACTATATAACATTGTAGGTATATAACTATGTGCTAATACCTATTATTAGTTGATACCTATTATTTACTGTGTAGTAAATGTATTTGAAGTGTGATTTACCTACGTGTTAGTATAACTTCCATGATAATTTGTTTTTACTGCATACTAATAGATTGTCAGCTTTGTGCTTGTGAAGTTTGTGAAGATCAGGATACTGTTTTACTGAATAAAGCAATACAGTCAGCTGTGACCGTGGGATCTGTAAAGAGCTCAAAATGTTGGTTTATTTGAAAAAATTAGAGCTTTAGATCTAGAAAAGAGTCACTTCCAATATATGTATAACAACTATTTTTAACTTCATCTTAGTTCTATCAATTCAAATTATTTACATATACATATATGCCTAAAAACAAAGTGAGGATACATTAAAGGATTAAGGTCATTTATCAGCTCTACAATTAAGACTATGTTACTTATTTGATGCCCTGTTTGTTCATAGGAATATGGTCTTTGATGTCGGGAGTAGGACCCACCTGAGCTATCACTTCAAATTATAGAAGCAAACCTGCTCAACTAGCAATACTTATTGTTATACTGTCTAGGCTCTTGGGTTTCTGTCAGAGAAAAGTTTAAGGAGACTGGTATCATGACTGTGGCATCACAATACATTTACTTAAATATTTTATATGCCCGTAGAAGAAGTGTGTGTTTTTCACAATAAGATTCCGGAGCATATATTAAGATTATCATTTCCTAAGTTTAAAAACTACATTAAAAATATTTTGAATAAAAAGTCACATTACAAAATTGCAGACTATGTGTTAGATAAAGATGTATAGAAAGACGACATGGCTCCAGAATCCACACAAATTTGATTCAAAGTGTATTCCGTAGCATTTAAGTTTATTTGAAAAGAGCAATCCCTAGAGTTTCTTGCTCTTTCTTCACTGGGAAGTTTTAGAGTTATTCCGCTAAAACGAATTTGGTACTTTTAATGCGCAAATTCAACATCTCCTGTCGCATGTCACGCGAACTTCTGGCATATACTTGTTTCAGAAATTTGGGTGTACCCAATGTCAAAAACTTTTTTGGCATGAGAGCTCTTAAATATGACGTTTTCAAGTATCAATTTATTTATACAATAAATGATTCTTTGACTTTGACTCTGTGTACCACTTATGCTCTTTGCTTTTATAAGACTATGCTAGTTAGACATTATCATCATAGACATGTAAGGATTAAATTAGAGAGTTCTATGTTAAGTTGTCAAATTTTTTTTAGGTACTCCAATAACAAATATATTGATGTACAGAACCTGTTTTCATGTTAAGAACTATTCAGACTCAGAATGCAAGGTATTTTTATCTCCTGACAGGACTAATGTCACTAAACATATTGAAGAAGAAGTACAAATCTACACAACATTTATAAATGTTGTAAGAGACATCTTAGAATCATTGGTACCAGCTGTATTGTCTTTCTTTTTGGGAGTTTGGTCTGATACTTATGGAAGAAAACCTTTGATAGTTTGGCCATTATTGGGTAAGTTTTTCTATGCTCAGGGCACACTTAGTGACTGAAGCCTTTGGGTGCATTCAAATTAGACGCTCATAGAAGCGTTGCAGTGGCGCCAGTACTGATCTTCGTAGAATATTTAGAAGCGGAGTTGTAGCGCCACTGTCGTGCCACTTTTGCAGTCACAATTAATGAACTAAAAGCTACTGACGCGCTGCATCTAATTTCAAGGCTCCTTTTGGGACATGTCACGTTTTTTTCAACACTTTTTTTTGTCAACCAACATTAAATTCTAAATAAAAAACTAAGTACTAACTCAGCCTGATAAATAAGTATTTCTTTATTTGGAATGCTTATTACCATGGTTATTGTTAATTGTTTCGAATAATATGGTCTAAGAATAATAATTAGCATGTAACAATATAAAAAAATAGTTTCTTCTACTGCAGACAACATAAACATTACTAACGCCTCTGTGTTATGGCTCATTACTGAGTCTTGATTTAAATTAAATAATCCCTTAGACGTTTCTAAGAGGATTCAAAATTGCAGTGTTCTTTTAAAACCAATTCAGGACAAATCATAATTTAATTATGCAACTATTTTAAACAGACTTGGAATAGATCAACCATATTTCATGTAATTGATTTGTAAAGAAAGAAACTGATCTCTTATGCACAACCACAAGATAGTAAAGATAACAACATTGACAATTGCATAATCAGTAATAGTTTTATGTAAATTATATACTTTGTAAATTATAAACTGTGATTTGAATTGAGGGAGTTAATTTAGCCAAACAAAGAATAATGTGGATATTCCCTTCTACGAATCCTGGAACTTCTCAGAACTGATTATATTTTTTTGTTGGAGTAGAGCTCCTTGTCAAAGGGTTCGTCCTGAGACGTACTGCCATCTTGCCTATTTCGGTTGTCAAGCAGTAGTGTAAGCATTACTGCGTTTCGGTTTTGAAGGGTAATGTGATAGTGAAATTACAGGCACATGAGACTTTTCAACTTATGTCTAAAGGTGACGGGCGCAATGGCAATACTTCTCAGATCTTTGAAATGTAAAGCTCTGAGTGGCACTGCAACTGTTATGGACAGGCGTGTCGCTTGTCATCAGGCGCACGACTTGTTCGTCCCGTCACTTAATATCATAAAAACAAATATTTTAATATACTACACGTTATTTATAGAAATTTGAGTACCTACATTGGCGACAAATTTATTATTTCCTCTTAAGTATTTGCTATAATATTATATTTTATTAATATATTAAGTCATCTCAAAAAGTAATAATGTAGTCGTGTTTATGTAGGTGTTTACCTACGGATTTAAATACTTTAGCCATTTAAAAAATAAACACGAGACAACCTATGTCTTGGAGTGTTTAGAAAATAAACAGAAAAAAAAGAAAGTTTAATAATAATAACGCATATATTATTGATACGCATTGATGACGAAATGCATGGGCAGGTCCATACTAAGAAAACCTTTGTACTTTAGGTAAATTAACTCCCTCAATTCCGATAACTGGATTATAAAGCATAATGTGACTTATTATCTATATCTATGCACTGAATTTCACTGCATCCATGATGTACTGTATTATTGCCACAGTGGAGTTCCAATAATCCATCCTTTTCGGATTAAATGAAATAAATCATTTTTAGAATAAATTACACTAGTACTAACAAATTAGCGCGGACATATTATAGACAAAATGGTTTTCTTTATAGAGCTAGCAAGAGTTTTTACGAGTTTTTGGACAGTATTTTAAGCAATCGTAATCTAAATGTTGACATACTCAATTGTAAGTTTTTTGTTAATTGTTTGGAAATTGTTGATTTTTCATTAGTAAATAGATAATGTATGATTATGTAAATATAAAACATAACCAAATTTCGGGACGTACAACAGTGTATGTTGTTCTAACAATACTTATTTATATTTTTCTATATATATACTTATTATATATTTCGTTTGGTTTCGGATTACTGAAGTGTAGAAGTAGTTAGTACCTGTACTGTATGTATTCTATTGCATTACTTTCGATTTATGTGATAGTGGGTTTTATAACAGTAAATTCTACAGTCGTGCATTATCCATGGCAGCGTGACAGTTTTATAATTTTAAATAAAGCTTGATATGAGATAATGTGAAGTATGTCTAAGTATTTGCTTATTAATGAAGTAAATAATAGAATTAACATTTCTATTAAAGTCTTTCGGGTACTGGTGATTGTATATGTTTAGGTAATTAGATAAATTGGCAAGGATAGTAAGATAGGTTCTATCTACATAGTAGTGAGTGGTGCCAAAGATAGGTACTATCTACATAGTATCATGAAATACTAAGTATTTTCTGTATCAACCTCATCTTAAAGGACCAAAATACGTCAAGGGTTTCACCATAGTTAACGAGGCAGAATGGGCCTGTTGGGCTACTGGATAGCACGACACAGGGCGCGACTTGTGCGATATACTGCTATCTCGCCCTATTGAGGTGGCCAAAAAGGTGCCTATATCCTTGCAATAAGAGCGAAAAAGACATTGTTTGGATAAATGAACTATAAGTGTGTAAAACGACGTCGGAAAACTAAATGCCGCGACCTACATACATTAACCAAGTAATAAATAATAGATTCAGGCGTTACTTTGCGGAAATCCATTTTAATAAAAAATGGAAATCGAACTCAAAGAAGGTTAAATAACTAGAAAAAAATAGCTGTTTGCATTGAACATTTTATTCATGCAGTTAATTGTTGATGTTCGTAGAACCCGTGGGCATGCCTGGTAGAGAGCCGTGACACGTATTGAGTATATTTTTGGTGCCGGTATTTGTGACTGTGTAGTTGCCCTTATGTTCTTTATTTTATGCGGGAGGAGCGTTTGAAAATGAACTACATGAAAAAAAAATCAACGCAAACGCGGCTATTTTGCACAATTAATTATATATTAATTTAGCCACTGGGTTCCCGGAGTACCATTAATTCCATTTTAATTGAGCAAGTTCCGTTTTATTAAAGTAAATGGACTTGCCCTTGACCATTACCTAGGCCTGGACCAAAGATAGGATCTACGATGGACGAGCTTTCCCAGGAAATGCCCATTCAGTCGCACATTAAAGACACTCGGATTGTATGTGCTCGGAGACAGTGGAGCATTTCGGGATTTTTCGCGAGTTGGCAGGGCAGCCTTGGCAAGTGACTGGCTCACTACTTGGGCAATCCACTGCCTGCGATCGACCAACGGCAAGACCGTGACACGGATCCCGCTACCCTTCAGAATGAGTTACCCGGTAAAACTAGCTCAGAGTCCTAAACTAATACTAAGCGACGTAACAGACACCCTCAAATTCCCCAAAGCCACTGGTACTACCGCAAGCTGACGGAACGCAGCAAACTGCTTGGAAGCCAGCCAGTCGGTCCCTTGCGGAAACTACTACCGGAAAGTGAGTTCATTCAGCCGTCACTACCAGCTATTGAAACTGGTAGTATCGTTCCCCAGAGTGGACCGCTAGGAGGTAGATCCCAACCACCCCAAATGTAACGTAGGCACTAATGGTATATATGCAGTCAGTCAGTGTCAAGCAATAAAAGACAAGTATAGAATAATACAATTAGTATGAGTGTGATGCGCTTAATGAACACATACATCTATGTACAAAACATACAAGGGGAGAAGATGGGAAGTTCGTTTTAAAGTGAGGTAACTTGCACCTATATTTATTATATCTATATCTCTAGTCTTCTTGTAGAATATGTTTTAGTACCTACCTAAATAATGTCGGATGTAGTTGGTGCAGCGGGCTGGTATCCGCAACTCGATCGCCTATTTTGCGTGTGGATGTCGGATGTAAAACATATTAATAAATTGAAATTTTTAGGCATCGCGTTATCAAGAATGTTGATTGTTGTCTTCAGCTTATTGAACAATATTGGACCATGGTGGTTTATTTTGACATCCGTGCCTTTCTCGCTCTCTGGTGGTTACATAGTGTTATTCACCGGTATTTTCTGTTACTTAAATGACATCACTACTTCTAGGAACAAATCTCTGAGGTAAGAAAATATGTTACCAAAATTACTGGTTAACTGTCGAAAATTTTTGTTAATTTACTGGAGTAATTTTTGAATCCCAAAATGGTTACGTTGCGGTAGTAAAAATTTTGACTTTTGTGGCCAATAGTAGTTCCTCAGCAAAAAATTGTGTAGTGCACAATATAAATATTGTGCAAAAGACATATATGGACTGCTTCATTAATTGTTTTAACATTATTACAGAATGACTATATTAGAAGCCTCGATTGCTGTGGGTATAATGGTAGGCTCTATTATAACTTTTTACCTCATACGAGCTGTCGGCAATGTATATGTGATCTTAATATCTGCCTCGCTAGCGGCAATAGCTTATGCATTTGCTGTTTTACACCTGCGAGAGTCTTTGACTGGAGCTTTAGACGTAAGTATCATGCCTACGCTTATTATTTTTTACGGCTACGTACTTGAAAGTCATGAATTGAAGCTGTTGACGCAAATAGCAAGTAGCTAGATGTAAAACCTACCTTGACTCTTATTCTTATTTAAGAGCTAGGCACTTGTCAGTGGAATAACCGCCAACGATCTCTGTTCAGCACCATACATTTGTTTTCCTGATATGACATTAACATTTTTCCTTATCAGCTCTAAATAACTTCCTCTCTATTTTCTTCTGGCTTTCTTTCCTTCGATCTTCCCTTCTATAGTGCTCTTGTTATCTTCAATAAGCTTCTCTTTTCCTGTACTAAGTATTTTTATCTTACTTTTTCTGTCTGTCCAAATGATTCCCTTAATTTTTTTTCAACACCACACTGACATAAATTTCCCCAAATAAATTTCAAATACAAGTTGCGATCTCTTTCTCAGTTGACCTTGCTATTTTGGTACGAAACTTATGCTTTTATTTGGTATAGGTGCGTCTCGAGCGAAAGCTACACAAACAATCGAACCTGTTTACAGTTGGAAATTTTTTATGCGGACTGTGTAAAAAGCTATTGAAGCCTAATGGGTTCGAATCCGGGCTCGCTCCACTGAGTTTCTCGGAATTTATATGCGAAATTTAATTTGAAATTTACCGTGACCTTTTCGGCGAAGGAAAACATCGTGATGAAATATGCACGTTGAGGAAGGTTCATAGTCCTCGGTGTGAAGTTCTCAACCCGCATTGGGCCAGCAGCGTGGCGAATTATTGGCCTAAACACTCGCCTAAAAGGTGACCCGTTCCCAGCAGTGGAACGTATAAATGAGTTGATGATAATGACTAAAAATACGTGCAGCTGTGGTGTTATGTGTAGATTTTGTGCAAACATGTAATTGACGTAAATAAAAATTATATTTACAATTATAGTAACTGTTCGTTATGTATTACGACGAATGTTAAATACACACCCCATAATCATATATAGCGTACCGGTTTTTTTTCGAAATGTTACGAGAAACATTCCGAAAAAATACCTCATTATCCTATCTCAAATTAGGATTTTTCCTTGAAGCAACAGCACGATTTGATACTAGATTTCAAGCTTTTTTATATCTACCCATAGCCGCCCCGTAATTCTTGCTGGTCGACATTACAATGATTCTTGCCGGTTAATTGCTATCTAATAGTTCCTTCAATATTTTTGTGAATTCTCAGACGGCAAGGTGTCCGAACAATATTCTTTTTTGCCGTTTGATGTATCACGCGACGGCAACTTTTATACTTATCACGGGTATAAAGTTCGTCACGGTATTTTTACCATCACGATTTACCTGGTAAGTGGTAAGTAAGTAAAACGTGTGACATTGTTAGGAATTTGCTACACATTTCCATTTAACGCTAAAACCTTCAAGCCGACACAATCCAATATATATTAATTACCAGTTGAATCGTCAAGGTAATAATATCGTTACCGTGCAAAAACGAGAACAGCAAAATTTAACATTAATATTTAATCAAATATTCGCATTGTAATTATCTGAATAAATTTTTTCAGAGTGGAATAACAACAGTCCTAGATTTCTTGCTAGTAAAAGAAATGTTCAGAGAATGTTTCAAACGACGACCAAATAATGGAAGAGCCCAAATACTATTATTATGTTTTGCCAATGTCTTACCTGTTTTTATACTTTATGGAATAATTGGCTTAGAGTATATGTACGCAAGAACGAAAATACACTGGGCTTTGAAACAATATACTGTATATTCAGCAGCAAATACGTCCATCTCATTCTTCGGGAGTTTGGTTGGAGTAGCGTTGATACAGAGATTGTTTGGAATTAGCGATTTAGCATTCGTTTTAATCGCATTTTTGTCATTTATTGCTGAGTATTTGACGAAAGCTTTTGCAACTCTCGGCTGGCATATGTATTTAGGTAAGTGACAAATTTAAAATTATACACGCACATACGCACACGCACGCACGCACGCACTCATATACATATGAGGCAGTACAGCATTAAAGTTATGCTGCCACCCAGAGATAACTGATAACGCTTTTTGTGTTTTTCTTGCGATTGTCTATGATTAATATTCGAAACGCTCAAGGTCAATATGTACTAGTTTGATATGCTGTTGTATGTACGACAACAAATATCTAATGAGCCGTGTTCAGCTAGTTCTGCTAACACTCCTTTTTAAGATACTACTGGAGCTTTTATTTCCAATATTTTATAGGAATGTCGTTCTATTCCTGAAAAAACTGAGCTCTGCAAAGCTTTTGTAAAAAAAAGCATCGGTAGCATGTTTTAAAGAACTGTATTGTGAATAATGTATTGTAAAATATGCTATAAATTGGAAATTAAGCCATTTTTTGGATTGTGTTTGTATTTTCAAACAAAGTAACGTTACAGAATTTTTACAGGTCCCATGTTCATGATTGATTGTACGTAACTAGTGTTGGGTCGTGGAAAAATTTTCATTTAAAAAAAAAATCATATTCTATATTTTTACCGGATATTTTTCCTATAATTTCCATATTTGACGTTGACACCTGTCAAAAGTTGAAGTTACTGAATGAAAACGATGGAGCCAACAACAAGTGGTGGTGGTGTGGTTGTTGGCTTTTTTCGCTGTCGTTAAATCATTTTAAATCTCGTTTTTCTGTATGTGGGTTTTAAGCTATACAAGTTTATTTTTAAATTTTAATTCACCCTTTAATATTATAATTCGTTTTAAATTATAATTCACGCTAAATAACACTTCAAAAGATATTTCTCAACGTAGAATACAATATGAGCCTTCCAAATTTTCAAAATTTTCCAATTTTTCAGGATTTTTTCCGGAAAAATTTCCACTATTTGAAATTTTTCGGAATACCCAATAGTATACGTGTCTAAAGACCCATTTAGATGGAGTGAGTTTCTCGTCTCGCCTCGCCTTTGCATGTTGAACGTCTCCGTGTAAACAGAACTTGAACGCAAAAATCGTATTTCGAGTTTTTGTGCCAGCCGTTTCTACCATGCGTGCAGTGCGCGAGGGTGTTTTGATTATCACTGCTTTTCTAAGACAAGAATTAATGGAACGAGAGCGAAAAAAAATTTTCAAATAATGGGGAATGAGTGGGGAATGAATGGAAGTGAGTGGGGAATGAGTGGGGAGTAAGTGAGTGCCTCTGTGGTCGAATATAGCGTGGGAAATATAGTATTTGGGGTGCTCTCGTAACGAATATGGTACTCCTTTCTAAATCCAGGATGGCGGGCACGACTTCTCAAATAATGGCAAGTTGGGTATCGTTTTTGAGGTATTTGGGGGTGCTCATTACGAATATAGCATTTATTTCTAAATCCAAGATGGCGGACATGACTTTTCAAAATGCACTTTTCAATAAACACTCCCCACTCACTCACTCACTCACTCACTCACGCACTCACTCGCCCTATAAATTTTTCATAATTGTCATTTTTTGTTTGTGTCAGTAGTTTTAAAATTTTTTTTAAAATGGTTAAAAATATTATATTTCTATACAGTGCAATGAACTTAATATTATCAGCAGTTCCAAACTTGAATGATATTTGCGTCATTTTGATATATCCATAGTCAATACCGCAGTAATCACTGAACTCGAATGGCAATTCTCGCACTCGAAACGGTTCGAACCGATTTGTACGATAATCGTATGAACTTGAAAAAATGTCATACGAGATTGTGTTTAGACAAGTCGAAAACTCGTAAGCAAGAATCTCCTTACTACATATTTCTCTGTGTAAACAGTCGAGGAGGCGATTAAGTTGCTTGCGAATCTCGTATGACATAATCGTAGGCGAGAATTTAGTTCTTGCCTGAATGTAAACTTTACGATATGATAATCTTATGGCGATTATTGCTTACGATAATCGCGTACGAGTTTTCGTCATGAAGCGTGCGAGAAACTCTCTCCATCTAAATGGGCCTTAACAAAACCCTAGTTTGTTTGAAAAAATAAATATACTTACGCGATTTCGAGCCGATGCAATAGTTTCATTTCCAAAGTGTAGTTAACGCCGAGACTTAAGAATTATATGTTATAGTATCACAGCAAAGATCAAATCCTCCTTTATCGGTGAATGAGGTGAATTATGAATTTATGAATCATTATTGCTTATCAACAATATACACTCACTGTAAGAAATATAGACTGTCTCTGTTTGGTGTATTGTGAACACAGACATATCGCACTCTTAATACAATAAAGTATTAACTCAACTCTTAGAATCGATGAAAAACGAATTAATCCTTTCCCGTTAAAGTTAATTAAAATCTATGTATAGGTTATAGTTTATTACGAACAATTTCCTACTTGCCAAATATATTTCAAAATAAAAGAGAAAAATACTTTTATATTTTTGAATAAGGACTATTTTGGCCAGAACTAGCTCACATAAAGCGTGTCTCATTTTGAGTTAAGTCTAATAAGTAAGACATCTTTTAGTCGTTTCTTACAATATTCTAAAAACAGTTTTATTGACGTGTAGAGAATCAAATTTCACGTTAAATAATGGTATAATCTTGAATTTCACATATTTTGACTTATAACACTATTGTAATAGCAGTGCGATATATCTAGATAGACGCCGCAAATGTACGTACTTTGCGTGCCCAAAGTAAGTGAAATTCACTTAGTTGCCGTTGCTACACTTCAGAACGCGCTCGACTGTTATCGTAGATAAACACCAGTCGAAAACGCGAAAAATGCATAATTGTGCCAATATAAACTGCAAAAGCACCAGAACTGTGGGTAAACGGGTAAACAGGGACGTTTCCTTCCACTGGCAAGTGATTTTGTAATGCATAATTTATTATAAAACAAATATTCAAACGAGTGTATGCCTCATTATTTGTAATACATTGCGGCTTTTACTTGGTGCGATATATTTGTGAACCTTAACAAAGGATCATGGATATACGCCATGAATATCGCACGAACGCACTTTAGTATAATGCATTTAGTTTCGTGGTACGGACGTTTGTACATTTCTTTGGTCAAATTTAACATTTAGGGTCGTATTCTAGAACTCTACTCAATGCTCAAGTTAGGATTTGAGTATGGTTTAAAGCACTCGAAATCATACACAAGTCCCTTCCATTAGGGTCGTATTTCCAGTTCTTGAAAAATTGGCTTTCATTCAGTTCCGCCGCAATATAAATTGAGCCTTAAGGGTGTTAAAAATTTAAATGTCTTTTAATAACAATCAATAGTCCTGACTTGAGCATTGAGTAGAGTTCTGGAAACGACCCTTAGGGTCATATTCCAGAACTCTACTCAATGCTCAAATCAGGACTTGAGTATGGTTTAAAGCACTCGAAATCATACTCAAGTCCCTGCCATTAGGGTCGTATTTCCAGTGCTTGTTTTGCCAGTGCAATCGTGACTTGAGCATTGAGTAGAGTTCTAGAATACGACCCTTAGTGATGGATATGTTAGGCAACACTGTTCTTGATTCTGATCGATTTTGAAAACAAAGGGACGAAAATTATTATGACCTTACCAATATTACAAAAATATTCTATATCTCTTTTGTTATGACGTTTAACGTGTAACGTTTCGGTTTTTTTTTTCAGTTTTGTAGTACCTATTATCAGTAGTATCTGTAATGTCGATAGTTTTTGCAGCACGATGCCTCGAATGTCCGAATATAGTGAGCAAATAATTACTTATTAATTATTACTATTATTTAATTATTACATCGCCGGATATGTAGCACGAGTAATACAAAAAGAAATATAATGCAAAGAATTAACAGTGCGCTGTCTTTACAAAAACCTGGAGTTGATCATACGTATGAGTTCGTTGCTTTCGAGGACGAAGGTGGTCTAGTTTATCCCACCTACGATGCTATCTAAATATGCAGAGTAGCAGAGTTAGGAATCCGGGAAATAATAAACAAGTCACAATCATTTCACACGAGCTTGTCATTAAGTAAACCTCTTCTGCCCTCGTAGCATGGCATCGCGACTACCATGCGCAGCCATGCTACGGGGGCTGATTAATAAGATTTTACCATGTTTTGTCAGCAGTAACATTTTCATTTGTCTTGCTATTTATCAATTTGATCAGTTACCAACAGAAAACCATCTAGTAAAATTAAATAAGGCGGTCGCAAGTTTTCATTATTTAATGATAAGAGATCGTCAATTACAAAAAAATGTTATATAATAAACTCATTTTATTGGAAGGACAATAATTTTAATATTTAAAGTCGATTAAAAATTAAAGTCTTAATTTTTTTAAGTAATTAACATTTTTAAAAAACAAGTAAAATAAAGGATTTAACTATCCTGTTTTGGTATTTTTCTACTATATTAATATTACGACTACTTGTAATCAACAAATACTTGAGCAAAAATTATTCTATTTAGAATCGATTAACTGAATGGAATACGCGTGTTGACGCGTATTCGGTTAATCAATCGATTTAGAGCGAGCGGAAGGAGGTTTCCATCACACCACGCTTTCACGTACATTAATGGTGAATCTGAATTCTATTGACTAGGCAACAACCGCGCGTACTCCGCGGGGCCGCCGCGTAGACCAGCCAGCCTCTCATTTAAGTTAAAACATTAATGCTAAATAAATAGAGCGTATTTTGCTATGACAGTTCGGTCAGGGTTCGGTCTCCAAACACGTGCACGCGGTCGCTGCGCGGCGGATGCGCAGCGTGAGCGCGATAAAATTCGTGTGGAATAAACGCGCCCTGAAGGTTTGTCCAAAGATGCGACCACACGAAACCGTATAAATACAAAAAAATATTTTTTTCATTGTTGCATTTCAGTAAAATATACTGTTTTATTACACTAATTCGCCATTTATTTCGATTTTATCAATATTTTGCTCGTGCCTCACGCCTTTTTCTATCTCCCTTTCCCTGCTTTATCTTTATGCTTTAGCTTTATCTTTATCTGCTCTATCTTTTTACTTTAGGATTCGTTTCCTTTCATGCCTCATTATTAGAGCAATGCCACATGATATTGTTGCGTCGGTGTTGCGTTGTAAAGCTCCGTTGTACTACACATAAATCAGAACGGCATGCCACAGGGTGCGTTGAAACGGCGCGCCACCGCAAGCAACTTAGTATGTTGAAATTTGATATAGAACGCAACGCCCGAATGGCATCACGCTTACGTTCTATACCCACGTATGTTCACACTAATTATGAAATTATCTTTCAGGTGCCAGCATTTCACTCTTTAAAGGATTAACGTCACCTTTAATAAGATCTTTTCTAACAAAAATACTCCCTGTCGAAGATATAGCGAAGGTATTCGCATTCATGTGTGCGTTAGAAGGCATATGCCCGTTGATCTCATCGGCTTTGTACAACACATTGTACGCTGGGACTATTGGCGTGTTTCCTGGTGCTATTTACTTACTAAGTGCTGGTTTTAGTGGGGCTAGTTTCATTATGGTGGGGTAAGTACCTATAGTTATAACTTTTTAATATTGAGGTATAATTTTTATTAATGCTAAACAGAGCATTCCTTAAAACCACGTAAAACAAACTTACTAAGTAGATATATTCTTTCATTCCTTCAATGACAGGCTGACATATCTATATATGTATTAGGAGTGTGTTGAGTGCGTGTGTGTTAAAAGCGAACACGCTAATAATAAATATATTATGTACTAAGTGTAACAAAATGTGCTATCATAGCCTATTGTGTCACAAAGTTTCAGCTTTTGATCATACTTGTAAAACAAATAAGTTTAAAAAAAAATAAGAGAAATAAAAACTCCTTTTATTCAGCCAAAATATAAACATTAAAATAAATATTTAGCAAATTTGTTCTCTGATTTAAGTTTTTGATATCAAGAGACGTTAATCATCGGCTAAATAGTATGTAACAAACTACAACGAGGGTATGATGTTATCGATTGCATCGATGCAAACGCGCAACTGCATTGACACAAACGCGTGATTGCATCGATGCAATCGCGCACTTTCATCGCTGCTTAAAATCGCGCACTTTCATCGCTGCTTAAAATCGCGCGCGCGTGTGTAAAAGTAGACGATTAACGACTGCATCGCTATTGCGTCGCTGCTAAAGTCGCCGTGTAACCGCTCTTAGGCAAACGCTTTACGTCAAAGGAAGACTATGAATTATGGGCATATGAATTATACATAGATATATGTAACTTGTGTGACTATTTGCTGACAACGTCATCGATCTTATATAAAATTATTCTAATATTAAGTACGATATTTTAAGAAGATGATGAAGAAAGAAAGAAGCTCATTGTTCTATCAGCCTATTAGAAGAATAGTAAAATAATTCGCTGATTTACACGTAAGCTGAAAGCTCGTTAATACTGAGTAATATAGGATTAAAGGTGTCGTACCCTTATAAGGCCGATACCAGCATTCTTTAGCACTGCATCCATACTCTCAAATGTCAGGACCATATCCCCAATAAAATATGGACTGAATAGTGAAGAACTTAAATTACAATAAATAAACAGTGTACCAGGTTTTAAAAACCTGGTTGCAGCATCATATAAAAGTTCCCATATTATTAATATTATCTGTGTTCCATAGTAAGATACCAAGAGGAAGTAAAATAAGTATTCACCTTCTGATGATGACCCCTACTTTAATCGGGAAAGAGCTGAAGAACTATCCCGATTAAATTAACTTTCAAATAAAAAAAACTATAAATCCGGTCGTTTGAGACCTACGATACCCCATATAGACAAGACAGATACACAGACAAAGGATTCAAACTTATAATTTATTCCCCTCTTTATCGGGCGTTAAAAAAAAACACCAACTAATGTTCTTCTTAAGGGTCGATACTACCTCAGCTCGAATTCAAATTTTTCCCGTATTAATACGGTTCATTTTGCTTGGGTCGAGCGGCAGCGGCAGGGGCGCTGACTTTATTTCAGAATTTATTTTTTTACAAACGAAATTAAAGCCATTTGAAAAATGTATATTATATACTATATAATATGTTCTATTTAGTTCTATTCAGTTGATATAAAAGAATCATTGGTATATGTAAAGTATCTATTGAATATAGCGGTTTTCTTGTAAAACGAGGTAAGTTTTTTATTGTGAAAATTTTCAGAAATCGTGTTTTTACACCGTATAGTAATCAGTGTATATCCTCAATTTTACTATATATTTTTTCCAAAGTGATGATGCTACGCTTTCATTGATATGCGGAATCAAGCAAAGCCATTTGGGGTTGTGTAGACTTTTAACTTACGCAATTATACCTACGCGTAAACCAAGACTATAGTTATGATATCTAGACGCCTACATATTTCAAGAGGTCATCCGATTAGACGGACCAGCTTACAGAGTGATAACAATGTAAATTGGACTTGATTGTTAATAATAGTCATCAAACATCTGCATTTAGTCTATATATAATAGTATTAGGTCTAAGTATGATCAGTAGGTAAATCGATAAAATTATCACACTAATTACCAGGAAATTTTCTACATATTGGGTAACTGAAAAAAGTTGTCGAAAATGTGAAGTTTGGAGATACCTTTCGCAAGAACTACTTTGTTTTAATAGAATCAGCTCTTCTATAGTGATTTGTAAGATGTCTATTATTATAGAATAGAAAACATTTGTTGCACACACGGCACGACAGGAAAGTACCCAGAAAGAAAGAATAAAAAAGCGAAAGTAAAAAGAAACTAACGAACCAAACATATCAAATCTTAAACAGCACAGACATATAGAAAAAAAATATGTTCTAAATTATATCTATAGAAAAACTTGTACAACAACGATAATCTATATACTAGCGTACATTGAAGTTTATGTTGTAAAGTAAATCATTATGGCACTGAGGTCGTGAAAATATTTTTCTAAGATTAGAGTCATCTAAACGCTCTATACTGTAGAATTCATTATTATCATAAATTGTAATTGAGAAACTAATGAAATGGTGAAACGAATGAAGAAACCTAGCTTAACTATAAATAGTGGACTGTAATTTGCATTTTAAAGCAGATTAAAATTATTTATACGAAATGCACTTGCAAGTAGCTTCCTGAGACCTGGAATAATGCTATGTAATGCTGAAGAACAGGGAAAAATTGTAGGAAAATTTAGTATCTCGAAGTACTTTAACTCCCGGCGGCAAATTCACACAGAGGAAACTTTTAAGCTTCACTACTGAGCAAAGTGTTACAGCAGAAAAAAAATTGTAATACAATCACTATCGCGTTAATTAGCGACAAACCACCATCTCAGCGAAAAAAGACGGTGCATGAAACGTTAGTGGGGGTTTACGAAAATAACCAAAATATCGTCGCCTTACTTTCTCAAACTCTTATCTTAAAGCACAAAGTTACTGAAATTCAAAGAATGGATTAAGTATACAAATTTTGCAGACTGATTTCACATCACATTTCCTTCATTTTTACACACTAGCTTTTACCCATTCTTAAAGTAATGCATCCAAATTAGTACCTAAATATAAAGTTTTGCCATCTCCTGAATAATCACTCTTTATAAGATACGCGTTTGAGAAAGTTAGGCATCGATTATGTTCCGTAAATGAATAATCCATATTACATAAATAGTACCTATACATACATAAGACTTTCTTACCTATGAAGTAAACATTCACAACAGAAAAGATTTTAAGACAAAAATGTTTGGGAACCTCTTATTATACATATAAGTAACAAATTCTGTGGCTCTAGTGAAAAGGGGTACAAATAAAAAAAGCCAACTTTGCAAAGATATTGAGTGTCGCGTTTCCTTGTAAAGTTGGCTTTTTTTATTTGTACCCCTTTTCACTAGAGCCACAGAATTATTGTCATGCAGAATTACAATGTAGCGTCATACGAATACTAATTATTTATAGTAATTTATTGGAATAGCAGACAAAGCTACTTGTATAAATCCCTACTTGAGATATCGTGAGTCAACATACAATTATAACTAAATATTTGAATTAATTTGCGACTATGTTTAACGATATGTCATGTTTACGTATGTGTAAAACTGGTTTAAGTCCTAAAGGTAATTTTAATTTTTAACGGGCAAACTAAGAGCATTAGGTATATAATGTGCTGATATGATAAAGCTGAATGTGTATTCGGTAACGGCAGGCGAATTGCGCCGTTAACAACTTTTTGATGATAGCCTAGTACTTTCAGCAAAGTTGAAACCTTCCCAGTCCCATAACTAGTCTTGTCTCTTTTTTGTTGACTCTTTCTTTTTGTGAAAACCTCGTGTATAGGTATATTAAAAATATGATATCTCCCTTAAACGCCAATAGCGGGCTCTTACACAGACACTATCGCACGTGACACAACAATCGTGCGCGATTGAGCGCACGTGTAAAGACGGTGGAAGGAAAGGGGGCGCGACTGCGCTTATCAGCCAGGCACTCCAACACGCGCCAGTTTCGCGGTCTATCCTGGTATATCTATCGCGGTATATCTATTAGCCTTTACACGGACTCTATCCGTTGTAACAAAAACGAACACGATCAATCGCGCGTAAGAGAACGTTAGTTTAAAAAAAATTCAAACAGGTAATCGCGCACGATTGTGCGTGCAAGCTTTCCCGCGCGCAACCCTGTACGCTACAGTAGAAGTAGCACGATAGGGCGTGACTTGCGCGAAAGCGACATAAGACGCAAGATACTGCTATTCTCGCATAGAGATCTCGCGCTTTTTGTCGCTCTCGCGCAAGTCGCGCCCTATCGTGCTAAACCTACTGATCACGCGCGCTAAAGTGACTGTAAAGGGGGCTATTAGTTGACAAGAACAAGCAAGCTGTGGGCAGGCGCTACTGACTGCACGCAAAAAGAAACCTTAGATTTTGGTTATAGTATACATATCTTAACACTATGTTTTTCGATATAATTACCTATGTAATGAGTCTTATAACAGTTGGTTTCTAGCCTTATCTTATCCTTAAGTTCTCAATTTCAGCTTTATCTTTATTTCTCATTTTTCTTTGCAGTTTTGTGCAGTACTACATATGGAAGGGATCGAGGACTCCAACCTATACTACTTTAGTGGAAACGTGATTTAGTTGTAGATTTCATTTTCTATACAATTGGTTTATAGTTTTAGTGTTTATAGTTCTAAATTGAACAATACGGGCAAGGTATTTTTTTGCCTTATCGCAACGCTCTTTTGTTTGTTTTCATGGATAGGTAAGGCTACCGGCGGCGCGGCGTTGGGTCAATGTGGACGTACAGTAGGTACGTCAAAATTATTTTTTGTAAATTGTACTTTTCGATTTGTATGTACACGTTAAAAAAATACATTTGCATAGCCAATCAAGTACAATGTCCATAATAAAGTAAAATCATGTACAATACGTCCTTATCACTTTGTGTCTAGATTAGGTATACATATTTGTTATTAATGTTATTATACAATGTTATATTGTATTGTCTGAATAAAGATAATCAAGAATATTATCGTATCAACAAGTGTTGTCCAATGTTATCAAAATATATAACGAAATAAATTTTTACTTAACAATCTTATGATATTATTACGCGTTTCTGAGAAATTTCAGTTTTATGTACAAATAATAGCGTCTGCGTTCAGGAAGCACTGTTTCCCACTTTCCCTATTCGCAATTTGTCAAATTTATTTAAAATGTAAGCTTTAAAAAATGTGATTTAGAATTAAGAGCACGAGTGTCTTATACATAATAAAGATCCATAAGTATAATGTGTTTAGTAAATGTTTATTTTATTTTGCCATAAAACAAAACATACGGGCATCATACATGCGACGTTACCTAAACGTACCGAACCGTAACCTAACGTTAACGTAAGGAACTGTGTTCAGCTAAGTGCCCCGACCATGCCCGATTTGATAAGATTTCGCTTTTTTTCTGAATTTTAAGAGTCGAGTCTACCTCAGCTCGAATTCAAAATTTTCCCGTACGTCGTACTAATTCTGTTCAATTTGCTTGGGTCGAGCGGCAGGGCACTGGCTTTATTTCAGAATAAATATTTTTACACACAAAATTGAAGCCATTTGATTTGAACACTTGGCAGGACGAACTCTTTCACGAGGAGCTCTACTGCTACTCGACTACTACCTATTGAATGCAGTGGCTTGTAACATTTCAAGATAAATTTGTGTTTTTTTTCTATCGTGAAAATTTTTAGGAATCGTATGTGCACACCGTATAGTAAGTGTATGTCCTCAATTTTACTACCTATATATTTTTTTCAAAGTGATTGATTCAACACTTTCACTGTTATGCGGTATCAACCAAAGCTACTTGAGATTTTATACACTCGTGTTCACGGCTAATTAACCGCTTGAGCAGGTGTACTGTAACCAATCTATTAGCATGCATTTCCATTTTATTTGACTATAGGTATCGCTCACACTTGTAGGCGTCGTTCAGCATTGCACTCATTAGCATCCGTCTCATACTACGGAATGCATAACGGCCCGTCTCCACAGCCACCCAGAACTGATGATTGTGATCGTGTTCACTACTTTTTTTTTTGCAGGATCCTGTAACCGTGATACTCCTGTGAATGGTAGTATGGAAACACCTTCACGAATAAACAGTCTTGTGAAAAACCGTTCCTACGTGCTGATTTTGATTCAAATCTGAATCGATCTGATCGGGTAGTCTCGAAAGCAGATGCTTCTGAGCGAGAAAATGAACCTGATTCCTACTATATCTTTCTAATTTGTGAGTTAAATCAACTATTGTTCCGATTAGAAATGTTAAAAGTTTCCGATCGGCCAGGTGTGAATCGCAATTATGCGCCTCGACTCGGAAAAGACGCAGTTTCCGGTCGGGTGAGGCAATCAAAATCAAGCTGCTGGAAAGAACAGGATGCCGCCGTGTGAACTATAGTAGTAATAAGCGCGATTCGTGTAGGTATATAGAATTCGTGTAAGTGGAGAACTTACTAATACTACACGCACAATAATTTAGTAGCGCATTAAGTAGTTACTTAATCCCATTGGCAATATCAATAAGTAAATATACACAAAATTTCTGTAACTTTATTATATTTTGTCTTTTTATTTGTTGAAAACAGAATTACTATGTATAATAACATTAAGGAAACTTTCCACTGTCCAATGTCACATTCACCTTTTTATCATAGATTATATACATACCTAATCGTATACCTAATAAATGATTACCGACTCTGATAAGTATAATACCTATTTTATGACCACGCAAAAAATTATAAATCGTTATGATCATTATTTTGATTACTGTACGCAGTATTTATTTTGTGACGCAGTGTCCCGCTAATTTATTTACTGGCTTCACAAGCAGGTGTCTACACGACACTCATCGACGCGGAGTCGCATTAAACCGTTTATAAAAAGCTTTATTTCCATGTAATAAAAGCGTAAAAGACTGCCTTTCGTTTCGACTCTGATGACGCGATTCGACACAGGCCGGCAACGAATTGCCGATCGTGACTGGACGGCGCCGACGATGGCTGACCATCGTCATCACCCATTATTCCTCCCAATGCTGTACAGGGGTCTCCTCTAAGCAGAGGGTTGAGGCCATATTATATAAGCGATCTTGTGGTCAAGTGGCTTGCACACCAGTTTCCATGGTGTCACCATCTCTGAGGTCCCGGGTTCGATCCCCAATCGGGACAATATAGAAAACTAACTTATCTCGGGTCTGGGTGTTTGTGATACCGTCGTTTCCGATTTCCATAATGCAAGTGCTTTAGTTACTTTGGGATCATAGCAACGTATGTAATGTCTTATATTTATAGAGAAAGAAAGCCTTTCCGAGCTAGTGAGGTGAACCTCATGAACTCGGAAAGGCTTTCGTTATCATTAAAAATCTGCGCGCAAAAGCGTTTTTCCACGTTAGCGTTGAAAAGGTTCTTGATATTCGAACTTGACGATGACGATGGTCGATGGTGCACCTAACTTTTTCTTTCGATGATATAAAAAACATAATGACACGTTCAATTACGCGATTTGTCGTTACATTACACAGGCTGTAATTTTGAAAGTGGGACATATTCATACACGTCATAGAAAATCATGTTACAACTTAACATAGACTAAAATAAAGTTAGGATATGGGATAAATCAAAAAATAAATCAACATATTTGTTTTGGAGTGCACATAGGAATAAAACGATCCCCTTTACGCTTGATTTCGAGTCCAAAGTGGAACATACCAAGCGACGCCGGCGGCGGCGCGAGTCGCACACTCCTACACACAATAACAATGGTTTCACATCTCCCTTCCTACTTTTGCGGGCTTAGGACCGACAAAGCACCTCATTTTTCAAGAAAATAAAAACTAAGTTACTCACTTATATTTATGTTATAATGAAAAAAGCTGTTATCGAAATGATTACGTTTTAGCTTAGGTTAATTATTTTTTTACTTAGGAACTATCATCGAAATGTTTTACGTACTATAATAAAAAAGATAAGTTTATGATTCAGTAACTAGTTATTATTTAATAAGAATTGAGGTTTTTGGCGTAGTTAAAAACGTGAAATCAAATTATTTACAATGATTTTTTCGTTACTTACAGTTAATTTACACTTACGTGGTACGGAGCAATTGTTCGAAATGTCCACCGTTTTGCACAATGCATAGTCTAGCACGGCGCCGTAAATTTCGTTTTAAATTGTTTAGCACAAACACATTTTGTCTCACAGTATGAAATGCTGTAATTATTTTTTGACGCAACACTTCGACACTATTCACCTCCTCCGTGTACACTAAACGTTTAATATCACCCCACAAATAAAAATCCATGGGCGTGAGATCAGGTGACCGAGGTGGCCAGGCGACTGTGCCTCCACGTCCAATCCAATGATCACCAAAGGTGTCATTCAGATACTGGCGCACTTCACGTTCATAGTGTGGGGGGGCTCCATCCTGCTGGAAATAAAGGCTTTGGTGGAGAGCAAGGGGCACGTTGTCCAACATCTCGTCCACAACGCAGCGTAACAACTGCAAATAAGTTGCACTGGTGAGACGACTCTCGATAAAGTAAGGCCCCAACAAGTGATTTCCAACTATGCCGTGTTGGAAAGAATCCCGTTTAGTTTTTTTCGGGTTGTGGTCCCGATGGCTCCACCAATGTTCGTTATGAACGTTAAAGGCCGCCATAGACGTTCAAGTAATTTGATCAAACAGGTTGGATCAAACCGTTTTGTCAAATTGGCATGATCTCCATAGCGACCACACACCTTCACGCAAGCTTGAAGCGACGTCAGTTCAGTATCGAACCGGACGAATACTTGTTGTGTGTCCGTATAAATGTCATGTACAGACGACGACGCTTTAGCAATAATTGGTTTAGTGTTTGCTTTGAAGGCCGAAAAAAGAACAAAAAAACGTACTGTATGGTGTAAAAAGTGGCTCATGAAAAGAGAAAAATATTCGCATATAAACTTGTTAAATGAATTGAAATTTGCTCCTAAAGATTGGCATAATTATTTGCGAATGAATGAGGAAACATATTTAAAGCTTCTGTCATTAGTTAGTCCATTAATTGAAAGAAAAGACACAATTATGCGAAAATCTATATCACCACATGAAAGATTAAGCGCTACTTTGAGGTTTCTTGCGACTGGAAGGAGCTATGAAGACCTCAATTTTTCCACAGTAATATGACCTCAGGCTTTGGGACATATTATTCCTGAAACATGCGAAGCTATATATAAGGTGCTCAGAAGAGATTGGTTAAAGGTAAATAAAAAACTCACTATTTATTTTTATTATAAGTTATTATTATGAAATTAAAGCGAAAACTTTACCAAATTACCAAATAACCTATATTTACCAAATTACAGTATGAAAGAAATTAGGCTCAATTCTTACGTTATAGTCAACACAAATCGTTTACAATCTGAAATTAGTAAAATAATTAGCAGCACTTAAATCTGGAATGGAAAGTTGAACTGGATTAGATCCCTGTTGTTCATTTACTTCCAAGGGCTGCTGTGTGATACAAATGCCTTGTGTTGAATTTGTGGCAGAAACAGGAGATGATGATAATGAATATGCATGATTTGATGATGTTGATGACGTAGATCAACCAATTGGTGAATGCTGTGGCTGTTGATGTATTCTAAACTCTTGCGTATGATTATCATTACACAACTTATGGGACAAAGTCAAGTTACCCAACTCGCCTTCAAAGAGGGTATCATTGATGATTTTTCTGCAATGATACGTTGATTTTTTGATAATTCACGCATTTTGATGGCAATATTTTTAGCAAAAATATCATATCGATCTTCTCTAATAGCGGGTCGCTTAAAGTGATTCTGTACCGACATAATTACATAATTGAGAATTGTGTCTGCTTTCTTTTTTGGAGATCTTGACTGGGGCCGATTGTTGGCACTAATACTGGTGAACTCGATCGGCTCTTCGATGGGCTCGGTTGGCATTAAGGTGGGTTCAGCCGCCTCAGTTTCTGGGCGTTCAGTGGGTTCAGCGGTTTCAGCATTGGAGGGCTCCGTAGGCGTCGTCTTTGGCATCTGAAACAATTGTTGATTAGTTTAACGCCACTTTTTTATCCTAGAATATGATACCTATGTTATAAATGTATTTTCCCTTTTTTTGTTTCAGTTTCCACGAACTGAACAGGAATGGAAATTTATATCCAAACAATTTGAAGAAAGATGGAATTTCCCGCATTGCCTTGGAGCGATTGATGGGAAACACGTAGATATTACGTCTCCAGATAATTGCGGATCATATTATTTCAATTACAAAGGAAAACATAGCATGGTTCTTATGGCAATAGTGGATGCGAATTATCAATTCTTGCTGTGCGATTTTGGTACCAATGGCAGGATTTCGGATGGAGGTGTTTTTCAAAATATAGAATTTTATAAAAAATTACAAAATAATAATTTAAAAATTCCTCCCGCGGAAAGCGCGGAACACAGTTCTAGAATACTCCCATACGTATTCGTGGCTGATGATGCATTTCCTTTAAGATGCGACATGATAAAACCATTCCGACAAATTGACTTAAATTCGTATGAAAGAAAGATTTACAATTATCGTGTGTCTCGAGGGAGGCGGATAGTTGAGAATACATTCGGCATATTGGCATCAAGGTTTCGAATTTTTCACACGCAAATAAACTTAGAACCTCACAGAATAGAATCCGTAGTAATGGCGTGTTGTGTTTCACATAATTTTCTGATGTCATCGTCGCGTAATTTTTACGCCCCATCAGAATGCTACGATCAGGAAGACAGAGAAAACGGAACTATTACACCCGGGCTTAATACCATGCAGTCAAATATGAATCACTTATGTCGTAGAAATTATGGGAATATTACAAATGCGGCCAAGATGGTGAGACAAGACTTTATTAATCATTTTAATAATGAGGGTAGTATTCCATGGCCGAATGATTTTGTTTCATAAGCAAAAAAAATATTTTAAGTAAATAAATATGATCGACTATTTATTATGATGAAACTAAATAAAATATGAACAAGAACATAAAATTTGTTTCATTTACTTACCTCATTTTCATCATGATCAAACATGCTCGAACGTGAACTTCTTGGAATGCACTGATCTTTAAGAAAAGACAGCTGATCATAGTACCATAACTTTGGCTTATGTATTTCATCAACGCCTGCGCCCTACTTAAAAGACTCCGCAACTTTATGTTCCTCCTTTTTGAAGGCTGTCCGAAAGCTGTTAATTTTTTTTGTCACCATGTCACGGTCTGCATTCGGTTCTATTTCTTTAAGTTTTTCTATTAGTTTACAATAAGCAGCACTCCGTTTATCTCTGTTATGGTAATCTTTATTTTTTACGTTCCATAAACAGATTTCATTTCGATATATTTGTATGAATTCTTCCAATACATCGCGGTTTGACATTATTATACACTGCAAGCTGCAACACGTCCGTTTAGAACACTTTCGCAGCAGCAACTGAGCGCTCGCAACACACACGCTCAAATTTTTCATCAAACAGTTTGATCAAATAAAAAAACGAAAATTCGTATTTCTTCAAACAATTTGATTACTCATTAAATTTGATCAAATTTTACCACACACATTCATGTCAATTTGACAAAACGGTTTGATCCAGCCTGTTTGATCAAATTACTTGAACGTCTATGGCGGTCATAAACACGCGTCAACATACTCTCATCTGTCCATAAAATGTTTACGTGATGATTGGCCAGTAGCCATTCACAAAGTGCAACTCGCGGAGCATTGTCATTGGCCGTGATATCTTGGACCCTTCTGAAATGAAATGGGCGCATTTGCTCGCGTTTTAGAAGGTTCCACACTGTCATGTGCGAGACATTGAAGTGGCGTCCTGCCTCCTGTGTGCTAGCGCGCGGCTCCTCTTCAAAATAGTCCAAGTTGCGCTCCTGCAGGTCCACGGTGATGCCTACATTGCCACGACCTTCAGCATTTATAGGCTCATCGAACTGGCGATAATCGCGCAGTCTGAGTCGCAGCAAGCATCACCCGATAATTTGGCAGCGGCCGATTTGGGAACATTTCTCCGAACATTCTAATCACTCGTCTCACACTATCACCACTTATTAAAGTCGCACCATCTCAGTCAATTCGACATTTGAATATGTATCCATTTTGCGGGCGAGAAAAGCGATCGCCGCGCGCGCCGGCGGCGCTGTGATCGGGCGAGCGAAAGTACTTTACATGTCTTCGCGAGGGCGGCCGCGCGTGCCACAGACTACTTAGTGAACTACGCGCGTGCACTGTCTGATGGGCTCTGCTCCTTGATGTGCCGCGCTCAAAGAGGCCGCGCTCGCGCTAGTAGACTCGCGCTGCGTGGGAACATCAATAGGGATGTGCATGGATTTCGACGACTAATGTTGTTCACAAGCAGTAGTCGATAAAAAAATAAAAATGTTTTTTTTGTAAAATATAAGTTCATTTTTTATTTTTTTCTTTGGGTTCAGAATCAGGAATATAACGCACTCTAAAGTATGTCTCACTTTCAAATTTACAGCCTGTATAAGTAATATAAATCCGTCGGTATATTTTATTCTTATTGTTGTTGACATTACATTGACAACGATAACTAATTTTGTTTGTTATAGTTCAACTGTTTCTCTTTCATTTACCATTTTCCTCGCTATTGTGAGGTGAACTTGTGTGTTTCGGTGCGAGGATGCGTTACGAACTCTTTTCAGCTATGCGCGAGCGCGGTACGGTGTGGTGGGGAGAGCGGTGGCGCTGTGTCATACTTTCAGTAGTTTCCTACACCGTTTTGCACACATTTCTAGCCCGCATCTCTCGCACACATTCCTCTCGCACATCTCTCACTATTTTATATCTACAAATACTTAGCTCCGCTAACCCTTTTCCGCCGGAGCTGCGCTAAGAGAGTCTAGGAAAATGAAGTAATCGTATTGGTGGATTTATTCCTCGCACACCTCGCTACATCGCACATCTCTGGTGGAAAGGCAGCCTTAACCTTTGATGTGCACATTTCATCACGATGTTTTATTTCGCCGTTAGCGAAGTAGTCGTGTGCCTGGTGGTAAGCTACACGCATATCCACATATCCACAACAGCAGTTGCAGTGCCACTCAGAGCTTTCTGTGGAGTACTGCCACTGCGCACCCTGAGACACAAGTTGACAAGTCCCATGTGCCTGGAATTTCTTCAGCACCGTTACCCTTCGGAACTGGAACGCAGTAATGTTCACATTACTGCTTGGCGGTAGAAATAGGTAAGGTGGCAGTATTTCCCTGGACGAAACTTTTTCCATACTATCATTTCCCAGAGGCTCAAGGGCAATTAATTTTATTAGCAGATGTCGTGAGAAAACAGCGGTCTCAACTTCAAACTAGTTCAAACCCCCATTGACGGGGTCGATGGAGCGTAAATCTGTCGTAAATTGGCTGTACGTTTTTATTAAGTGTCTAGGAACTGTTGGTTTTTCCAGATACAAATAATGTGTGGTAATGTAAAAGTTAACACAAGCAAATTCCTCGTCGATAAGTGTGATGACGACATTGCATTCATGTAAAAAGTCTTGATTTAAAAACGTACCTTGCGGTCAATGAAACGGTCACCCCATTAATATCAATCACACACAAGTATAGGGTATTGTGTTGAAATATTTATTTTGAACCTTAAACATAATGAAAAGCAAAGTTGAATTTAAATAAATAAACATGACATAAAACAACCTAAAACATGCTCCCCTGAAAAATCTAGTCTCACTGACGCCCCTTCTACAAAACACTGATGATATAGATAGATATAAAAGCATACATAGCTCGCGGAATACTTCGAAACTGTTAATATTTGCCGCAGATGTACATACGTACGAATTATGATTTTAGTGTAGGTTACCTAGATAAGTATCAGAAATTCCGGCTTTACGTTAGTGAGTACTCAGGATTTGTTGATTGAAATATCGTCGGCTAAATTCGTAAACCTCGTAACATATATTACAGTAATTTTCATGTACTTAAGTTTTTTGTACTCAATTTTGGTGACAATTTTTATTATTTAATTACTCGAATATATCATGGCGAAATATTAAAGAATATTTCAGGTTACCGCACTCGAATATTGAATAAAACTTCATGATGATATCCTACATATATGTAAATAAAAAAATTCGCAAAAATTGAATACAAAAAACTTACCTTTTGAAAATTACCCATTAATGTGAACGTTTGAGTTGGCACAAAAACACTTTACAATAATTATTAGCCTTATTCCAACGCGATCATGGTCACGCTGTATAAGGCACACCGCGTTTTCGTAGCGGTGAGACGTGTTTTATAATCGAAATTGAATTATTTTTCTAGAAATGGGTACCTACAGAAGACTTTAATACGGATTTATTCATAGACGAAGTTGAGAAACGTCCTGCGATATGGAATATAAGTAAGGATTATTCGCATTGACTTAAATGATTATTCGAATAAGATTTTAAGGAGAAAGGTTTGGTAAAGAGCTTGTTTTTATATTCTGTGACTGAGATGACAATGACGAAAAGAAGACACTGGGTAAGTCTTTTATTTTTTTCCATCCTCTAAGGGGTAAGTATATAATAAGCCGAATTTGCGCTGAAACAGGGAATTTACAGGTGAGTGCATCGATGCAATAGCGCGTTTGTATCGATGCAGTCGCGCGTTTGCATCGCTGCTAAAATTCACCGTGTGTAACCACTCATAATTGCCCGATATTGCGCTTGACGAGCAAAAAAGCGATGTCATTCAAAAACGTAGTTACTTGGTTTTCAAATCTAACCGACGATTTATGTCATTATACTGTGGAATTTTCAATAATAAACTAATAATGTATCTTAAGGTTCTTAATGTGTTTATTTACTCAAAAAGTAACTTTTCACAATAACAAATTAATTATTATAAGTAGTTATACATATACCTTATTGTTCAAAGCAAAGTAAACTTGGAATTTGTGTACATTTTGTACAAAACTAAATTCGTAGTCTTTGTCAAATCTAATTTGAACTATTCGGTATTTCTATGGCATTTAACGGTGAAACTATTCTACTTACAATAATCATCACAGTTCTTTAACATTTTAATTTTTAATTTGTACAGAATTATAGAAGTTTGAACTGCCGTGTATGGAAAAATAATATTTGTACAAGAGATTCTGGATACTATTTACTACAGCACAGTAATAAGGAAGTTTACAAATGCAAAAATGAGGGGACCTAACTAATAAAACTATGCAATTACAACCATGTAAAATTTAAAATGAGCAACGCGTAACAAACATCACAGATTGTTATTCATTATACTTTTATTATAGTATGGGATGTTTATGAAACGTAATGAAAAAAAAAAATACAGAAAAAATAAACAAAATCCTAACAATTTCAAAACGAACCATTTTTGGTAAACTTAATAACTAAATAAGTACAACAAAATGATGAATGTATTACCGATATCAATGGAACTTATGCTAATAAAAAAATGTTATTACGAGTTTCCATACATTTCTGATCTTACAATTAAAGAGATTAATCTAAAATACTTGTCACAATTTATCGCAGTCTTTTAGATGTCTATTACAGAACGGAAGTTAAGTTGTAAGGGGTTCTTAGACCATATTTTTCAAACGTAATTTTGTATGTCTTACAAGAGTTCTTTTGCAAAGAACTGTTGATACTCTGTCCAAAAATTGCTCGAGTTTTTTATGACCTCGAACTGATAACATTCGTAAATTTAAGAGAACTTTGTTCTTTTATATACATTACAAGTTAAACCCTCTCCACCTTAACTTCTGAACTAATTTAAAATTATTTAATCTCCACACCTTGTGGAATGTTAGTTTTTAAACCAGTAGTACTGTTTAAGGCTTGAATTATTCAGGATCTCGGTCTCGTGGCAGCTTTTCATCCTTATATTTCAAAAGCCTAGTTAGCGTCAATGAATGAATGAATACTCTTCTTTTACGCTTCTCCTGTTCTTTCTATTCAATAACATTATGTTATATTCATTTTTGCGTATGAACTATTCTTTACCATCGCCGAAAGACTCGAGTTGTTGAATTATATTCAAGCTTAAGGATCGCAGCATAAGCACCGTTGAGTATTATTTATATACACGCACCATTTTTGCACACGATAATCAAACTTCACGAAATAGTTCAAAATATCAAGAAGTCTCTTAAATCTACCATTCTTCATCGGGCTCCTGGCCCGGTTGCTCATTGGAACTAGCATCGTTGAAGTTCTGGAACAAAAAATATGTTTTATACTTCTTTGGCACAACAGATCTAAAAGCTCCGCACGTTCTTCAGATGGTAAATGGATCTACCGCTCCCAATACCTATACTGCAGAAGGTGACTAACATAGGTAAGATATAACTTACACGAATATCACTGCCGCCATATTTGTTGCCGCTATACGTGGCCGTGCCACCTCCTTGCAAGAAATCGGGTACGGGCTGGTCAGCCTGTTTCAAGATTTTCGCCAGGTCCGCCACTAGAGCAGTATCCTGTGAAAAAAGTCTGATTGTTACTTTGAATATACAACTGTAGGCGTCATCCATCGACAGTCCCTTCTGTCAAGGTACAAGTAAAACCATATCATAGCACAGTAAAAACTACTTTTAGAAAGGATTTTTTTTAGGTCCATTATCGAATTCACCGCGTCAAGCGCTCCACGTAATATGTCGTCTTGCGCCACACAAACGTCCAAAAAAATCTCAGCTACATCCAGTCTAGCCAAGGATGGAATTACATTCGATAAGTCTATTTATAAGGAAGTCTATTTTTCATTAATTACTGGTTTTCTTTTTTAACATATTGTTTCACGATGGTCACGTTGATTCAATTAATCGATTACACAGAAAATATTTCGGGTCATTCGAACATTTAACCTATTTTTGACATAAGAATGTATAATGAACTTAGAGGACGGAAAAAAATAAAGGAAAGGAGCTGCCATAACTACAGAATGAACGTGCATATCTAAACAAAAATTTAACGTTACAAATGGCGGATTTATTTAGTGTTGTACTAAATCAGTATAATCTATCGATAAGTCATAATCGACATGCAAATGTGTGACATGAATGTTGAAACTGTTTTTTTTTATTTCTTTAGTTTACTGTAATCAAAGTATGATTAAAACGTTTAATTAAAGTAGATCAATATTCCATTTGAGAATATCTTGTTCTATTTCTGCGAATAATCGATCCTGATTACTCGCAGAAATAGAACAAGATCACATTTTGTTAATTTAAAAAATAGGCGCCTTGACAAGTACCGAGTTGTTAATTTAACCTAATGATGGAAATGCATTATCATGTGATCTAGTTACATTCAAAATTCTGTTAAAACTTGACTCTTCAAAACGAAACGAATAAGATGATCTTTGATCCAATGTTTATATTCGGCAGTCCTATGATTTCCAACCATTATTTTTTCTTTTTTCATTTGTGTGAAATAGTAAAAATAATAATAATAAAAACCTCGTAGTGAATTATTTTAATAACAGAATATCGATAATATGTACGCTTACAAGAACAACACTATCACAAAACAATCATTAACAACAATCATCGAAATATACAAATAAGTAGGCAATCTGAAGTAACCGAAACAAAATTTGGCAAGATTTACGAATAAACTACTTAAATAAGTCTAATTACACGAGATGTTTGAACTATTATGTGATCTACAGACAGAAAAATAACCATGCCTGTAGAATGTTACATTCAGTTGATTTTCGCTTTTGCTAGTGCCACATCCCTTAATGTTGCAACAACGCATTTTTATTAATACCTAATTGTCCTCATTGTCAATGTTTTTGTCCATTTTATTACTAGCCATGCAAATAATTCAATAAAACACTTGGAAAAACATTTGTTTTGATATTTGATGTCCTTCCCTTTGGCAACAGTATCACGTCCTCATCCTCATGTACTACGAAATGAACACAGTTGGAATTTAAGATGACGTGAGGTATTTTCGATTCCCGTGTTTGGCACAGACCAATGTAATGCTATCTCTTTTGGCTTACGACGGCACGCAGTAGAAACAAAGACAATAACATGTTTATGTTTTCAATGTCGAAATGCATCATATACATATTACGTCTGATTTATATATATGTCAACATAACATGTCCTTTGGTTTCCATAGTCTAAGATAATGAAGTACCTCAGTTATGACCATAGATATATGTATAAAAAAAGGGGAGATTTGGTATGGGGGCGTGGTTCCTACAAACATCGCCACAGTGACATGGCGATCATTGTACATACAAGATCTCTAGTAAAACGTAAAAATGCCAAGTTGTAACAATACACCTTGTATAAATTGGAGTGAAAACTAAAAATTTTAAAACCAGTGAGATAACATTCCACTGACTATTTGCATTTTTAGTAACTATTTCTATTATTATTCAATGTTTTCTTTTTGTCTCCACAACAATTTCTAGACTCAAATATAGTGATGTTCATTTACGATGACTGATGTTTATCGACAATAAATGTTTACTGAAATGTTTGAATTTCTTACTATGATTTTTGTAATTAAAGTCCCTAAAATGTCGAAGCGAAAAGCATTCACGTTAAATTGATTTCTGTTATTTTATTATTATAACTAAACATTTTGTTTCGAGTCACTTTAACACAGCTCATATTTCGGACAACCGTTTCAGTTTCATGTCAATTTGTATGTTGCTATTGCTTGAAGAAAAATGTACGTGTATTATTGTTTTAGATAATTTATTCAATTCAATTCAATTCAATTCATTTATTCATTCGTTATTACAGGTACATGATATAGATGGTAATAATAATTTTATGGAATCTCTGCAATAAGCCAAAGTGGCATACGAAGTCAATTAAATAAAAATGTAATGTCAAAATAAAAATAAAAGAAAAATGGATACAATGTCAAAAAACTAATAATAATTAAAAAGTCTAAGAATATTAATAACTAAATGGTACCTAACTGTCAGCATTTACCTATTCTAAGAAACTGTCATTAAAATATTCTTCTATGCTATAGTAACACTTGTCAATTAATAATTGTTTTAATACATGCTTGAATTGCATTCCACTAAGATTTTTTATTGCGTCTGGAATTTTATTAAATATTTTGGGTGCCATGTCAACAACGCTATTTTTGTATAGGGCCGTTTTACATATATTTCTTCGGACCATATATTTCCTGGTACGAAATAAGTGCGCTTGTGAACTTACTTTTTCTGGAAATTCACTCAAGTTTGTCTTAACAAAAATAGATGCCTCAAAGATGTACAGACATGGGAAGGTTAATAATTTTAGGTCACGAAAAAATGATCGGCAACTGTCAGTGTATTTAATGTTGCATATGGCTCTGACACATCGCTTTTGGGCTCTAAATATAGTTTCTCTGTAGGTAGAGTTACCCCAGAAAATCACACCATACCTAAGGATAGATCCAACAAAACCATGGTACGCCATTACCACAGTTCGGCGGTCCGCAGTTTTCGACAATTTGTAGAGTGCATAGCTAAGCGTGTATAGTTTTGAACAGACCTGTTGCGAGTGAGTTTTAAACGACATGTCCCTATCTATAGTTATACCTAAAAACTTTGTTACATTTACTTTTTCTATAACATTGTCACCACATTTAACTTTTAGGTCAGGTAGAGTCATTCTCTGATTAAAAAACATAATTTTAGTTTTATTTGTGTTGACTTTTAGGTTGTTATTATTCATCCATGTAGCCAGATGGTCAAGAGTAGAGTTTATCTCGTTTAGATAATAATTGTGGTCACCGTTTGTGTTTTCAATAATTACGGTGCTATCATCAGCAAATAGTATCATTGGATAACCACAGCTGCTGGGCATGTCATTTATATACGTTAGGAATAGAAGAGGTCCCAATATGCTACCTTGCGGAACACCATGCTCTACAACTCTACACTTCGATTTGTACTGCTTAACCCAACCGCTGTTGATACATACTTGACTTAGCTCTGTGTACTGCTGTCTGTTGTGAAGATATGATTGAATTAGGTTCAGAGCAACTCCTCTTACTCCGTAATTATTTAATTTTTCTAGCAAGACCTTATGCTCTACATGATCAAACGCCCTGGACATGTCCATGAATACTGCACAGGTAGGAATTCTTTGGTCTAGTTTCGTTACAGCCCTACGTGTTAAGTCATAAATTGCTTTATTTATTGACATATTTTTTCTAAAGCCTTTTTGCTCAGCGATAATAATCTTGTGCTTTTCTAGGAACGAGTATAAATTGTTGTGTATAACTTTTTCATAAATTTTGGAAAATATTGGAAGTAAAGCCACAGGTCTGTAGTTGCTAATATTTTCCGCGTCTCCCTTTTTGTACAAGGGCATAAGTTTTGCAAACTTTAAACTGTCAGGAAAAACTCCCGAGATAAGACTCAAGTTAATTATGTGACATAATGGTAGAGCAATGGAATTAGCCACATATTTTACAGGTATTGTGCAAATATCGTCATAACCTACACTATACGTATTTTTTAAAGATAATATAATTTTTAAAATGTCATTAGGTATAGATGGATAAATAAATATTGAATTAGGATTTATTTTAATATTTATGGGATTTCTATGGTCACTGTTATTGGAGGCTATTTGGTCTAAGAAATAGTTGTTAAACTCATTAGCAATTTCCAAAGGATCTGAATAACATCGATTATTATAATTAATTTTAGCAATAGGCTCTTTGGGATAACAACACTTACTACGATTAATTATCTGCCAGGCTGCTTGGCATTTGTTTTGAGAGTTACATATGAATTTATTGTTGTGACTGCGCTGCGCATTTTGAATAATTCTTTTAAGTTTTTTCGCATAAGATTTCAGGCATTCTAGATTTCTGGTGCTTTTATTCTTTCTGTATTTCCACAGTAGATTTCTTTTGTGTACACAACTCTTTTTTATGCCACGTGAAATCCATTCTGGCTTTTCTTTGAAAGATTTCCTTAAAACTTTGTGTGGGAAACATAGATCATAAAATAATCGGAACAAGCTCAAGAATAACTCGTATGCCGTATTTACGTCATGACATTGAAATACTTCACTAAAGCTAAGTTTTTCAATGCATTCCTTAAATTTAGTTAGGTTTGCTTTAGAAAAATCCCGGGTCCTAACTCGCCAGGTTTTAAGTATGCAGGTTTTTTTTACTGGACATACTAATAATTGAGCTGTGTGGTCAGATAGAGTTGTGTTGATGACTTCAGCTTTAGCTCCTCGTATGCAGGAAGCAAAATTATCTATACACGTTCTACTACATAAACGCGTTGGTTCAAATAACATTAGTTTCAAATTATGACTAGTAAGGATGTTTTTGAAGTCTCTACTTTTTGTATTATTTTGCATTATATCAATGTTGAAGTCACCACACACGATAACAGGCTTATTTTTCTGGTCACAGAGTTTTGTTAAAATTCTATCTAGTCGTTCAAAAAACAGGCTTAAACTGGAGTTAGGTACCCTATATATACACAGAATAATAATTTTATAATCTAATAGTTCAATTGCACAACATTCAATTAAACTCATTATTGATAACTCCTTTACAAAATTCAAAACACGGTGTTGAAGTCTATTATTAACAATAATACACGAGCCACCTCTTCTTCTTTCTCTAGTAAAGCTCGCAGCTAGCTTATAATTTGGTAGAGTTAAGTAATTTTCGATTTCGTGGCTCATGTTGTGTTCTGTTACACACAAGATATCAATATTCCTATTTTGCCTTCGAAATTCTTCTAAGTATATTAAAAGTTCGTCGCTTTTTCTCAAGAGTCCGGCTATGTTTTGATGCAATATGTTTAGTTTATTGATATAATAGTAAGATGTGTTTTTCTTCTTTCGCTTCTCCTGTTGATTAACGAAAAAACGACTCTGATGATGTTTCACCTGTGTTGTTTTCTTTTATTTTGTACTGAAGAATATCATTCATTAATTGACACAAATCTGTGATCAGTATGGTCATTCCAAAATTATTGAGAGACCCATTTTGCTTATAGAACGTTCTGTCATCGTATGTCAAGTTTTGGTTTGAGTCTAAAATCCAGGCATATTCATTATTAGTAGCATCTAAATTTAGTAGATTATTAAAATTTTCCACTCTCCAGTTGAATAAATTCGAATATGGTGTGATCTTGTAAGTTGGCGCGCAGACTATTACGTTTGTGTGTTTTATTTCTTGCAAAGCTTTGCGAATATACTGTAATAGTACCTGTATATCTGTTGTTTTTTTGAAATCCTCCTCACCAATAATTAACACACAAAAATCTTGCATGGTGTAATCGTAGAGCTTTGCCTTGATGTTATTCACTAGGTATTTAATACCACACTCGGGCGTAAGATAGTGGCAAAGAGAATATTGTTGTGGTATAATTTTCTCCGCAATCTTTACTATTTTATTCATCTTGTTTGTGCTTAGTATACATATCTTCCTTTTTTTCGATAATTCGTTATTTTTTTGAAATTTCGATGTGTTTTTTATTTTGGTAGTAATGATCGGTGTTTGTGAGTGGGTATCTCCTTTTGTGGTGTCCAAATTACTTTTTTGTTTGTCATTTTGAGTTGGTGTGGAGTAAGTTTTTTCCATACCGAAGTTTAATTTAGTTCTACTCAAACTTTTCCGGTTTAGTTTTGCTGGAGTAATTTGTATGGGAGAATTATAAATTTGCATAAGTGTTTTTATTTTATTCTCATACTTTTGGTTAAGTTTCACCAATGAGCTATTTTCAGCCAAAAGATTTATGATCTCATTGTCTGCTGACTCCAATTTTTGCTGCAACTGTTGAATAGTATTTTCCAGCTCTTTAATGACTTCCCGATTACATTCGCTGATCTCCGGACAGCTTCTGTTCATTATATGGGGGGAAGCAATTGACGAATATTCCTCATCATCGTCGTTTTCGTCAAGTGGTAAACTTTTTACTTTTATATATTTAAATTCCATTATACTCGTAGATTAAACGTAGAGTATTTTTAGTTTTTAAGTTTTTCCAATGAGTTCAAAATAACAGAAGGTTGGATTGAAGCTGCAGGGAAATCGAAATATTGGTTTTCTTATTACTATTTCTGACCTTGTTTAAATTCCCATAGCAAATGCATTAAAAAAAAACAGGCTTTATTTTACATGTGCATGCAAAATAAATTAGAAACAATTATAGAAAATTACATAAATCCTCCATGAAAAACAACATAATTTAATTTATTAAATTCGACAGTGACAGCTGCACCAACCCGTGGTAACGTATAATGGAAAACTGACACTGTCGACGATCGCCATATTTTTTATATTAGTCTTATAAAACTGACACTGGACCAAGTATAGTGGCCGCCATTAAGAAAATAATAATAATTTATATTAATATATTAATTTAATAATACACACCAGTACCAGTGTACGTATAGTATGAAAAATTGAATATTTTTCAATATTAAAAACAGCCACATGGTTTCTAACTATCGATTAGGTAGGACCACAACCATAAATAAAAAAATGCAATACTTTCTGGATTCTTTTATTTTTTAATTTAGTAAAGCGACGTGCTCTTTAGCTCCGATATTTATCGAGCCGACAGATTATGTAACGAAGATTGTTCAAATTGATTTCTCCGTTTTGTATAGATTTATGTACTTGTATAATAAATTATTATAATGAAATAAATTACAAATAATTAAAATAAATTCTAATTGTATATTCTAAACAAAACCGCCTCCGCAGCCGAATGGTTACCATGCCGGACTGCCACTCAGAGGTCCCGGGTCTGATTCCCGAGTCGGTACAAATATTTGTATGACCTAAATGTAATTCTATCGTGAGTTTGGGTGTAATTTGTGGTTGTCTATGGGCGTGTCCATGGCGCCTGCAATATACAGGGTTTCCCTAGTCCGGGGCTATGAGTGTAGTAGGTATGCGTTACTATTATTAATAATAAAACAAAATTTAGTTATTTCTAAATTTAAATAAACGTGTTTTGCGATACTTTTTAAATAACTCTACGCACAAATGAAATTTATTTATTCGAGCACGAGGAAGAAATAGGTAGGTATAAACAAAAATTAATATAAAGACACAACAGTCAGCACTAACCATGGGTCCTATAAAGGGTCCGAAACTTTAGTTTGTTATAAAAAACAACTAAACGCGATTTAGACCCGAAAAGCAAAATAGTCTCATTTCCTATGTGACAGTTCAATACGCATTATGGTTGCCAGCTTGCAAGCAGCTAATGGTTGCAGTGGATAAATATTCTTTTTATTTATTTATTACGTACTACTACATCATATATGTTATTAATTTGTATATTCACAACGAAGGTATTACATCGATATATCGCACCCCCTGATGGAAGAATGGCATAACTGGAGTAACGTCAAATATGTTTATTGCTCTTATTATCGACTAATATTGTCGATAGAGTTACTAGAATTGGAGAGGATGTGGGTTAATTTTTCAGTATCTAATGTAGCAATAAACTTTTGTAAGGTAACTCCACTTATGCCATTCTTCCATGAGGGATGCGATATGTATATGACATTTACAGTGTACAATAGCATTTACAATAAATGAGTTAATAAAATATTACATCTGTCTATCAGTCTATAGACTGAATAATCAATATTCATAGTTAGGCATCTTTTGTTATTTTAATTGAATGTAAATTAAAATTCATAATGGGATAAAACAGTATTGATAAAAAAATGTATGATAAATATAGACGTCGTTTCGGAACAATAAGTAGTTCATAAATTGATTTTTTTTAAACCATTGTGGATTGCCTTTTACCATTGCCAGTCCTGTCGTTCGCATTCCAAAGCAATGTTCGTACAAACATCTAAATTTTTAAATATGGACTTAAGATCCTTCACCTATCACCTACAGACATAAGTTTCCGATATTTGCGTGAAAAATATGAATGGTCACACATTAAAATGTTATATTACAATGTCAAGATATCGATGGCTTTTAGAAAACCGACGCATGATCGAGCGTAAGGCTGACGAATCCTATACCGGCCCATTGCAGCCGCGTGATTATTTTAATAACCAATGGAAAGCTCAATGTCAATAAAAAAAATACTTTGGGCCTCCATCCATTGTTGAAAAGCAACAATTAATTTTCGTTTTTAAAAAACTACGACACGTCGCTGAACCTTTCATCATCAAAACTGTTTATTTAGCCCTATGTCAGTCACTGCTCGTGTATTGTATCACCGCTTGGGGTGGAGCTGCGAAAACTCTCCTTTTAAAATTGGAATGTGCTCAACGTACGATTCTGAAAGTGGGTTGGAAGCTACCTTTTATGTTCCCCACTACTAACCTTTTCAAAAATTGCGAGGTTTTAACGGTTAGGCAGCTCTTCATTCTACACACAATTCTAAAAGCGCATTCCCTTGTGGTTTTCAATCCAACATCTTTCGCTATTGTACGTCGACAGCATCATGTTTATCCACCTTTTGCCGCTAGCAGTAGTTTTGCTCAGCGATTCTTTTGTTTTTTGAGTGGGTTCTTGTATAACAAAATAAACCATTCACTAGTTATTTATGGGCTTTGCAGATTTGATTGCAAACATGTAGTGTCGAATTGGTTGTTACGACTTGACTATTCTATGACTGAAAGTCTTCTTACCGTTCTCAGTTAAATCTTGGTAGCGCGTTCTCTCGCGTGCGTTCACACACACATACTCACACACATATACACACATATACACATACATCTACATCACATAACTTGGCTTCATAATTTTTGATTTGTTACATTTGTTTGTGTACCATTTAAGTATATGCCATAATTTTCACTTCGTGTGCAGTTGTGCCAGTAACTATATATTTATAATCTAACAAAACCCTTTTGCCTTTTTTCTCATTCACTTTTATTTTGATTATATTCTGGTTGGAATGTTCTGTTGGGTGAGTGCCTGGTGATCTGTAATACAGGTCTAGTAACCTAGTACGGACGCCAGTCTCTCACAAAGGCCGATTATGTAATTGTTAGTTATAATGTTTAAGTTGTACCTTTGTGGTTTTTGAGAAAATAAATCATATTATTATTATTATTATTATTAACAATATATTGTTAGTTAATAATTAATAAAATGATGAACTTACAGATTGTGAATCAAAGAATGAAACAGCCTTTCCTCTGTTGCCCACACGTCCTGTTCTGCCGATCCTGTGTACATACTCGTCTATGCTCTTCGGTAGGTCGTAGTTCACCACAATGTCCACATTCTTGATGTCTGAAAACGATGATAGATCATTTACGTGGTTACAAAATACAGCAAAAAGCCAGTAAAATGAACAAAGATTAAGTAGGTACTATTCACACTTCCTTACCGAGGCCACGGGCCGCAACTGCAGTAGCTACCAATATAAAATGATGTCCTGTCTTGAAGTTCTGTAAAGCTTCCTCTCTCTCTCGCTGCATGCGGTCCCCGTGAATCGACGATGTCAGCGTCTGCTGCTCAGACAGCATGGCCGCTATATAATCCGCGTTACGCTTTGTCTCCACGAATACCAGAATACGTTTGCGTTCTACAAAAAAGATCATAATATGGAAGGAATGAATTTTTATAATAGACCCTTTCAATTGGCATCATAAAAATACAGGTTTTTTTTTCATTTGGTCGGTTCAATTCCCAGAAGAGTATATATATACCTAATATAACATATAATATATAGAATAACTTTAATAAAAATATTGTATGTAGTATTACTTACATTTAAAAATAAAATAACATGTCCATGAAGCACAATATACTATTTTGCTTCATGGAGCCGTGACACACCCTGCATATTATTTATTGTTGGAGTATGGCAAAACATCAATATTTCTTCTACTTACGTTTTGTAATTACAATCCTAGTTGATTGTATGCTTTTGTAAGTAAGATTGATGTAGCTTTTAAGTTAATCTTTAAAATTCCCTTTAGTAAAGTCCCTTCATATGTGAATCGAGATAATTGGATGTTTTAAATTAATTCTCAACTACTAGCTTTAGTGCTATCATGTGGAAATTAAGAAGTTTTATAAAGTGTTTTGTTGTGAGAGTTGTGTCTGAGGTTAAATACAACTAGCGGCGTAGTGGCTTACCATTCTCTTCAATGAGTTTTTTGAGGGCTCCTTGTTTTTCGTATTTGGATACTTGAATGAAGATTTGTTCGACGTCCGTACTGGCGCCGCCGACAATGCCCACCGCCACGAAGATATAGTTGTTGAGGAATCTACCAGCCAAATGCTGAATATCTTCAGGGAATGTTGCCGAGAACATAAGGGTCTGGCGCTGATCCTATGAGTAAAATGTATTCGTTTCTTAGGTATTCGACAATAAAAAAATGTGATTTTTGAAATACTTTAGCAAAGCAAATTTCGCTAATATGTAGTAAAATCTTAAAAAAGCTTTTATTCAGTTTAGTTACTTTAAATTTACGACCACTCACCGTGGGCACCATGGTAGGGTGATCCATCATTTTTTCTACACTTGGCATAAAGCCCATATCAAGCATACGATCGGCTTCGTCGAGTACCACGAAGCGCACGCTTTCGAAGGACACGCGATTGCGATCTACGAAGTCGTGTAGGCGTCCCGGAGTCGCTACCAAGATGTGACAGCCTCTCTGTTAGGCAATCATAAGCAGTGATCGGAATTGAGGGAGTTAATTTAGCTAAACTAAAGAATCATATGGACTTTCCCTTCTACAAAACCTTGGAAATGATTATATTTCAATATATTTGTTGAAATTTAAGTTAATATCGAATTGTAAATCTGATCATACGTTAGATACTTAAACTGTGAAATTAATTCTGTTGGAAATAAGCATATATAAACTTCTCCGTGTATGAAAGTAATATTGTTGTTTAGACAATTAGATTGTTGCTGCCACTAAATCTGAGACTGGATGTAATAGACCGCAGGCAAAAATAAATAGTTCCGAGTCCTCGATACAGCATTTGAATACTGCTAAAACTGTGCATAGGTTTCCTTTAATCAGCTAGTTTACTAGTCAACTAATGACAAGACAAATTTACTTGTGTATTTATCGCGTGAAAGGGGGCTCGAATTTGCAAATTCAAGTTTTTTTATAAATTAAATAGACTTGCTCATAGCTTGGTAGTGGTCAAGATCATCGTAGATCCTATCTTTGCTCCAGAGGAAAGATAGGATCTACGATGGAACAAGCTCTCGCAGAAGATGCCTATTCAGTCGCACCTTAAAGATATTCGGATGTATGTGCTGGAAAGCACAGTCGCAGACGGGGAATTCCATTCCTGAGCTGTGCGCATAAAAAGAGGATGAAAAGCGCTTAGTACGCCTGAATATCGACCAAGTAAGGATGATATCCCGCCGTACGTCTGATTGTGCATAATGGATATAAGCTAAGTTTTTGAAACAGACTAATACTTTGTCTGGTGTTCCAAGTTCTTGATAGATATGTATGTAATTCAATTGTAAAAACATTGTTATGTACTCACTGAAATGTTATCGCCTTGGTGACGTACAGCAGTGCCTCCATATGCCACGGCGACCTTTAGGATGGACCCGTAGGAAAATTTTCTGGCCTCATTGAATATTTGAAGAGTTAACTCACGAGTTGGAGATACTATTATTACCTTGGAACAAAAGTTGAAATATTGTACAATTCATTATCCAGCACCAAAGAAATGTATCAATAGGATTTCATTACTTTGACACCTCTCTGCTTAAACCATATAAATTGTTTATATATATAAAGAAAAGGGGCTCGTCTTTCCTCTTTGGTGGGCTAAGTTATTTTCAAATGGTAGGGTTATGTTATGCATGTTTTTAAAACAAAATGATTCCCGTACTTCCAATGACTACGCTCTGGTAAACATTAGAAAACTTTTACTGAAAAGTACAATGAATTAGAAAATACCATAGGGAAATAGATGCAATGCAAAACTAACAAGCAAACAGTGTTGGGCGTTAATCAATTTAATTTCAATCAGAAATTCTATCAGATTAAAAAATCAATACAATTGAAACACGTCGCAATTGATTTTAATTGCAATTGAATTGATTTAATTGCAATTAATTTTTTTAATTGTTCTAAGAAACATTTGAAATAACAATTAAAACCGAAAGTACCGAATAAAAGTGTCATTACGAATATGGGTTAGGGGGTGGGTTAGGGATGTGTTAGGGGGTAGGTTAGAGGGTCGGTTAGAGGGTCGGTTAGGGGGTCGGTTAGGGAGTCGGTTAGGGAGTCGAATAGGGGCCCGGTTAGGGTGTCGGTTGGAGGTTGGTTAGGGGTTCGGTTGGAGGTCGGTTATGTGGTCGGTTGGGGGTCGGTCAGAGTCGGTTAGGGGGTCGGCCGGTTACCGACCCCCCACCGACCACCTAACCATCCCCCTGAAAGGGTTGTAACCCTAACTAGCCGTGAACAGGTTCAGGTGAATTGTTAATTGTAGACATTCGCGATTAATTGTTAATTGCGGTTCTCGCAACTAACAATTGATCAATAGTTAATTGCTGTTTCGCAATTGACAATTAATTAATTGTCAATCTTTAATTGCCAGAACAATTAAATTTTGCCCAACACTGCAAGCAAACAATTAACATGACTCAATGAAGCTGGATTTTCGCAACCCTGCTTATTAACTCTTTAAAAAAATACTAGAAAGTTCATTACATTACACTTTATATTATTATTACCTGTGGCTGAGCGCATCCGTTAGGCCCCACAACTAACTCTCGCTGGTCTTGTAACAGCATGTTTATAATAGGAAGCAGAAAGGCTGCCTGCAAAATGAAAGAAATCACAATTTTATAATGAATTTAACATAACTTTAGTTAATTGCAATGTTAAAATTGCTAATATGAAGCTCAATCAAGCAGAAAAATAATGTGAATGTATTTTATAGTATAAAAGTAACGGGACTTACTCGCGTAGTATTTTAGTCGGAAGCGGTCCGACTAGTTTCAACCATTATCGATGGTCTTCATCAGGGGTTGAGTGCAACGTCCGCGACAGCGTCACGTCTAGTACTGCGCACTACGGCTCTCTTCGCGCGCGCCGAATACTACGCGAGTAAGTCCCGTTACTTTTATACTATGTGTGATAGCCGCGTTAGTTTTCATAATAAAAAAAATATATTTTATGTACTGTTTACTGCTAGGGATTTGCACCAATCATCTTAAACAATTGTTAGAGTACACATTATCGACTTACAGTTTTTCCAGAGCCAGTTTGAGCACAGCCCATAAGATCGCGACCAGCCATTATTATTGGCACGGCGTGTTTTTGTATGGGCGTTGGTTTGTTGTAGCCAGATTTGAGGATATTCTCTAGAACGAACTTTCTAAGGCATGCAGATTCGAAATTGTCGATCGGACGCGGTGGATTTTCGCCTGTTACCTGTAAAAAAGGAACACATTGTGTACAAGACGCGTATGGGTTGTGAATATATGCCTCTGTCAAGAAGTTAATGCTCTGGCCACACAGAGGCGGCCGCGGAAGCGTTCAGGCCGCGGGAATTTTTGTAATGTACGAGTTCATATGAACCCTGCCACACTCAAAAGCAGGGTTCTTATATACTCGTACATAACAAAAATTCCAACGCCCGGAACGCTTCCGCGGCCGCCTCTATCGAAATGTGCTTGTACAGATTTGAACCTGAAGACAGGCTACTATATAAAATATATTTTCAAAAACTTAGACAGTCAAGCCGCTAGACATGCACTATCCTCAGTCATCCAAACATCGAGGATTGTAAGGAACAGTGTAACTATACCGAATAGTCTCAGGGAACGGAATAAGATGGTCCTGCGCTGGGTTCCAGGTCACTCTGACGTCGAGGGTAATAATGCAGCGGATAAACTGGCAAAGACTGGTGCCAGGGGAAACTTTATACGACCCGAACCTTTCATGGGTACAGCATACAGACTGGCAAAGTTCATTTTGCTGAGACATTAAAATACTCACTTTGACAGCAATATGATCAAACTTATTAAAGTTGATTCCCGAAGTAATGGTGCTGCTAAAGATTTCGCTTTCATCATTAGTAGGTTCTGGTGGGACATATGTAACTGGAGGCTTTTTGATTTCACCATCTTCACCAATCTCAGGTTCACGTTCTCCGTCACCCTCGCCTGAACGTGCGCCTCCACGACCTCCGCCTCGACCACCGCGACCTCTGCCTCGCCCGCGTTCATTTCTTTCACCTCTATCGCCTCGGTCACCAAAATCTTCTCCATTCCCGTAATTATCTACACAACGATAAAGTTATTTGGTGAATTCTATTGCTTGTGGGCGCGAAGGTCCCTTATATTAGATTAAATACAGGGTGATAAAAAAAACCACTAACCATATTAAAGGAGCATACTGTATAATGGAAATAAAAAATACGTGTTCGGAATACTTAAGAAATAAATAAGTTACGTCTCAAAGTTTTTTCGAAAAATTGTGAACAATATTGACCCGATGATTAGCAGACGCCATTGCCATAGCAACAAGAACGGTGTGAGGGCAGTGGGCGGAGTCAGCGCGCGAGTCCATGTATTTGACAGACAACAAAGTGTTACACTAACGCGCCATGCGTTAGCGCAGGTCTGTCGTCGCGCGGCGCGACGTTCTGGCGCCTAGGCGTCTAGACAACTCGCATTTTTATTTACTATTTTGAGTTAACCACGCGTTAGAAATTATTGGGAAACATTAACATCAAAAGAATGGGGAATTCTTATTTTTGTTTTACTTCACTAATGTGTTCGATTACTGAATCTTGTGCACAGGAAAAAATGGCCAGTGATTTTTTATCACCCTGTATATCTTTTTTCGTTTTGCCTCAACATATTAAAACAATTTTATTTCAGACAATTTTCGATGTCAAGTCAGTTACAAAAACTTGTATGCCTATACTAGTAAAGACAATGTGACCATAAGGGAGTGGGACAGTCCTACTTTTAAATGTCGTGTCCCGCTGTCCCTAAAATACTTAAAAATGTCTCGCGTTCATATAAAATGGCGCGAAAGTGACGTAGCACTTTAGCTACACATATATCAGAAACTCTCTATCCCTTCAGTACAATCGGTCTACTTTCCCGATCGGTCCACTTTCACATTTCGTCTACTTTTCCGATCGTTCCACTTGTCCAAATGGTCCACATTCCCATTTCGTCTATTTCCCATTTCGTCTACTTTCCAGATCGGTCTATTACCAGATTGATCTACTTTTCCGATCGGTCCATTTGTCCAAATGGCCCACCTTTTAAGCATGTAAATTAATAAAATTTATACAAAAAAAATCCATTTTATAAATTTTCAAAAGCAGTTCGTAATTGCGTAATTGCAGATTGCCAAGGAGAACATTTTTTAATATTTTTAATAATGATGGCCGCTTTACATTAATCATGATTTAAAAAATCAAAATCAAGTAGACAGTTAGTTTTTAACCGACTTCAAAAAAGGAGGAGGTACTCAATTC